AGGAGACGTTATTTCTCCGAAACTGTTTACCATTTCATTGGAAGACGTCTGCAAGACAATCGATTGGAACGGACGGGGAATCGATATCAATTGCCAATACCTCTCATATTTGCGATTTGCGGACGATATAGTGATCCTGGCGGAGTCTCTGCATGATCTGGAAGAAATGCTTAACAGCCTGGACGATTCTTCAAGGCGAGTGAGGCTGCGAATGAACATTTAAGTCCAAGATCATGTATATTAGACATGTATCCCCGAGTCCCGTGGCCGTGAATGGCACTACTATCGAGGTTGTGCAAGAATACATCTATCGTGGCCTAACTTTCTAACTCAGCCGTCACAACTTCGATCGGAAGGCCGATAGAAGAATTCATCTGGGGTGAGCGGCATATGGGAAGCTTCGTCATATCTTCGAGTCACCGCTCCCGCAATCCCTAAAACCAGTGCGTCTTACTCTTTTTTATATTATTTAATTTTTGAATGTTGCGCAAGTACACTCCCAAACAATCGTACTGAACATACAAATACATTTTAAATACTACTTGCGTGCTTGCAGTTATGGGCTATTCAATTAGAATTCAAATTCAGAATTGTACTCGTATAATGTATGTAATGTACATCTGTTTCCGAAATGTTAACGTGAATGTTTAGTGTAGTAAAATGTTTAGTGTAATAATAAAGTGGCAAACAAGTAAAATACATATTAAGACGCTTTTGACACTGGGTTAAAATATATGAGCACACTATCAATAAATAGGTAATTGTAGAATTATGTTTAATATTTAGTCTATTAAGGCAAATAACTAAAATAATTTATCATAACAATAATAGCAGCGATAAAAAAAAGGTAGGTAGAAACTAATTTAAATTTTATACAAGGCGTTTGGAATATTAGAGCGAATTCATATTTTTTTCTTATTTAAGTATATTTTGTCCAGTGCAGACAGTCACACCCGTAGCTTCCGCAGTTTGTTTAACGGAGGTAATTGTTTTTTTCACTCCTTGTAATGATGCTACTTTTAAATAGTTATATACCTGCATTAAAAACTATTTTTCTGGCCTGCGCTTTTAATACGGAATTTCGTCTCGGTGCTTTAAGGTTCCATATAAAGGGTCAAACAATAATAACAAACGCAAACAAAACAGATAACAAATACAAACAAAATGGTCAATAAAGACAAATAACAATTTTAACAGAAACTATAACAATTATGTTCATAACAGTACGTTAGAGCAAAGCAGTGAAATTACTTAGGTAATGCGATAGAGCGAAATACACGACTAACCTTGCAGCGGTAGAACGCATCGACGGCCTCCCCGACCCACAGTCCTGGGACCAAATCCAAAAAAGCTGGCCAAAAATCTAAAAATCAAGTAAATGATCCGAAATATCTTTCTTTTCCGGGTTTTCGTAGTGGCTGATTACGAATTTGATGTCAAATTCTCAAAAAATACCCCCTTCACCCTTAATTGACCACCCCCCCTTGCACGAAATACCCCATATTTTCTAACGTAATCAAGTTACATATAAAATTCAAGGTTTTCGTGGTCACTAATTACGAATTTGATGTCAAATTCACAAAAAAATGTACCCCCTTCACCCCTAGTTGATCACCTCCTTGCACGAAACACCCCATATTTCCTAATGTAATCAAGTTAATATGGTGACATAGAATTATTAGACCATAGTCTACTTACCTTCAGAAGTCTATTCCATTCTGCAGAATTGAATTTAGTAGTTTTGTCAAAATTCTATGCCTCCTTACGTGAGAGCGTCTTCTTGCCGATTCCAAACACTGTACGAACTACGTGCTAGAGGATCACGTTTGAACTGGATTCCAGAAGCAGATATGGCAAAGGCAACCTGAAGAATAGTGGTTTTGGATTCTAAGGACATGTCTTAAGCCAACTTTACAAACTTCTTTTGTTTTGTAATCTCGTTTATTAATTTCTGGTGCACATATCTCTGTAACCCAACATGTATTGTAATGTGTTTGTCTTTAACGCGTCTCGAGAAATATTAATCCATGGCAATAACTAAACGTAACTAACGTAAACGGAGTTCTCGTTACATGTGATTTCGTTATTGACTTAAATAGGTGTTAAACATAAAACGCAACTTCAGGAATTTTTACACAACAATATTACATGGATGTACAGGTTTAAATGTATTAGCTCAATATAAATACCTACTGTATTCTCTTACTTTTTTTCAAAGTTTCATGGTACCAAACAGAAACCTATACCCTTTCGTATAATAAAGAATTGTCAAAAGGATTGTCAGGAAAACAGTCTTAACGAGAACCTTCTACTATTATTGAAGTCGCTTACATATCGTTAACTGAATCTGAATCGTCCTTCTCGCAGTTTTTGGCAATGCAATCCACATGAGCTGCATGAAGAGTAAAAGATTTTAAAAAGTAATTGGACGACTTTCAGCTGAGATGATATCGAAGATGCAATATGTCACTTAATTTAGATACTCGAAATGTTCTTTTATGTTACCTAAATAACTTTTCAAATCTGGTGCGGATGGCAGTGGGTTTTAACAAAATACGGAAGTAGACAAAAAAACGAGAGCAGAGATTATTACGACCTAAAATCTTGTGCATTGACCAGACACTGATGATAATGTCATAGAGATAAGAATACTGTTACAGCAGGTGAGGGTTTTCGACTTTCACCATAAACTCACCAAAGGTCAAATATTTAAAAATTCATGTTCATCATATTGTATACGTTACATGCGTGTCTTCGAACCTAATATTTTTCAAGAAACAAAAATGAGTTATTTAAAAGTCTTTATTTAACTTGTTTTAACGGAAATTATCAAAGTTTTTATTTCTAAGCATAGCCATAATTCCAGTTGTATATCCAGGTCTGAGCCGCATTATTAAGGACATCATTCTATTGTGTATTATTGATATAAATCAATTGTCAATTTGTAAAGTATCGTTGATATTCAGACTTATATCTTCATTAAACATTGTAAAATATATCTAACACAAGAAATTCTAGTGAATAAGTACCAATATAGCAATATATATAATGATATAAAATATATGTTTCTTCTCATTATTGAAACTTAGTAATTGTGACGGTCTGGCAGTAAGTTCCATAATAAATTCATAATACACATATTTATATACGGCGCCAACTACTTGTTATATTTTAGATACTGCCTTACATTTTGAAATATGATTACAAGAAAATAAATGAATACACATAAATTAATATAAACATAATTTTTATTTCTATGTAGACATTGTGTAAATGTGATGACGAACAAATAAGGCTGCTTCTGATATTTTAGCTTATTGAGCCGCTTTAATATTATATTTTTGACCAGTAAATATTAACAAGTTAACTTAATTTATTATAAATATAACCAGCATTTGTTTTGTAATGACGATTATGTTATTCCGGGTTGAAGAAGGAATAAGATGTAGTTGTAAAACAGTGGTTACCTTAAATATACATGTACCTTCTTGATTGTGTAAAATCTACATATTTTTAGGGTATTATTGTTAAATGAGATTGCTTTTCCTTTCCAATAGATAGGTAGTTCATAATTTTATCTAAAAAGAAGCAGTTAACACCTACACACGTCTAAGTCACGTTTTTGTTATTATGGGATTAACCAAAATAGGAGATGGATAGGTATCACCATATTTCAATAACCGCCACAATCGTAAAATATGTTGATATGTGGGTACCTCAAACCGGAGGTTTTTCGAAAGCCGGGTTCGATCCTTTTTAAGGTATAGGCTTTTTAAGGATAGTTATGGACTGTCCGTTCAGTAAGTCCAGTTCAGTAAAACTTATGAGATTTGTTCCCCGGTTGGTGCAATTCGTAAATAAAACCTAGTTTTAGACACACGATAGAACAAAACGAGCATATGGACCTTATTACTTAGTGTTTAAGAATTGTGGATTTCAGATCAGAATCTCGACCTTGCGAGAACTTATCAAGTTATCAAATTATTAATTTATTTAAAAAGTTACCAAACAGTAAATTCGATGGTTTCTTTACTATGAATTAAGTTTGGTGTCTCATTCATAAAATTAACTAATTTTGCTAATGTTTGTTTTTAAATAGAATGTACAACACTTGTCGCCGTAGTTGTACCCTCGATCTCTTAGGGTATCAAAGTATTATCCTAGTTCAGGAATTATATTTTAAAAATTTCAATCTATTTATGAACGCACCTATAAACTAAAGTTTTGTTTCCGTACATAACCGAACTGAAGAGAAGATAAGTATAGTGTAATCCTCATTAATTTATCTAACTAGCATTGAGTTCGACTGAATCAGACATGGCAACCACTGTTAAGTATGCTGAATTATATTTCAGTATTTACGTGTGGAATGTATGTAATATATGTATAAACTGATCAATGTCTATAAACTCGGTTTATATTCCAAATCGGATTTAGAGTTCTCTATTATTTTACATATCAGATTGTGATATAACAACTTACTATAAATATGTTTATTTCGTATCTAAAAATATTTACAAAATATGGAAGATGTATGGATAGGTGTCAATATGCAAGGTAACAAAATATGAACCTACAAAGCTAATATGGATTTGTGCGTTAAGTTTTCGGTGAACAAAACAATGGTAGGAACTAGTAAAAATAATCATTTCTGATATACTAAACTTTTCTAGAATAACTACAAAAAATGTTATACATACATACCTTCAAATGATGCAGAATTTTTAATTACGCACAACCTCCCGAAGTAAGAGATAATTATACAATATTCATGAAAAACATTCATATTTCATATCGTAACACGAGCATACTTTTTATATTCATTAAATATATCGTACAATACAATAATAAATTTTGAAATCTTATTCTCTATAGGGATACAAAATTCGCACTAATAATACTCATACATCGAAAAGGGACAACACACACCGTACACGAAACGAATTTTTCAGCACCACCGTCGACCGGACTGTGCTCGCACTCTCTTTTGGTTCTTTCCCTTAACAAGTGGTCTCCAACAGAGGGTCCCCTTTCTTTACTCGGTCACCGTCGATAGAGATACCTATCGTTTTTTGGGAAGCAGACTTGTACAAGCGCCGAGGTCGTTCCTCATCGTCGGACAGCGCACGTGAAGCCACTCGGGGACGAAGACGTGCGGGCGATCGGCGCGGCGAGCGCGCGTCACACGTGCACTGCGCTCCTAGCGACCGCGCAGCCCGCGCCTGCCGCGCCCACTGTGCACGCCAGCATTCGCAGCTCTCGTTGCCGCACGACTCGCACGCCACTGGCGACTTTCTTTCCAGCTTGCCCCGCTTAAAGGTGGGAACTTCCCGCTTTTGTTCACTGTCAGAATTCGTACGATTTGCATCGTCTCGTGACGCCGGCCGCTCACAGGACGTGGCAGAGCGCATCGTCGAGTTTCTCACCCAGGGATCGAGACCCCCACGGCCACCGGTCCTACCGCGGCCGGCGGCCGTGTTCAAATCGACTTCGCTCATCTTTTGCCACGGATTGCCTAGCACTGAGAAGGCGTCGCTACTGGAACGGTCGCGACCACCAAAGCGTCGAGCGATACCCACGTCCGAGCTGGCAAACGTGTCGTCAAGCGCGACCATCGAAGCGTCAGGAGACGAGCGCTCGCTACGCACGAAGCGCGGCGCACCTGGCGTACTCACAAACAGCGGCGAAAGTGTGGGTGCCTTCGCAGGTGAACGAAGCGCTGCTCGCGAGGGCGAGGGCGAGGCTCTCGGACGCTCCGACTGCGAACGAGCGCGCGGAGTGTGCGTGAGGCTGGCCGGCGTGACATCACTAAGAGACCGCAAATGTATCCGTCTTCGCACACAAGTCGGCGAATCAGTGTCGGTCACGTTTATACTGATGTTATGCGTAATGGAGCCTTTTTGGTCGGTGGATGCTACTTCGTTATTGTCTGTTTTATTATTTTCCTTTAAATTGTGCGGGTTTACGGAGCCGTTAGCATTCGCAGAGTTTTTGGTGGGGCCGGCCCGACTGGGCCCGGCCCCCGCTAGCTAGAGGAGTCTCTCTGTCGCTGAACTTGAAGTACCGGAGCTCAATGTTGATGCAGGATTTTGGTCGTCACCTATAAATATATCATTAAATATACATGCATGTCCTGACACTTCTAATACTACTAAATTATATATCATTTTGATTCGGATTATGCCATGTTTTTTACTATCATTTACCTTGATTAGTCTGGCCTGTGGCCGGCAGTCTTTGTCAGTTGAGCAATTCTACTGAAACAAAACGTTTCAGCCTTTCTAAATATTGATTGAAGAGTTCAACATCGTTGTGCCCTGCACCCTGTAATTAAAAGAATAACTTAACATTTAAACTTGCAATGTAAGTCAATTTTTATTTTTAATGTAGCTTTTTTCATTGGCATTGGCAAATAAAGTGATATTAATTTAATTTTCGTTACACCATTCAGTTTTACATGAGTTTATATAAATGAAATATAAACACTAAATACCTCAACCCATAACGGCTCTACAGCACGCGGACAGCGCTCGTATATAGCTAATCCATGAGAGAAATCTATCACCTCATCTTCAGTTCCATGTATAACTAGAACCGGAGAGGTCACCTTGGGAATTTTATCGATACTGTAACAAAAACAAACAAGTTTAAGTCTTCAATATCGGATACAAGTATACACCGCGATTTCGCACAGCTTAATATAAATTTGGTTAACCGCCTAATGTTATTTTTGTATTGCTTAGGATGAGGCGACTTGGAATAAGTCTTCTAAACTACTCAAAATATTTTCAGAATCGACTTCTACATGTATCTCGATAAAATAAAATCCTAACACTTAATTATTAAATTATAAGCTAGACTCAATTTTATATATGTTTAGTTATTATAATGACAGTGTTTAACAGTACAATATGGCGTTATAACTTAGATCATTGATTGGTGTCCAGTAATTTTTAAGCTACCAAATAATAATTTGTTAAACTAATAGAAACGTTTTAATCAATTTAAAAAAATTCAAACCTTATAAACATTTCCATACTACTTACAATGTCTGTGCAATTAGTTTTCGCACTTCGGCAATTAGGCTTAGCTCATGTCGTCGTTGCGTGTCTATAGTTATTTTTAAACCCTAAGGTAATTGTTTTTTTGGATAAAGCCCCCTGTACCCTTGACAACGTAAATATAAAATTTATGATGAGCGACTGAGAAGTCGTATGAAAAGTAATGGAGGAAACATGATAAGTATGTATGTAATATTTATAATGTTAAGCCCAGAGGTTGCCGTAAAACCTTCCGAGTACGACTACTTTTAGTTATCTGTACACTACTAATCAGTCGTGTTACAAACACCGTTTATAGTTTAGAGGTAGAAGCTGACTATCTATGTGTCTGCAGAATCTACACAGGATTTACAAAAAGAATACACGAAAGGAATGTTTATTGACAACCTTTAGTCGTTTCTGTAAAGAAAAATCTTGCTACGGCTATTAAAATTTATGTTTAATTATTTTTATTACTCGACTTCAAGAAAGGAGAGGTTGTATTCTGTGCTTACTTTGTGCTAACCACGAGTTAGTCCTATTGTGGGATCAGCATCATTGAGTCTGTTTGAAATGTCCTTTAGTCTACCAATAAGGCCTAAATTCATAAAGAGAAATTCAACTTCACTATTAATTAATAAGCTTTAGTGTAGTATGTAGGCTAGTCAACAAGTTCAAAAACGTGGTAATTCTTGATAAAGCTCCTAAAAATATGAGCGATGTCTCATTCGATTCGGATTCTAGAAAAATGTGTCGAATGTGTGTATGTATATAAAATTACTAGCACATAAAAAACTGCAATTGTTATTAACAAATTATGATCAAAAAGAGATAGCATTTTGTTTTTTTTGACAAAATTTATTAACATTTAAGGCATTTTGAAAAAAGATCTTTAAAGAGGAGGAAATTCCCAAGAATAAAGTTCCGACTCCCGGAACTCCATCTCTATTATTTATAATTTTCATTCAACGCCGAAAATAGGGCTCCAGCCGTAACGACGTAGGCGCACTTCCGATAAGGACAGTGTAATACCTACATAAAATATATTTTTTTAGTAACAAATATTAATTAAAAAAAAATGAATAAATTATGGTTTCATCAGTAATTAATAAATCCCCGTTGGAAAAAAAAATCATTTTTTCAAAAAGTTATACTATTGTAATATTTTATCCAATCTGCTATCTTAAAAGACTACATAAAAGTTTAAATAATATATCTATAAATTTTTGGCTTCGTGGAACCCTCCTTATACATATCGCATCCTTAATCCAAAACTGTCACAATCCAAAAAATGCAACTTTTCAGGAGAGCCTAAAAACACTTTTTTATGTAGGTATATAAGTAAGTAATACGCGTCGCGTCAGGACACGTGACCCTGATCGAAAATTCGGAAGACGGATGGAGAGTAGACAGCCGGCGCGGCGTAGGAGAGGAAGTATCCCCCTCTCTTTCTACGGCGCGGCGAAAATGTATGCCTGCACCTGCTGTTTCGTTTAGGCGGCGCAGGGCGCTTGCGCGAATGTTCGTTTTTCTGAGAGATAAGCTTTTTAATGTAATATAAATTGTCATGTTTGTGTAAGATAGCGCAATAAATAAATATTGTATTCTAAAACATAAATGATAGTACTTTTATACTGATAATTAAAGCAATTCGTGCAAAATTATTCCCTAACCATTCCAAAATATCAAAAATGCACAACGTTAATATTGAAGTTTTCACTTCTGCCCGCACTCCCGGAGTGCAAGCCGTCGTTTTTTTTCCAACGGGGATTTATTCAAATTTTTAAATTAATGTTTGTTACAAAAAAAATATATGTGGTACACTGTCTTTAGCGGTACTGCGCCTGTGTCGTTACGGCTGGTCATAGCCCTATTTTCGACGTTGAATTAAAATTATAAATAATAGAGATAGAGTCCGATCTTGTTTTTTGGCAATTTCGTCCCTTTTTCCAAAATTCCTTAAATGGTAATTATTTTTGAGTTATTAACAAAAAAACGAAATGCTATCTTTTTTCATCTTAATTTGTTAGATAATAACAATTGCAATTTTTAATGTTTTAATACATACTTTCGATACATTTTTCTAGACGTCATCCCGAATCGAATGAGCCATCGCTCATATTCTTAGAAGCTTTATGAAGAATTAACACGTTTTTTAACTTAGTCTAAGGCTCTGGTGCGCTACCAATGAACTGAAGGCATTTAAAAGCGCAAAAAGCTTAGCATACTCTAGTCATTCCTACAGGGCAAATTGGTTATAACGGTAAGCAAGATTGGTTAAAGATTCCTCTACAGAACTAAAGCCTGAAGTTTATTTACACGTGCTTCATTTGCTTCGTTGCTGTAAACACCACTTACATCTTTTTTACTCGAGTGACGATTCAGAGCTTATTAATGTGTAACTGCATCTATTTTAGGATCACGCACTCGTATCACATATGTGTAATCGAAAAGATACGTTAACTTATGCACGAAACACCAGCCATCGTCATAGAGTTATACTCATTCAATCGCTTTTTTCGAACGCGCTGCGCAACAATAAACAATGCGTTTAATGCTATTACGGCAATCACCCCGCTCGTCAAATTATGATCGCAGTGTGATGATATTTTTCATTCTCTTGATTATATATTAGTAAACATCGCGATGTATAGATTACAGCACAAAATCAACTTTACGAAAAATATTTTAAGTGTATAATTATACAGTCACGCAAAGTTGCTGTTAAGAAATTTAGTAGCAACTTAGGGACTAAATTACAAAAAGAAACTTTTAATCCCGTACAATGACAAATAGAACACTTCCATGAATGCTAATAGAAATGTTAATATTAGTATGCATGGAAGTGCTATATTTGTGTTTTTAAGGGATATAAAACTTTCTTTTATTGAGCGACAGGCAATATCAACTGTTTTTATTTAAAGTTCTGTCTCTTAACAGGATATTATGCAATAAACTGAACTACAATTTAATAGTTTGCGGTTCTATAAATATACATAGGATTCATTGACACGTTATGAAGTCAAATTATTGATGTAACTATATTCATTACATAATATCTACAGTTGTAGCAAATCAACGGTCAACGATTATTTAGAGCTGAACAAGTAAGGCATTCTAATGAAACTGTAAATAAATGTTTTGTTTGAGTTTGAGTGTTGGTTTTAACAATCCTTCTAATAAGTAGCATTTATTACGATTGTAAACATGTTTATAGTATATAGATAAATAAGTATATCCACTGTATCGGTTATAATTGATCAATCACATAAGACACGAAATGTATTTAGGGTCGGCGCGTATTATCTTCCGTTCTTTCGTTAATTTCTTTAGTTAACAGCTTACTCCCATTCTATTCTTATTCAGTTCCATGCAAGTTGACTTTTCTATGGTCATCCTATACTGTTGTATTAATGACAACAGAGTGATTTTTCAATTATTTTAGTTGTTCTAAAGTTTATTTACACTTTGTGCACATCTGGTACATAGACGGACTTAGCATTCTCTACTAGTCAATCATTGGTTGATGCCGAAAAAAGTTTCTAAGTGGTTTCTAAATGGAAATAAAGTGTCTATATAACTAAATTTCTACATGTATATAACTTTACTTGATATCAAGTTTGCCGAATAGTTGGGAATAATCGCGATGACTCCAAGATTCAGTACTATTACACAATGTAATGTAGTCCATAGTAGCAGACAAGGCTCTAAAGAAAAGGACAGATGCTCTGTAGTGCCTCACTGATGATAGATTAGACCATGAGGATTCACTACTTACATGATGAAACAGCTAACGTAAACTTACAGTTTCTTAAGCTACAGGTAACAGCAATGTATGTTTCATTTCATTTCAATTATTCTTTATTGTACACATTACTATTAAATAAGTGATTAAGGAAACTATATTATGTACAAAGCCGAGCTTAACCCAAAACTGAGTTTTCTTCCAGAGAACCCTTAGAGTGAATAAAAGATAGCAGATAACACATCTTCATGAATAAAAGTTTTATACAATAGTGCAACAGTGACAATAATGTGATTTAATTGTCCAGTTTGAGAGGGCCCAGTTTGTTTGATTTTTTATTACATGCCATTAATAAATTGCATTTTATAATGGATGTAAAATACTTTAAATGTAAAAGGCTTGTCACTGAGGCCTATTTCTATAAGTAGGCCTTTTATTGATCAACATTTTCTTATTTAAATTTTCAAGGGCCTTTTACACTTTGTGAACATCTGCTTTTAAAGAACTATGTTGGAATAGATTATTTAAGTTTATATGAAGTGGTGCCTCATAGTTGCTGCGATTGTAGGTAGCTGTACAAACAATTTCAACTTATTTTTTATAAATGGTTCAATATTTCCTTCTTAAAATTAGTCAGTAATCTGAATGATGACGAATGAATGAATCAGTATATTTATTTAATGATTTACTGAAAAGCAATGTTACACACATACATATGTAGTGGATTGGCTAGAGACCTATTTCTTATTGTTCCATGGATTCACCGTGCGGGAGCGCGCCCATCGCGCAGAGCGACCTTTTCCGAAGTCATCGACTATGGCGTTCATAGATGGGGTACGACCTTTGCAGTATATCTTTTTTTCGGGGCATTAAAAGAGCACGGTTTCTGGTATTGTTCTAAACTTTCCCACCAATAGTAAGCAATAACATTTCCTAGGTTTTGTCCTCATTCCATCCGTCCAGCTACAGAAGTCAACCACCATGTGCAGCAGTTCTTGGCACTGCTCCAGGTTACGTGCAATGTTGCGATCATTGCACGTAACCGTGCAATAGGTAGCAGTGCGTGGGTCGTCTGCGAATGCTAAGATAGATTCTATATATTTTCCATTGATCTTAAACTGGTAGCCCCATATCTTTTCATGTTACAATATTATCTAATAATATATTATTAACTGTATTAAATACTACTGGTGATAATTAACAACCTTGGAACAGCTCTACTTTGTATGCAAGGGGTTTTGTATGTGTCTCTCTTTTGCCCTAAGGTAAAACATAAAAATATAAGGCATATTACAGAGATGCATTTAATAAATGGGGCTAAAAAATTACTAGTGGTATATAATTTCACTAATGGTATGCTATTTCTCTTTCCTTTAACTCTTATTGAATTTATTGAAAGGGCTTTTTATGACAATACTTTTACAACTGTAAGTGAATTTCATCAAATATGGTAATGACCTGAATGTTGCAGATCTGTATGATTTGTAATAATGTAGTAATGAGAAAATTTAAATCTGTAGTGATAGACATTTGACTAATGCTAATTTGTCAGTTGTGTTGCTGACTATTTTTTTTGCATAAAAGTAATAAGAAGAACACACAGCTCATTCATAGTTTTATAAGTAGGGATATATTATGTATTCTCTTTCTCCATCATTTATTAAAGAGGACTTAGGGACCAAATAGATGCTGTCCGCTGTGGGTTGCATTTTAATTTTACATGGTGTCATCAGAAGAAAGAAATGGTACTGCACGAGCAGTGTGTGTCATGATCATGTCGTGATCGACAATATTATTATTGATTTATGTTTATTTGGATTTTTCACTACAGCTGTGGGTCACAAAATAAAAAGTTATAAGAAGATATTATCAAGTAAAAAATAAAAGTAGTGTTGTTTTTGATCATACAGAATACAGTTTTATACCATAAAAAATAGTTGTAACTAAATTTCAGTATGTTTATACTTAGTATGTCTTATTTAATAAATTATATCTGATTAATACATTTATATATAAGAATTGCCTTTTCCAGTTACTACATTTACCATTTGGGTCCTCCCCTAAACGATAAATGTAATATGTATTGTCATTGATTTTTTTATATTGTTTGTATAGTGTTGTAAGATTAAACTTTAATTTCATTATTTGTTTGTTATTTATTGCACACAGAGTTAAATAGAAGCATTTAGAAGTATACACAAAGGACTTTTTATACTTAATAGATATCCAGTAAATAGATATTTATAAATAAACGGTAGAAACATTTGTTCTCATCACTATGTACATTAGAACATTACTCTTTCTAATTGTGTCAAACAAAAATCATTTAATTGGAGTTTCTTTTAATTTTTAAAAATTATTCAGACAGCATGTTTTAAAGTTTAATATTACTCTGGTATAGTAACATTACAAAACACAACAGTTAAAAAAAATTTCAAAGGGACAGTGTATATACCAATAATTATATTTTCATGCATCAAATACCTTTGTAAGTCAATAAATTTTATCTTTGTATATTATGCTTTCATATCATTAGGAGTATGTTCACATATTATCATGAAGATAACAGTGATTTCTTTATATTGTCATTCTTTATGCGGAACACAGTTTTAAGTATTTCTAATGTGTGTTCTACAAACCTATATTAATGTTATTATTGAGGTGATATTATGCATAGATTTCTATTCACTTTCAAGCAACGTAGTAGATAGTCTGAAAGGGTAAATTTATTATGTTAGATAATGGGGTAATAATTGATGATAATTGAGGCAACAATATGATGACAAACTGTTTCATATGTTTAAAAAAAATCAATTAAGTACATTAAAATCTAACCGTAAACAATAAGAGTAACAATATTGTAGGGTAAATTTATAATCTTAATTATTCGGATTGTAATTGTAAACAGGTGACAAGATGAGGTTGAACTGTTTCCTACATTAAAAAAAAATTACATGAAAATCTAATCATAAACAATAAGAGTAAGAGCACTGCCATTTATTATCTTTTTTTAACAAAATACAGTAATTATTAAAATTTATAAACAACAACAGTGATAAACTATTGAGTATACAAAATATAACATTCAATGTTGATTAATATGTCAATACAAGGTCAAGATAATATATTGAACAGTTGTAATGAACAGTAATGTCCAAACTATTTGCTAAGATCTACCTTCAAACACCAATATGTGTTCTCTATAAAAGAGTGGAATTACCACTTACTCCATTAGTCTCAGTAACACTAAAAACTCATTATATTACTTGTAAATTAATATTGAGTATCACACAAGATAAACTCATAATAAATTTCGATGTGCCACAAGGTTGTACCTTCTTTTAAATATTTCGGATTAATGTTCAGCTTCTTTCTTGGTTTAGTTTGGATTTCTATGTTATTAAAACAAATAGTTATTGATAACAAAATTATATCCTCATAGTTCTAACCCCTTCATTTTAAACCATTTATATTCAAAAAAATATTGATAATTAAAAATATCTCACTTAATTCAGATGTCATACAAGTATAACAACATATATTTTTTATAAAGTAAAAACAATGTTGCAGAAATCAACACAAATTACAATGCTAAATGGTAAAACAAATGAACAATTAAGCACTAAGAGAAACTTTAAAGTACTTAATAAATTCAGTCCTATTATGTCAACACAACTTTGCGATATCAATAAGGTAATGTAGGCTGTATATTACAAAGATGACTCACCATACAAACAACACTACTAGGACCATAAATGTATAGTAAATTAAAACACTTACCTAGGAAAGGCATCAAAAAACCATGTTCTCTTAGTGTTGGGGAATGCCACTCGCATACCAGACATGAGAGGAGAATGAAGCACCACAGCCCCTACCTCATAGCGGGCTGCCAAATCAACAGTAGGTACAGTCCCAATGCTTTGACCATATAATATAATGTTTTCTGGGCTGATACCATATCGCGTTCGTAGCGCTTGCCACGCAGCATCAATATCCGCATATAAATTTTTTTCTGAAGGTTTGCCACCACTCACACCATAACCAGAATAATCATAACTGAATATATTACAGTTTATTCTAGTGCCTAGTCCTAGGTAAAAACTGCTCATTTGACCAAGATCAACAGCGTTTCCATGTGAAAATAATATAGTAAAACGGGCGTTGGGACTACATCGAACAAAGAGGCAAGCTATTCTGTTTCCTCTCGTGGTTCTCGAGTAAAACCCTTCAATATTCTCTTTTTCTCTGTCTGAATATTGCCACTCTGCACGATCGGTTAACGTCAAAGAGAATTTTGCTGCTGTTTCATCAGGTGTAAATGTATACGTAGGTTCTGGTGGCAGAAAAGCTAGCTTAGCCGCGATTTTCCCCGGACATGGTGGACAACAAAACAGGCAACAGAGTTCACTGAAACTTAACCCGTTCATGTTGATTTTTTACTAATATTGATGTAAAAATTATTGAACACTACCCATAACAATACCACAAACTACAACTCACAAATTACAGATCATGGCGAAAATATAAGATTTCACAAAATTGACAGATAGTCAACAGTTTCGTTCAGCCATGACGGCAATGTTGCCAACGTCATTGCTTTCCAATGAGGAACAGACAGAAAGAAATTTTAATATTTACAAACGAACGTTTGGTTGGGCCTTTCTAACAATATTACTCTACACTGTGGTTAGGCCAATAAAACCTCTTCGGTCCGATCTCATAGGGTGCTAAGTAAGACTTAAAATAAAAATAAAACAAACTAAAAAACAATTGCCCTAAGAAAACGTATCTAGTAATTACAATATTAATGTTATGTGCTAGATTCATAGCAGATTCTCAGTTCAGTTACTAATCAAATATATTTAATAATATCAAATTAAATACTCAAGAACCCGTGTAAATGTCATTTAGTTTTTTTGTAGTCAGTTATTGAAATTAATTTGGGAGAGAGTGACAGTTTTAAAATGAAGTTAATGATACGCTGTTTGTTTTCATATATTTAAAATGTTGTTTAGTAAGATTTTTACATTGCTATATATATTTTTACATCTAAGAATAAGGTCCTTGCTTTAGACTTGACCTTTTCTATAATGAAGTTTTGGTTTAGATTTTTCTACTTTGAGATTTGAAGCTTCTTTATTAAATCTGTACTCTGCAATAAAGTTTTAAAAAAACTGGTAACATGTTTAATTTTCCCTACACTGTTGGTAAAGTACACAAGCTAATCTTACAAAAGGCAAACACTTAATATACTTACGTAATACAAAAATAACCTCATGACCGCGTTACCAGAACAGAAATCTTTGGTTGTGTGCAACCCGCACGCAGCCTTAGAATGATAACGCACACGCAGGCATATAATTTAGTGAAGAAAGCGAGGAACTGGAAGGAACATAGACATCATTTAGATGTAAAAACCGGCAATAATAATGATACTGAAATATTTTACTCATTTGTTTTGTTTTGTTAATTTACATATTTTTTTAAATGTTAAGTGAATGAGGGTGAAGGTCGTCTTAGGGTAAACTGGACGGGTTTACTCTGGGAAGGAAATCCCTGAGAATTCCAGCCGACCTTGGCCGCCACACCAGGGGCCTTGGTTTTCTTTCGGTTTAGAGAAGCGTCACAAACCTCTTCTGCTAGAGTAACGGGAAGCATCACCGTTGCAGCAACCAGCATTAATGGAGGCTGGAGATCGTTCTGCGATCTCCGGAACCTGGAGCCGCCTCTTTGGTATTTAGACATCACTTAGTCACTAAAGTAACGGCGGCACCCCACTTTGGACCATGGCCAAAACCATGATCTCTAGTGAAAGGCTTCACGCATTGTATACGACTTCAAATTGTAAATAAATCAATGGCAAAACATTGGCAAGTAGGTGTTTTAATAATAGGTAATCAGTCTTTTACAATCTATATATGTATAAAATGAAAACAATATTAGGTTAAAGAAAGTTTATTAGAAATAAGAAAAGCTATTTAAAAGAACGGTAGCGTACATTACGAATTTACATGGTGCGTAGGTATTACGAGGTGTAGGATCTACATAATAATCAGCAATGCACTCGATACCTCGTGCAAATAAAAAGAATGTCTTTTAATTACACATTCCTCTGATATTTGTACATTGAAATTCTTTCTATATAATAAACAATGTTTTAATAGTTGTAACTACATGTTACTAAAATTAATTTGAATTTAAATATAATAATTACATTATTATTTTATTACGCTAGCGTAAGTCAATACTGAACCTATTTTGCAATCTAGCAACAACGAATTTTAAGATTATTTATTACAAATATTATACAGACATCAATCTGTTAAAATAATCTCTTAAAACACAGATTTTTTTAAATATTATAATGCTATCACATTCACAAGTATTTTGACTACTTTTTTTACATTTTGTCATTCAGAGACAGAATATATGCTATTGCAAAATTTAATTTGGTAATTTTATATTTTACTATACTTCATTGAATAAGAGATCCTCCAAAGGAGATATTTAAATAAAATAATGGTTACGATGCCTTGTGTAAAATTAAATTTACATTGACGAATAAATATCTACTACCAAGCAGGTACTAAAACTTTTAGAGGGATTTGCATTTGTTTTAATTGTTTGACACAAGGTTACGTAGGAAAAACGACGTTTAGATATAATCTTTAATATATTTTAAAGTTATATAATCACATAAGATATGCCTTAATATTTATGATCAAACAGAATAAGCGCTAATTTTAGGACTATTAATATTTGATTAGCATCTCAGCAATAGAAGTGATCAGAATAGTTCTGATCACTAATTTTATCATGTCAATATACATTCAAACAAATTACAGGCACATTTTTTTTTCAATAGAATCACATTTATTACATGTCAAACATTGAATCAGTCTTAGACTAGGGAACACTGGAAATTATCTAAGATGTTCAGTCGTGACCTCTTTGCTAGTCCACATAAAACCATGTACCCTACATTTACTAGATTATTAAAATTAAAAAAAAAAAAAATGAAGGGCTCGTGGCTAAGTGGTAACCGAGTAAATTAACACATTGAGACCCCTTCGTACCTCGGAGATTAAGCCGTCGGTCCCGGTTGCTATACGGACATCTGTAGCAATGTTTACGGGTAGTTAGAGCCTTAAGAAGTCCGACAGGCGACAACAGTCTTTGGCTATCGCCTAGTACTTAGGTTGTGGAGGTCTAAAAGCTTTAGGTCCGCGTATAAAATCGAAGTTCTGCCATACCATAGTAGACTTAAAGCCGACCCCAACCTACTTTGTGAAAAGAGCTCGGCAGAAAATTAAAAAAAAAAAAAAAGAGGTGTTGTATTTATTCTAATGAATTAATATTTAAAGCAACAAATATGTACTTGTTCGTGTGCGTGCTCATTCTTTTTTTTTGCATACAAAAGTGATCTTGTCCGTAACAAGCGGCTAAAAGAAACGTTGCATATCGACAATTTCATCAGACAAATAAAAAAAGATACATTGGTAAGAATTAGCTCTATAATAATACATTTCGGTAACGTCCATTAATTGTACTTTTTAATATGAAAATTGCTTGAAATAAATTAGTATTATTATCTTATCACTGTACTTAATACCTATTAATTTATTTAAAAAGTTACCTTATAGTTTTTGTCTGGTATTAATAATTTGGATGGGATATAATCGTAATATATTAATTAATAAAGGATTTGTATTACTAATACAGGTACATTAATGTTGTTAGTGCAAGATTGGCATACATAAAAAAATATTTATACGATAAAGTATAAACCACAAAATTCGCTAAAATAGAAACAAAAAACTCCAATAAAGACTTGCTAAGGCTCTGCAAATATTGTTTGCCCTTGGTGTATGATAAGCTATAGGTATAAAAATCTCATTTTTCTCTTGCAAATGTACTTTGTAACATTAGGAACGCATACTCATTATTGATTTAATTATGTTACTACAGGTTTCTAGCACTTTGATAAAAACAGTTAAAAAATATATCGACAGGGTGTACGTGCTCGCAATTTGCTCACTAATACTGGCTTAGCTTAGTACCAGTTGCACAACCAAATGATATACACGTAAACAAACCTAAAGGCCATTCTCGTAATAAAAAGTCCTTTAAAATACCGTTTATTACATTTGAGAGATCGAGAAAAGATCGGACCTGAATTTCTATCGAATTTTTAGATCGAGCATTGGCCTTCAAGTTCTAATCATGTTAGGAATTACATATAACCAAAAAGGGATATATCTAGAATTAATAAATATAACAAAGTTAAAGAAATTAAATTCTACAATGGACTAGTATAGTTAAAATATTAGGAATTATACCCACTTTAATTTTCATGGTGTCACTGTATTTGCACTGTTGCTTAATATAACATATTATTTTAAAACCATATTTTCATGATATCTTACATGCTGTGTATTATGTTAGTTTGTGATTATGGATTAATGTATTATTTGTTAATACGTTTAACGAGTGATATATTAAGACTATGATGTGAACAAGACGCGAGAGAACCAATTGATTGCAAACTCGAAACCATAAAAACTATTCATTTGTAATATACCTACTAGGTTTTTTTAGTTCATTATCTATTCTATTTGACGGGCCTGTTGGTCAGGGCTGCTAAGACGGAAGATGCCTATTCCCACCCAAACAAATTATTGTTTGTTGGCCTGTGTCTGGATGTACTTTATCTGTAACATGTATGTATTTCGCAATATATAAGTATACAGTCTGGTTACCATAGTATACTCTGCCTAGTTTGGGATCAGATGGCCGTGTGAGATGTGTGAAAGTATTATTTTTATTCTTCTCAGCAAATATTATTAAGAATAATATATTTGAGGTTTATGTATAAGTGACTCTATCCTTATTTCACTCTTTTTTCAAACTGTACTAGACTACGAGGTTAAAGCTAATGAAAAATTTAAAAAATCTGCATAAAGAAAATATAAAATTCAAAGCAGAATAGCTATGGGTTCGGAGTTGCGAAATGTGCTTATTTTTTTATGGTATAAGGGGCAAACAAGCAGTCAAGTCACCTGATAGTAAGTGACTACTGCCACCCTTTGATTTCCATCCTCCCGGGGTCCCTTAGGGGTAGGAGGATGGTCCCCCGGCTTTAGAGTGAGGCCGTGGTACCTCTCCGGCCGATACGTGCTTGCATTAGAAGCGCATTGTGAACCCCCGACGTTGGACCAGCTTAGCTGCACTGATTGATAGCGATACTCAAGTCATAAGTAACTAGTTATTAAACACTAATCGAATTGGAAACCTCGACAGTCGGTTCAAAAAATAAAAGCGACACAAGGGTACAAATTATCTACTGTTAAAAATTAAAATATAAAACATACCACATAGGTAATTACGACAAACATTATTCTATTGATCCATAAAAAGCACCTTTCATTGTTTCATGTAATTGAGATTATAATACATGTCAATTAATTACAACGGTCAGAGATCGTGCACAAGTTTTTAAAAATATATTATGCCTTACTATTGTTGCGCTATAAGATTAAATGGTTCGATTGTTCCAGAATTGTATGGAATGTACAGCGCCATCTAGCATCAATTAAAGTACAATTATTGAGATTGTGATTGAAAATTCACATACTTTACAGCGCTAGATGGCGCTGCAAGTAACGCTTAACCGACACTGGAATATTCTTATTTGTCTGAAACGGACTATCAAATACTAGGGATCTTTCTAGTAAATTCAATAGCGCTATAAAAGCGGAGCGTATTGGCCGTAAACACAACATCGTTTCACGACACAGCGAATTAACATCGAAGTGAATATCTAGTGCGACTAACGAGTAATATAGTGATTTCTTTTTTGTAGTGCAATAAAAGTAAGTAACTGACAACTTTTATTTATTATATACCCCGCTCCTAACACTATTGTCAAGAGTTTTTACGGAAATTAACCGTACAACGAATTAAACTGACATTTTCTTCGTTCTAGTTTGAAATACAATGTACTTTCTGATACTAAATTTAACTTACTATAAGTTCTTTCAAAAGATTAGATTTTTATATGTATTTTGTTAATATGTTAATGCAAGGTATAAGTAATTACATTACATATTTAGCTATAAAATTTTATCAGACTTCGCAGTAGATAAAAATATCGGAACCCCGCTTCGTCGTTAAATAGTTCTTCGATTGTTTTTCAGCAAAATTCAGTCTTTCAAATCAGAGTACATCTCTTTCGGCACCCAAAATTCTAATGCAGGATCACAAGTTCCGATAACCATTACTCCATTTAAGTACCCGAGCTGAAAGTAAAGAAAGATGAATTAATTATGGTGGCATTTTGTAACAATTAGGCTGCTAGTAACGTGGACTGTATAAGTTCAAGCCCTTCCACTATTGTATAGTCTGTCAGGACAGCTAGTACATTTATAATAAACATATAAACCCTTCATTTATACTTTTATTATATACTAGCTGTCCCGACAGACTTAGTTCTATCAACAGTTATTAGCCTGTCTCACTCCAACAGAAAAAAAATTAATAAATAAGTCTAGTCAACTTGAAGATATACCACAGACAATCCTTAAAGCTCACACACACATTGGCCAGTGTTAGGCCATTTACGAAGGACGTGGGAATGATTACGGTCGCGGGTATTTGCTTTCTTTTTTTTATATAATTAGTGAAATTTTAATATCAATAGCAAAGAGTGCTTCTCGCCATTAATTCAAATACAGAGTATTTGTATTAATTATTTGTATTAAATGTATACTCTGTATTTGAATTAATGGCGTAAAGCACTCTTTTGCACAACAACTAATTACCTTATGCACACTTTCACCTAATATTACACAGTAATTCACAATTTTAAAATTCTAGCTGCGCTCCGCGATGTTACTCGCGGTTGTTGTTGTACCTTGCTCATACCACGAGAACACTACCTTTTTTAGGCATAAAAAGTAGCCTATTCCAGACTATAATCTATCTCTGTGCCAAATTTCATGCAGATCCGTTTAGCCGTTTTTGCGTGAAAGAGTAAAAAACATCCAAACAAACTTCCGGTCATTGTCAACGGCCTGATGGCGTAGTGGTTTGTATAACGGACTGTGCTAAGCCAGGGTCGCAGGTTTGATTTCTGCTCAAGTCAAATATTTGTATGCATAAATATTTAATGTTTGATTTGGTCTGGGTGTTTCCACGTACTTACATGTACCTATGTATTTACAAATATATATAGAACTTATTTTTCATTCGATATGACAGCGAAAATTGGGTTTATAAGGTTTTTCTATAATCTCATTGTCAAAGTACTTGCCTATATTATCGTCATCATCAGCCTATTGCAGTCCACTGCTAGACATAGGCATCTCCCATTGCCTCTGTACCTATACCTATATTTTATTTTAAATTAAACATACCTGTGTTACATCTAATGTACTGCTCTTTAAACTCGTAAATTCTTGCAGTGGATGTGAATTATATAAAAACTTGATTTCACCTCTGTCTGAACACACAATCAGGTTTCCTTGATTTTGGTAACAGCCAGATATCTTGTTCGATGGTTTAATTATTGGAGGCTCAGGCCATATTTCGTGCGTTCTCACGTATGAATAATCCTCTGGATTAAAGAGATGGAGAAAACCTTTGGAATCACCTACATACAATGCAGATGGGCCCCAACTAATACATACAGGATAAGCTTTTTTGGATGGTATTTTGATGTTACTCATTAAGAGTTTTCCCGCTATTCTGTCCCATATGGCCATTGTTTTATCTTCACTCAGTGAAGCAACCATATTATTAAAAGTTATAAGGTCTAATACAGGTCCTTTGTGTGGTTTATAAGAATAAACATGATTTGGTCCACCACGAGCATCAAAAGATAATATCTCTTTAGAATACAAGCCAGTTATAACCTCATTCTCAATAGTCACAACAGACAATGCTGACATACCACACCTGCAATTATTGTATTTTATTAAAAAAAGAACTGGTATATAACTACTTCTGTGCTTGCAAAAATCACATCCTAAAGAAATAACAAAGATTACCCATTACAATAAATTATTTAAGCGCTAAGCATATTCTTTCACATCCAACTTTAGACTTAAGCAGCATCATCATCATTATTTGATTTGAGACCTGATATAGTGAAGCTTGAATATTTAAAACTCAGTTTATTCTATCAATAGTTTTTGGAAAGCAGCATTTACGGTATAATTTCTTTATATGTTGGATAAGAAAAAAAAAAATCCGATGTGTATAAAGACGACTTATTTACTATTTAGGCACTGACGTTGTCGAAACTGGATTGCAAAATTTTGGATTCGGCAATTTTGATGTTGAAAATAAACTACGTACCGGAAGGCCAGTAAGAAATACAATAAATGCATAGTTGCAAACCAAGGAATAACAACTTGTGATATTGCTGAAGGGTTAAATTTATGAAATGCAACTATTTCTCGTCACTTGAAATGCCTAAGGTTAAATCTTATATAATATAATAGCCCCTTATACCAAAGTAAGAGATTACACAGGTTCATTTTCATGTTACATGATTTTAGTTACACTATGTCTCTTAATTCGGTGTGCCTTTTGGCATAGGCCTCCTCCAACGATTTCCATTGTTGTCTGTCCTGAGCAACCCTTCTCTACATTGGTCCCACTGTCAACCTGATCTCATCTTCCCATCTTATGTTTTGCCTTCCTCGGCTTCTGCGTCCATCCCTTGGGTACCATTCTGTAACAGCTTTGCTCCATTTCCCTTTATTTTCCCGCATCATGTGACCTACCCATCTCCATTTCTGCTGATCGATTCGATTCAATACGTCGGTGAGTTTAGTTTTTAGACGCAGGTCCATATTTCTCACTTTATCCTGTCGTTTATATCCTGTCATGCTCCTTTTGCATTGCTCTTTGGGCTATGGCAAGCTTTTCCCTTAATATTTTAGTAAGGGCCCATGTTTCGCAGCCGTATGTTAAGCATGGTAGGATACATGAGTTGAAGGTCTTTGTCTTCAGTGACATGCTCAGGTCCTTTGACTTCATTATTTCCTTGAGCGACCAGTATTTCCTCCATCCAGTAGCGATCCTGAAGTTGATTTCTTTTGTCATTTGATCTTTGGTTGAGATGACTTGACCCAAATAAGTATAATCTTCCACATACTCCAATAGTTCGTTATTAATGCTGATGTTGGTTTTTCGGGAGTTTGTCATTAATTTTGTCTTAGTAGTGTTCAATTTTAGTCCGACTTTTATACTTTCTTCTCTTAGATTTTGTATCATATATTCTAGCTTTTTGGGGCATTCTTCTAGTAGCACTAGGTCGTCGGCGAATCTTAGATGGTGCATTCTAGATCCGTTTATACTAATGCCATATTCTTCCCAGTTTAGTTTACGGAATAAATTTTCCAGTACTGCAGAAAACAATTTTGGGGAAAGTGGGTCCCCTTGTCTCACACCTCTTTGTATTTGAAATTCACCTCCCAATGTCTCTGGCCGAATCCTAGCTTTGATATTGGAGTATATGCATTTTATAATTTTGATATATATGGTTGGTATTAATTGGTGTTCTAGGCTTTCCCAAATATACTCATGACTCAAGCTATCAAAGGCCTTGGCGTAGTCTATAAAGGCTATGAATATATCCTTATTGTACTCGTTGTATTTCTCAAGTATTTGTTTAACAGTATGTATATGGTCAATGGTTGAAAATCCCTTTCTAAATCCTGCCTGCTCGACTGGTTGTTGTTCGTCTAATTTTAAGCTGATTCTGTCTAGTATTATCTTTGAGAAGACTTTGTATACATTGGATGTCAGACAAATAGGTCTATAGTTTTCTATGTCTTCTTTGTCTCCTTTCTTATGTAATAAGATGATATGAGATTCTGATCATTGCCTAGGAATATTGCCAGTTATTAGAATGTCGTTAAAGATTCTTGTAAGATTAAATCTTAAAGATCAACAAAATCTTACTCAAAGAAATTTCTATCGTTGAGAAACGTCAAGAAAATGGTCTATTTTTGAAGTGCATTACTACTGATGACGAGAACTGGGTTATAATAATGTCAAACAAGAAATCATAGAATGCAAAGCATAAACAGACTCAATCGATTTTGAAAGCCAATATTCATCAAAGAAGGTGATGCTATCAGTTTTGGTCGGATTTCAAAGGAATCTATTTTTATTTGATCTTTTACTACGAATTTTTAATTGATAAATTAAGTGTATTGCCATTAGTTGAATAAACTGAATTATTAACTGAATCAAAAAGGCTATATTGATCAACGAAAATGGTGTATTGTTTCACCAAGATAATTCGAAACCTCAAACAAGTTTAGTAACTCTTGAAAAGCTTTGAATCACAGCATTACAATTCCTATGACTTACGCATCAATTGTAGATGGCTGCACCATGAACTACATTGGATTTTCAGAAGATCTACTATTTCTAATTAATAACATAGAAGCACTGCACACCATGCTTCAAGACTAGGTCACCAAAAGGTATTGCTATGGATTTCTTGTAGATAAATGACATAGAATGATGATTTTTGCAAGCAATACTACAATTTACAAATAATGTACTGACCGAAATTTTTGTTTGCAATCCAAACCTCTTGCTAGGTCCCATGCTTTAACAGTATTATCCCATGATGCAGAATATACCGAGGACGCATAATCAATATTGTCTGCAGCTAGGTCCCAGACCCATCCTGCATGAGCATGATGTTTAATGTGTTTTGGTTCGACATTTGCAGATGTAGTAAGATTATCACTTTGGTCATGCGGAGCAATATCTAATACGTTCCATACTGCTATCCCGCGGTCTCTGCCTCCTGATATACAGATTTCGCCATTCTGAAATATGAGATACAATATCCTTGCTATATATTGGTAGAATGAGTATTATATATTATAAATTAGTTAGTGATGTTAATAGTTATTTAGGATGATGTCAAACGGGCGTAATTATTTGAGCTCTGTTTCATTCGTCCTGTTTTTGCCATACAGCTGATTAAATGAATTGTATGCTGACTCACATGCTTTATTTCAACCGAATCCCATTTCAGGGTGAGGGAAGCGGAGGGGGCGAGAAGGTACAAACATTGGATAGCAAATGACGTTACGTCTGACGGATAACTTTATCGTCCGGAAGCCTAAGCGGATTTCGGTAAAACGTAAATTGTGCAACTCAAAATACGCGACTCAAGTCTTACAAGTTTGGTTTGAAAAAAAAAACAAAACAATTAGTTTAAAATGGCAATACATACATTAAGTAATAAAACAGTGTCTACGGAAGCAAAGTGTACATCTTTCACAACTATATGTCTCATTGTGTCCTTAACATTAGTCCACTTTTTGGTCTCTAAATCCATTTCAATACATACAGCTTCCCAATCTATATCTATTTCTTCCCATAACTTCAAATCTGGTAATACAGGATAGGTACCCTTTACTTTACTATGGACCCAATATTTCCAGAGACAATCGTCAGCTAAAATATCGTAGAACCGACGGCATACTTTACTTAGGGTATGTTTTAAAATTTGCACATCAATGAAGGAGCATATTTTTATAAGTATCTGTAACATAAAAAAAACAGGAATTAATAAGATCATCGTCATTACAAGAGATTATTATTAGAAGACACAAATACTCCTTTGCTCATAGATGCACCGAACAAAGGAACCAAACGATTTAACATAAACATCTGTTTGAAAATTAGCAACCACAAGCTCCAAATGACAAGAGTTATCTAATGCAGTTGAGGCTGAATTTTTAAAAAGTTATCAGACTGTAAACATGGATGTACTCGTAATATGATAGAATAAAAATAGATATGGATAATAATGTTTACAAGTGCGAGTCGGACTACTCACCCACTGAGGGCTCCGTACAAATTTTTGGGTACATATTATAAATAGTTCAAGAATCGCGTCCCTGTTTGCCTAGCCTTGATCGAAATTCATTTTCCAAAACCTATTATTACTTAAATTGTGTTTAATAAGTAAAATTGTACCTAGGTGATTGATTACGTACCTTAAATAAAGACTATATTTTTAAGATTAAACTACAAATGTATACTGCCAACGTGTGGAGGAAGTGGAGGAAGTACCCTATAAATTTTGATTCCTTTGACAGTGACGAAATATGCGTTTTTTGCGGCATAAACGGCCGAGATAAAGGGTCTTGACAGACAGACAGACGGACGGACGGACCACAAAGTGATTCTATGAGGGGTTCTGTTCTTTCCTTTTGAGATACGGAACCCTAAAAATCAAAGACTTTATCAATGAAATTAAAAATGGTATTTTACTCTATATGATTCTATACTTGAGAGAGCTTAGGCAGAAAGAAGAGAAAGCATTTCTAAGTGTAGTTCTTTTGACCGGTGTTTTTACATTCAGGAACAGCACACCAACAATAAGTAGTTTTTTTTTTATGTTAGAACCAACGGGTCACCTAATGGAAAGTATGGCCACTGTACGGACCATTAACGTCTGCAACTCAGGAGTCACAAACGCGATGCCAGCCTTTTAGGAAGGAGTGCGCTCTTTTCTTAAGGTTTTCTTAAGGTCGTATCGGTCCGGAAATACCGCAGACGATAACCTGTTACACAGATTGGTTGTGAGGGGCAAAAAGAGTCTCGAAAAGCGTACAGTAGTGGAGCGCCAACCAGGGGCGTGCGCTCCTTGTAGGCAGAAATGCAGTGCTTTACTTGCTATTCACAGACATTTTAATAAAACGTTCGTACGTTTTAAATGACTTTAATTAATAGTAAATAAATGAATAAACAAAATATAATAACTTAAAAACGCCTACTATTTAAAAATAGCACCTACATATTTGCAAGAACACAAACATTATGTTTGCCAGGCGTTTACCGACAAGCAAGCGGCGCTGTACCTAACCAACCAACTCATGCCGTCGCGTCCCACAGGACATTTGTTCGCATGTGTGTAGTAATTTTTGTCCGTGCACAGTTCGCAAACGCAGGCTACTGAAGTTAGTGCCGAACTATGCCGAGTTGTCGGGAGTAATCGGAAATGTTCGTTGCCGTCGTGTTCGCGGGGGCCATTTTTTTTTTTCATGTGATAAGCATTGTTTACTAATTTGTTTCCGCCAGTATAATTATAGTTTTATTTTTCATTTTAACATTTGAAAGTGTGTACATTTAACAGTTTATTACTGAGTTCCGTTGATTTAAAAAAAATGTTAATTGATTGTGAGGTATGTATGGAAAATGTGTGTATATTAAAAATTAAAAGTTCTCACAATTGTCATTCAGTGGAAAGATTAAAATTATGTCTAAAGTAGGTGTGTACCCGAGTTGCAACAATTAAACCAGCAAAAAGGAAATGTAACTCGCAAGTTTCATGTTAAAAGTTATGAAACGTATGGCTGTGTGGTTGTGTACACACGATTAAATTATATTGTTTTCCTACTCCGCCGCATACCTAGTGTCATAATCCTGTGCACGACGCTGGCGCCAACCATCCAGATGATGAGGATGAAAATTTTGCCGTGTAAAACGATGGCGGAAATTTGCGGCTGGTATTAGTCCGAAAAATTCCTCGGAGCACTCTCCATGATATATGCATAGAGAATGCAGAGTGAAGCTACATCTCTACGTAACGCCAAGGGATTGAGCCGATCGGAGATGTTTGGGCTATCGACGATTCGAGTCGCTCTACGTTGGATTCGGTGCAGAAGGAGAAGCTGGTACTGAGGTGCCCCTGCATAGAGATGAGAACAGTATTCCATATGCGGCCGGACTTGCGCCTTATAGAGTTGAAGGCGGTGGGCCGAAGTGAAATACTGCCTCGATCTGTTCAGCACACCGAGCTTCTTCGAGGCCCATTTGACCTTACCCTCTAAGTGACCCCGAAACTGGACTTCGCTCGATATGTCGATGCCTCGGATGGCGATGCTGGCTGAGGCAGTTAGGGAGGTGCTCTCAAACCGAGGTAATACGACAAATGGTATCTTCTTTGCGGTGAACGCACAGACCTGTCTTTTTTGGGTTGAACTGGACTAGATTTAGTCGGCAGCAATCTGAAACCTCCGCTAAGGATATTCCAATTTCAGACACAAGTTTTATTCGACTCTCGATGACGTTTTTCTCGAGAAATATTAGGGCGGCCGGTGTAAAGGGCATCTCTCCAGCAATGGCTGCTATTAGTTTGTAACATCTCATTGATATGCAGAAGAAACAGTGTGGGTGATAGCACTCAGTCTTGTGGAACACCAGTATTTACGAATTTTAAGTTTGAGTATGCACCGTCGACAACGACCTTAACGCTTCTGTCCACAAGGAAAGTGGTGACCCAATTACACAATTTCTTGGGAAGCCGCCGAAGGGACGACACCTTGGGAGTATAAGAGTCGAAAAAGGCGCATTAAAGCCGGTGCCAAATCCGGAGCACACGTTTTCAACACGATAAGAGAAATTCCATCGGGCCCACATGACTTATGAATATCGAGAGAAAAGAGTGCTTTACGCACTGATTTTTGTTTGAACCGGATACCCGGCATATAGGTCTGGCACCGCGGTATGGGCGGCGGTACGTCCCCGTCATCCAAAGTCGAGCGAATCACGAATCTGCAGTGGTGGAAAGGATTGGCTACTGAATTTCCACTAGACAGCCTTGGCAAGAGACCAGAAAGCACGAGTGCCAGAAGGAAGTCTCACCAGTCTCTCGCCGATCCGGCTGATGTGCTCCGATTTCGCCCTAGCAATGGCTCTTTTAAGGGACCTGAAGTCAAAGTTATATTGTTTTTTTAAGCGTGCTTTTACTTACATCGCCTGCCGTCGCTGCATTTGCCCATGCTTGGTAGCATTCCCGTTTTGCAGGATCTGTTGAACCAGGGCTTGGATCTGCCACCGATGGGAATTAATGTAGAAGAAACGAATAGTTCCATGCCCCGAAGTACTTCATCAATGACATCCGGCAAGAAACAGACCTGCCTCCATGAGTAGGACGCAAAGAAGGAACGCATCCCATTCCAGTCAGCTGACTTTCAGTGCCGTACACGGCGGCAGCCTGCATCTCGCGATCGAGGCAAGCACGTGAGAGGCACTGTACTGCGGATTAGACAATGATCCGAGGAGCCAAGTGGGGCTTCAACGGCGATTTTGTAACCGTCCGGATCGGAGGTCAGCAGAAGGTCCAAAGGCTCATGACTTGCCAAATTTGGAACTCGCGTGGGCGTTAATACCAGTTGTGATAAGCCATAGGTCAGGGCGAAATCGTGAACAGATCTCCCCGCATGATCATTCTTGCGTGAGCCAAGGCGTTGTGAGCGTCAAAGTCACCGAGTATCACGATCTCCACGGATGGGATCTGGTGCAGCACGGAATCTGTAGGAGAGGTAGGATGTGTCCGATGAAGTTGATATCTGCGTCTCAGTTAAAAAGATCAAGGCCGGCTTCACTGTCTCGAGGTGGTGGTGGACAGCGTTGAGGTTTGAGGGAAGGCCCCTTATATTGCAGATGTGCCTGCTCCCACTGCGGGCTTATATCCTGTCGAGCGCTGTTGCGCCCATGGAATCGATGGATGTAATAATAACTAAGTTATAAATTATAAACAATATCATACCAAATATAATTTTGAAGGAGAGGAGATAAAAACCAGGCGTGCCATTATCATATTGAATTGAAACATTCTATATTTACCTACACAAATTGAATAAGAAATATTGATTAAAATACATTACAGCACAACCATACATGATTGTACGAAGAGATTAGCCTAAGAAAGAAAAGTCTAACTAAATAAAAGAGAATGTTGTAGATTACTTGGTATCAACATGTACTTTCAATATTTAAATCATTTAACATTAGAATACTTGGTAATTTTTACCTCAACAGGCATATCCATTAAGGATGGTTTTTTTATCTCTTGATTCTTTGTCACTTCTTTTGTGCAAATAATATCTTTTTCTAGCTCCGCTACCTGCTCATTGACTAATTGCCAGGAGTCACACATTATTGAAGTCAGCAAAGAATGAATCTGTAAGAAATGAATGGATTATATATTTTATGGTAAAAGTTCACTAATTACTAATCAAGTAAACTCAGGTGTATTCTGTTTATTAATTGGCACAAGGAAGTACCACCACAAAAACATTAGAGTATGCATTAAAACTAGGTTTAACTTTCATCTGTGACTTTAAGTAGTTATGGGCTATAGTAGGAAAGCTTTATATCATTGTCAATTTTTTGTATTTAACATAAGAATAACATTAAAAAAACTACAAAAAAAATTACAATGATAGAAATCCCCTGACCTTTTGAGTGGAAATCCCCTCAGGCTGTCACCACACCAAGCTCAGATATTTAATGTTGGGCAAAACTAGTATGACTAGAGTAGACTGTTAAGAATACAAAGTGCTGCTATTACAAGGGACCCTGGTATAAGATATATATATATAAACTAACAAAATTCACATTAGTTTTATACATGTATTGTATGTATTCATAATAAGTATACTAATTGCCACCCACATTTAAGTCTTATAGAAATATTTTAATTTCAATAGAAATAAGTGTCAAACATATTATGTAGTTACAGATTAATTTATTCAGTAAAGCTTGTATAAGGCTTGTAATTGCACCACAACCTACTTGGTTGAAGGCTTCCAATAAACGAAAAAGGATATATCAACCTTCTTTATTAACATGTATCTACTCAGAGTCTACTTGTTACGGATGTGATTTATTTTTTATTTTATATTCTTAACAAGCTCAATTACATTCATAATATGAATATTCTCGTTGTTTTTAATGCTTTTTGCTTCCTCAAGACGTAAGTAGTGATAGAAGCAGCTGCACACGACCTTATTAGGACACTAGTTGCAATTAGTTAGTGTTTTCAACCTACATGGTTAAACAAGTGCAAACGCCAGAATTATACTAATCTAAAGTATATAGACTAACTAGTACCTAACAAAGAAACAGGTGACATAATAAATCAGTGTTTTGAGGTATTATATTACGATATTCATTTCGTATTACCTTTTAAATTTAGAGTTTTACACCATTTAAATACTATTTGAAGCGTCCCTAAAATTTAAAAGCTCTACTATAAATATTTGTGATTACAGTTTAATTTGTATACGATAAACCACAACAACACAGAAAAACACAAGTCACATTCCCTCATTCGTGCTCATTCGACGTGAAGTTTAGTAGTGTAGTGTCAGTTGTCAGTATCAGATGTCATGTCAACTTTTAATTACTAATAAATAATGAATGTTTGCCACCACAATTGTGGCAATGTAAGCAGTCAGAACACACATTAGATTTTGTAATTAGTTCACCGATTTTAAACCTGTAGATGAGTTAAGAAGGTTTATACTAATTTTCAACAAATAAAAGCATTTTTTAAGCATGTTTGAGCTCTTGGAGTAAATTCTGATACTACTATAAACAAAGGGCAACTACTCTTTCTATATAGGAATTGGGCTTATTTCACTAGCTTGGACAACAGATAACGACGTGGTAAAGTATGAAACAACTTATTTGCTACTTAGTGAAAAATTCAAATTTTTCTATCAAAACTTAAAAAATATTTAGCGAATACAAAAAAAAAATACCAGTGTGTTTTGCCGGTGATGACTTATAGCGCAAAGACGCGGTCATGGACAAGTCGACCAAAAAGCAATGGTGAGGGCAATTCTCGGAGATTTTTCGCAGAAGAATCAAGGTCACTGACATTGCCCGGAGAGTTTCCAAAAAGAAGTGGAAGTGGGTGCTTGTTACATTGCTTGCAGAAACTATGGATAATGGGGCCAAAAACTTCATTAGTGGTGACCGAGTACAGGAAGATGGAGCGTTTGTAGGTTTGAAAAGGTTTGAACATAGTGATTCAGCGACTTGGTGAAGGTCACGAAAGCCGTTGGAAGCAGGCAGAATATGACCGGTCGTTGATGCGAACCCTGGGAGATAGTTATAATAGTTCACTTATATTGAAATATTGAAAATCGGGACTTAAAGAATAATGTTATTATATAGTCCAGAGCTATTTTATAGTTATTATATAGTACAGCAGTGGACTATTGATGATGATGATATTCCCGTAATTTAAGGCAAAAAAGAGGGACAGCCTCGGAACGAGAGACATCTAGCTGTAAAGTTATTTTATTTATTTATTTGCATTGATGTTGTTCTGCGTAGTTCGGCTCGTTCTCCCTAGGTCGGCTCTAACGACATCCACGGTATAAATAGGGGTGGTAACACTCTGTATTCTTAATCCGTCACATGGATAACTTAACTTTTATATAAACTCATAATGGCATTCTAAAAATTGTCAAATGTTTTTTTTCCTCTAGTCTCGTGTTTTAGTAAGATGAAATTTATAGAGAAAAAAATATATTGTATGTGTTTGTCTGTCTGTTTTATGTGTGTATACCTACCGACCATCATCATCATAATCATCAACCTAACGCAGTCCTCAACTGGATATAACTAAGGCAACTTGATAAAAGTATTGTAAGAGTGAGATAGGACTCTATAAAAAGAATCTCATAATGGCTGGCAGGAGCTGGATGCGATAAGCCCAAAATCGATCTAAGTGGCGTGCAATGGGAGAGGCCTATGTTCAGCTGTGGACTGCGATAGGCTGTTGATGAAAGTATTTGGGGTATTATCCGAACGTGGCCAAAATGTAAAAAAAAATCTGTAATGACAGAAGTCAAATAAAATGACAGTAGATGTCATCTTTTTTCTTATAGTAAACACGCGTTGTGTTCGGCTTTTGAATAGTTGGAAATGTAATAAATAGCTATAGTTTGGCTTTCTATTAAATATATTGCTCAATATAAAAATCCCATACGGGCCCTTGCATATTTATTAGTAATTGTATTTAATAACGTAAGTAAGAAATCAATTTATAGGTTCAAATCAAATCGAAGTAACTGAAGCACTCGAATTCTTAGACAAAAGTCTCACAAATACAAATTCTTTTGAAACGTACGTTATTATTTATCAAGCAAGATGGATGTTGAAAAAGATCTTACTAGTAAGTTTTTGAGCGGTGAAATGTCGTTTGCGGAATATTCTAGTGAATGGTATAACTTCGAAGATGAAGAGGATATAGAGGAAATAAGCAAAAAAAGTGAAGATGATTCATTGCAGATGAAGCTAGAAAAGGGGACTCATAGACGTCGTAAGTTTGCTCGAATGCCCTTAGGACTGACTGGCTTAATGGGGGAAGCAAACTTACGCTTTGTGAGAGGAGACAAAGATACTGCAGAAAAGATGTGTCATGAGATAATAAAGCAAGTTCCTACTGCACCAGAACCTTATCAGACCCTGGCACAAATATATGAGCATGATGCTGAGAAATCTTTACAGTTTTCATTACTGGCTGCTCATCTTAGTCCACCTGATGCAGAAGAGTGGCTCAGACTTGCAGCATTATCCAAACAAAAAAATGATGTAAGACAAGAAATGATATGCTATACACAGGCAATTGTGGATGATCCTTATAATATAGATAGTCATATGAAACGACTTAACCTTCTTATTGAACTAGAAGAACAGAAATACCCTATCCAAACTTTAAAAATCACTAGACTTAAGTGTTATCATAAAATTGTAACATCCTTGCGCCCAAATGAAGGAGAAACTATTATGAAATATGCAAAACTAGCTGCAACTCAGTATCACAATAACAATGAATTGGAGCGTGCTCTTGCTGTAATGACTTCTGCTTACAAAAAGTGTCCTACACTTTTTAGTTTGCAGGACATAAATATGTTGTTAGAACTGCTAATTGGTCAAAGACAGTTTCAGACATGTATAGAAGTATTTGTTGCCAGTGCAGGGGTCGAAATTGAAGCAGAAATACAAACTGTAAAGAATGCAGAGGGTGAGATTGAAGAACAGACTAATTATTTAAATTGCACCATTCCTGATTCCCTGCCAATTGATTTGAAAAGCAAATTGTTGGTATGCTTTATTCATTTAGGAGCTAATAACTTGGTGCAAACATTACTTGAAGATTTTCTATCCAATGATGTTGAAAAGGCTGGAGATCTATACATGGATATTGAGGAAGCTCTTTCTTCAATGGGGCATCATTCTTTAGCAATACAACTGTTAGAACCTTTGGTCAAAACAAATAGTTTTGATCTTGGAGCAGTGTGGCTGAAGCATGCTGAATGTTTACAAAAGTTAGGACGTGAAAGTGATGCCATTGACTCGTATTTTAAGGTATTGAAACATGCACCACAGCATCCTGATGCCAGAAGAAAACTTTTCGTTATACTTGAACGGCAAGGCCGCATTGAGGAAGCTTTACAAATGTTAGAACAAGATTTCAAATATGTAGTGAGTGCAACTCTGCTACAAGAGCAGTGTTTGGCTTTAAAAAAGTATAATAAATGGTTAAAATACCTTGAAGTTGGTGAAGCTCTGTTGTCCAAAACATTTGTTCGCTTTAGACATGAAGAAGAGTTAAACATGGCATGTAGAAACAGATGTGGCATAGATCTCATACAAAATTTTAGGACGATGAGAGGTGAAAATCCATACCATGAGAAGGATATTCACTTTGATGATGATGAAACTTTTAAATTAACTCCACAGCAAGAATGGGACTTTTTCCTTGAACTTTTAAAAATTGCTTGTGAACATAAGCAATATTTCACTATGCAGAGATTAACATTTGGTGCAATGATGTCTAAAGGGTTATCTTCTCACCGCTCTGAAATTGACTTTTATTGCATGCAAGCTTGTCTTCTTAGTAATGATCACCAAAATGCTTTTCGTTTCCTACGAGATTTTGCCCAAAAAGTTCCTAGGCCTCGATCATGGAATTTATTAAACCTCGTAATTAATTATGTTGAACGTAACACACATTCCAAATTTTTATTAAGATTATTTCAAAAAGATGGTGGTAATGTGGTGAAAAATATATTTTTGGGTAACAACTTCTTAGTATCGGGAAGATATTTAGTAGCCTTAAAATATTATTTAGAATATCACGAAAAGTGCAGAGATTCTTTATCTGCTTTTTTAATTGCTGTAACTAATTTGGTAATGGCAGCTCAAAGAACTGTTGATAAACATCATAATCTAATACTACAAGGATTGGCTTATATGCAAATTTACCGTAATTTAAGAAAATGTGATCAAGAAGCTAACTACAATATGGGACGTGTATATCAAATGTTGAATATTAACAACTTAGCTATTGAATACTATGAAAGAGCTCTGGCAAGTGAGAGCATAGCAAAATGCTCGAAACATGGTGTAATTGACTTAAAGAAAGAGACTGCTTACAATTTATATCTTTTATATAAAGAACATTCGCCAGTAATGGCTAGAAAATATATGTTAAAATATCTTGTAATTGAATAAATAAAAATTTAATAAGACAATTCAAGTTTGTTTCAGTTTTAGTAGTTTGAACTTGAGTAAGGCCCCAAAAACAGTTAAACCTAGCAGTTCATTGTAGCCTGTGCGTCATTCGGTCTTGGTGTTTTCCTACTGTTGTTTTAAAGTGGCTAAAGAAATGCCTCGCCAAAAAGCTGCCAAATCTCTACTGACATAAAAGTGTTTCATTAATAAATTATCAAGTCATGATGGTATCTTGATTGGGTTTATTTGTTTTAGGAATTGACTGTATTAAATTGCTTACAAACATATTACAATGCCCGATAAAGTTACTCCAGTAAATAATATCAAATTTGAAAAGTTCTGTGGTGTATTGGAACAACTACACAAGAGGAAAAAATTGAAGAAAGTACAAGACACAATTTTAAGTGATTTTATCAATGATTGCAAATTAACGGCATCTCAAGTTATAGGCGGGAAGGTAACTAAAGCATTGTTAATATTCCTATAGTTTGTGTACTTACACTTGCATTTATTTAAAGGTGGCGGGTCAAACGTAACCCATACAAGCAGTAGTGCCTATTGCTTAACTTACTATGGATCGTTAGCAAAGCTGCTGTCGACCCGCACTAGATATAACAAATAAATCTTTAAATTACTGCCAAAATCCAGATTAGGCAGGTGCATACAGGGGGCAAACGGATGGAAAGCGACTACCATCACCCATGAACGACTGCAACTCTTGAGTCACAAGCGCGTTTGCAAACGGATTTCTGTAAATTATTTCACATTGATTATTTTTTAGGTAGAATCTAACAGCTTCTTCGGATAGAAAGCAAATATAAAGGTATTTAAATTGCTTAAGTAAGCCAAGAACTCAATGGTTATTTTATGTTATTGAACATTCAGTGCCAGGTAAATTATTGTCACACCAGGGACTTCCTTTCTAGGGTATACCTGGTTCCCCGGCTATTAGTACCCGAGACGGCGTGCGGTTTTAGTCGGTTCGTGTCCGACATGCCACCGATAGGTTGTATCCGAGGGGATTTGTGCAAGGAAAAAAAAAAGGTAAATTATTGCCAGGCCCTTGTCTTGGTGGAATCAGTTTTAATGATGCCACTTGAAATAAAAATGCAAAGCAACGCATACCGCTGCTCATACATAAAATCATAAGCCGACGACAGTTAACACTGCTGGCAGCCTGTCAAAATGACGACGTTACGAGAAATCCCCGAACGTAAATCGTAAATATCACGATACGACGCGCTCTCTTGCGTGATAGCCAAAAGAGCGCGAGTAGCATAACGTGAGTTTTATAATACTACTACTACTACTACTGCACTACTACGGCTTCTGCACAAAATTCAAATAAATATTTTTCTACTTGGGTCGTTGCGCGAGTGCGCGAGGTCCCTGCATGAGCGAGGCCCCGGGTGGTTGCCCTGCTTGCCACCCCCAAAGGCCCCTGTCTGAATGTTTTGTTTCAATGGTTGCTTCCGAGCTGTGATAGACCAAAGTTGCAATAATGAGCACAACACAAATTGCCCCTTCACACAGAAAAGCCTACCTTTATGTTCACAGAACGCCAGTCTTTTTCCTATTCTGAGATTGATTTTACCAAAGTTGGAAAGAGAGAGAAAAGCCTACAATTTAAAGGAGAGTAAGTTGGGAGCTCTTCTAGTAAAAATACTGTCACTGCCCAAAAATTCACGTGACGCGCAGAAACTGCTAAACTTTAGATCAGCGAATGACACTCCGGAGACAGAGAATGACTTTGCTACCGTAGCATATTATGTGGTAAAAAGTAGACTGAGCGCAACGCCTGCTGCTTTCACTATAGGGGACATCAATAGCATTCTCGATAGAATTGCATCTGCTGAAATCGGAGAAGTTAAAGCAAGTAAGTGCATTTGGTATGCAGTATAAATAATTTAATACTGAATTTAAATAGAAAAAACGTAAGTAGATGCTAAAAGAATTATTTTTACCGACATGTAGATACTTAAGGCTGCCTGATGTTCAATGTTATTTACTTAATCTTAAACTTATTGCTCTGAATAATGCCGACGTCATTAGATATCTGTCCGTTTGGTGATGGATTTAGAATACAGACTGTCAACACCCCTATTCATCCCGTGGGTGTCGTAAGAGCCGACTAAGGGAGCAAACTATGCAGAAAAACAGCACCGCAAAGAGAAGAAAACTTGAAACAAACCCTATACCGTCGCCCATAGACACCTGCAATTGAAGACATACAAGGGCATTGCCGCTCTTTGAGCGCTCAACGACTCCCAAATGGAGGGTGGAAGGCGTCCGGCCTTTTTTCTTTTTTTTTTTTACGTGTGGAAATCCCCTCGGACCGTCACCCCGCCGGGGCTCTCGTTCGGCGGGGCGGTGTGTCGGACTCGAACCGACTAAAACCACACGGTGTGCCCTCTTTGCGCTTCCAGTTTAGGAGGGGTCCAGGTAGTTATCGCCTTCTGGACCTCTCCCAGCGCCGGCCCGCTCCTGGTGCGGGCTCCGTCTCCAGGACCTCTCTTTTTAGGCGACGTCCGGCACACGCGGACGCCGCCCCCTCGCGGCTGGCCAAACTAATGTGGGTGGAGGGGAGAACCCATCCCGTCCACCCGCGGCGACACTCAGGGCGGCATGAGGCGCTGGTAAGCGCGCCTCCGCCGCCCGGTTCGCCGGCGGCGGATCGGGTCCGAGTGGAGGTCGTCCTCCCGGGCCTTCTCCGCCGCCTCCTTCTGCGAGATTACCTCCTCGCAGAAGGTTGCGACCGCGGTAAAACAACTGTCGCTACCGGCCATGGAGCGAATTACGGCCGGTAGCGAGAGATCTGCTCCGATGACTGCAGTGAGGGCCCGGCGCTGCGTCGCCCATGCGGGGCAAACCGCCAGCGTGTGCTGGGCCGAATCCTCACTGCAGTCGCAGTGGTGGCAGGCGGGACTCGATTCCCTCCTAGCGACCGAGTACAGGTACTTTCCGAAGCAACCGTGCCCGGAAAGCACCTGCGTCAGCCGGAAGGAAAGGGTCCCGTGCTGCCGCCCTGCCCACTCGGCGATGACCGGCTGGAGAGCCTCCACGGCGGCGAAGCCAGCGCGTGGAGTCTCCAGCCGGAACGACCATCTCACCATAGTGGCTCGGCGAGCGGCTTCGCGCCACTCGCGCACGTCTTCGGGCGGAGGGCGAAATCCGCTCTCCGCCCGGAAGTCAGCCACTCGCCGATAAACTTCGGCGAGCACTTCCGCCTCCAAATCCCACGGGGGTGTTCCGGCCAAGGCGCAAGCCGCCTCGGTGGACACCGTGCGGTATCCGCGTATGGCTCTGACCGCCAATATCCTCTGGGGGCGCCAGAGGCGCGCCCTATTCGGGGCGGTCAGAGCCGCCACCCACACCGGTGCACCATAAAGCGCCATGGACCGGACAACCCCCGCGTACAGCCGCCTCGTGGGAACACTGGCCCCGCCCAAATTGGGCAAAAGTCGCCCTAGGGCGGAGGCAGTGTCCACCAGCTTCGGACCAAGCTGTCGGAAGTGCTCGTCGAAGAGCCACCTACCGTCTAGGACCAGACCCAGGTACCTCATCTGGGCCCGGACCGGTACGAGGACCAAGCCGACCTCGATTGAGGCGCCGGCGGGTGGACCACGACGGGGCCCATGAAATAATAGGGCCTCCGTCTTATCCAGGGCCACCCGCAAACCCAACGCCTCAATGCGCCCGACCACCAGGGAAACTCCCGAAGGCGTCCGGCCTCCTGTAACCTTCTAGTCAACCTTTGGGTAGTTTAGAATCTCTTATATGCTATGTTTTGATGGGATTTAACTTAAGTACATTTATTTAAGGGTTCTATTTATTTTCAGCTGCTCTAGACGAGACTTTCAGTCACGTGGTAAATAAATTAAACCCAGATCAATTGAAATGGTTCCTTAGGATAATTCTCAAGGATTTGAAGCTAGGAATGAGTGATACAAGAATTTTGGCTATATTTCATACAGATGCACCTGAATACTATAAAAACTGTTCTGATTTATTAAAGGTAGGTACTTACTACACAAATGTTTTGCAGAAAGGTGGCAGAATTGAATTTGTATAAAGTAAATATGAAAATGTATTAGTCAACTTTGCACTATGATTCCCAGATCATATTCTTAAATCTTAGAGCATGTTCATGAGGTATCGAGGCTAATAACTCGACATTCGATTATAACGATAAGATAAGTAATATTTTTTTAACACGAATTTATTAACTTCACCACAAAATGTCTTGGATTAAATTGAAACTTCGCGCACTTATCAAGGACCGATGACAATACAACAATTTAATAAGTTTGTAAGATTATCCTGATCAGGATCTAAGTTAACGACTTTTTTCCATATCTGAAAACACGGAAGTGTCTTGTGCCACGTACCTACTAAGGCGTGTACATAAGCATATGTCACTTACTTACTTGTTACTTATTTAGTCTTTAATTAAAAATAATCATCATTCGCTTTAAATATTTTTAACTTTAAAACTTTTGTTACGCCACATAACTATTATTTATTTAATTTTATCCACTTTTGTACATCGGAACTTATTAAGCTACTACATGATGGTAGTGTATGTTTAGCTCGGTTAGTTTGAGTGTTATTGTCATCAAACTTTTGAAATTTTCAAACAAATTACAAAATCTTTAGAAAAATTTCTTCGATGTCATTTTACTTGTTTAAAATGGGTAGGTACACTACGGAACTCACACTTGGCCGACTTTTTAATTTTTTTTTTTTTTTTTTTTTGTTGTGTACTGCTATATGGCAATCTGTTCCTTCAACAACAATAAGCCATTCCTCTGTTTGACCATTCGGTACTTTTATTGTTTTTTATGTAAAGCGGCTGCTCAGACTAGGAATGTCGCTTCGCTTTAGCCGCGTGTGTTGTAGGCCTCCCTTTCCACTCAATGCTGTTACTAGTTCGTTTTGATGTTCGGTTAGCCTATTTTGATATAGGATGCTGTACTGGCTTATTTCCTGTTTGACTGTTTTTATGTTATAATCCAAATACATGTATTTATTGCTTATGCAATTCGGGATGTTAAACATAGTTCTCAGTGCCTTGCTTTGGAATCTTTCAAGTATGTCTATGTTGCTGTTACTTGCTGTACCCCACAGTTGGATCCCATATGTCCAGATAGGTTTTATGATTGTTTTATAGATCATCATCTTGCTGTTGTTACTTAACTGAGAGTAGCGTCCTATTAACCAGTAGAGGCTTCGAAGCTTACCATCGAGCTGTTTACGTTTGGCCCATATATGTTTCTGCCACGTCAGTCTTCGATCAAGGTGCATTCCCAGATATTTTGCATAGTCCTGTTGAGGGATCTCTTGGTTATCCAGAGTTACAGTTGGACAAGTCTCTTTCCTAAGAGTGAACGTCACATGGACTGATTTAGTCTGATTTGCTTTTATTCTCCATAGTCTAAGCCACTTGTCTACCTCATTCAAATGAGCCTGCAGCTGTGCCGAAGCAGTTTCTGGATCGATGCTTGTAGATAATAATGCCGTATCATCAGCGTACGTTGCAGTCATTGTATTTTCAGTAGTTGGGAGGTCTGCAGTATAGATCACGTATAGCACAGGCCCTAGTATACTACCCTGAGGGACGCCTGACTTGATCTCGTAGAGTTGTGAGTATTCATTATTGCATTTCACCTGAAAGCTTCTTTTATTGAGGTATGAGATAAGAATTGGCAGAAACGAATGAGGTAGCCACCTTTTAATCTTGTATACCAGCCCATTGTGCCATACCCTATCAAAAGCTTGGCTAATATCCAAGAATACCGCAGAACAGTACTTACGATTCTCTAAACACCTGCTGATAGTGTCAACAGTGCGATGAACCTGTTCGATTGTACCATGATTTTCACGAAATCCAAATTGATGGTTTGGGACAATTTTGTTGAGATGCTCCTTCATTCTGGTAAGCAGTATCTTTTCTAAGAGTTTTCCAACCACAGGTAGTAGGCTTATTGGTCTGTACGAGGTGGTTTCCTGTGGTGGTTTCCCTGGCTTAGGCACCATCACCACTTGCGCTATTTTCCACTGTGCAGGAAAGTGCCCAAGTCGCAGACAAGCGTTAAGGATTTTGACTAGTCCCATAAGTCCCCTATGTGGTAGGTGTTTTAGGAGTGTTGCATCAATGAGGTCATATCCTGGAGCTTTACCCTCTTGGAGATGTTTTATTTCCCGCAGTATTTCTTTGGGTGATGGGGCTTTTAGGGGCAAACACATTTGTATAGCCGTTTTCAGGGATTCTTCCACTGCGTTTGTGTGGTGCTTACACGAGTCTTGAAAAGGCTGGAAGACCGTGCTTAGGTGCTCGGCAAAGGCAGTTGCTTTTTCCTGGTCAGATCTGGCCCATCCACCAGTGTTGTTTCTTATGGGTGGATTATGTGTTAAGGGTCTCTTCATTTTTTTAGTTGCTTTCCATAGTGAGTAATTAGTGTCTGAAGTAGGAGATAAGGATGCTAAGTAATTTTGCAGATTGTCATTGTTAAATTGTTTTATTAAGCTCTTTAGTTCTTCAGAACATCTATTAAAGAGTCTTTTATCTCTTGGGTATCGTGAAGTCTGCCAGGTTTTGCGTAGTCTACGTCTCTCCAGTATTTTTTCTTTAATATTTTTAGGGTATACGTTTTGTTTAAATGGTCTTCCCCTGCTCTTCGGCGTGGATTTATAAGCGGCTCTATGTATAGTTAAGTTCAATTTCTCCACTTCATTTTCAAGGTCTTCTACTGTCTTAATCTTATCTTTTAGGTTAATTTCTGTTGCTATAACATTTTTAAACATTTCCCAGTTTGTGTTTTTCAAGTTATATATTCTTGTTGGTGCATGAGTCAGTGCTAGAGACGTGCTTATAGTTAGAATAACGGGTGTATGGTCTGAGCTTAAATCATCCAGTGATTCTGTTGTCGTACAGTTAATGTCAATGTTTTTAGAAATATAGAAGTCGAGTAGATCAGGTATCTTATTTCTATCGGTTGGCCAGTAAGTTGGTTTGTTTCCGGTTAGGATTTCCAGTCTCATTTTCTCGACTGTGCGAAGTAATTGCCTGCCTCTTGGGTTAATCAGTCGGGACCCCCATTGTGAATGTTTAGAGTTCCAGTCTCCGCCACTAATAAATCTTGTGCCTAATGTCATAAAAAACGTTTCGAACTCTGTTTCAGATATGCTGTGTTTAGGTGGACAGTATACAACTGTGAATGTTATGTCGCCTTTGTTGTTCAAAACTTTAACTGTAGTTGCCTGTATTTTCTCAGTGCAGTATTGCTCCAGGAGGTAGTGTTTGATATTATTTTTAATGATCACTGCAGAGCCACCATGACTATTCCCAGTTGGGTGATTGGTAGAGTGTGTTGTGTAGTTTTTAAAAACGACGTGGGATTTGGTAGTGAACCTGGTTTCTGATATAAGGGCAATATCGATTTTTTCTGTATGAAGGAATGTTTCGAGTTCTTGACGTCGTTGCGTCAAGCCGTTGGCGTTCCAAGTAATGACTTGGAGGTTGTGTCCAATCATTTCTTAGAAAGGCTACTGACTAGTTGAACAATACTGTTCAGCATTCTATCCATCATGTTTTCCATAAGTGTCATCATAGATTGTTGCATCTTTTCGATCATGGTTTCCATTAGCTGTGTAATATTCACGATGTCTGTCGTGCTTTCAATCTGTGTATTAGGTTTTCGTTGCGTTTTAGTTATTTCCGAGTATGTCATTTTTTTTGATGAATGTTCTCTAGGTAGTTTGAAATGATGTTTGCTCTTATTTTCATGTCTATTTGTTATGTCCGAGTTCTTATTGCTATCTTCGCTTTTATTTGATTGATCCATTGCTTGTGGTCTCTCTTTTATTCTTGACGTGGGTCTCAGAATTTTCTCTTTGTATTGTTTGTAGGTTTCACATCCCCTGTAGCTAGCTGGGTGCTTCCCAGAGCAGTTGGCACAAGTGGCTTCAATGTCTGGAGACTTTAGACATGTCCTTGTAGGATGATCACTGCCACATTTCACACATCGGAAAGGTCTAAAGCATTGATTTTTTGTGTGACCAAATCTCTGGCATCTTTTGCATTGCAATACTTCTTGTTGTGTTTTTTTATATGGAGCTTCAAAGCTTATCTTCATATTATTAATATGCTTGAGATTGAATATATCTTTGTTGTTATATTTTGGTTCTAAGTCTACATAGAATATAGGCAGCGGTTCCTTTGTAGCTCTATGTAATATATTTACTATCTGCCTGACTTCGTGCCCCTTCTCTTTTAATCCTGTTACTATTTGTGTAGTATCTTCTGTAGAGTGTAAACCTCGTAGAATAACTCTGTACGCCCTTTCGCTTTTTAACTGGTATGTGTAATGTGATATGTTGTTGGCAATGAAATTTTCTCTGATACATTTGTATGTTTGGATGTCTTTTGGCATGATTTTAACTATGTGGCCTGATCTGAGTGTCGTCATAGTATATGTGTTAGTTTCCAGAAACTTGTTCATAGTTTCCTTAAGGGATGCTACATTTAATACTCCTGTGACGAATATTGGTTCAGGTTTAGGTATGTATTCTTTTTCCTGTTTATTAGAGTTTTGTGGTTGTTCATCTTCTAGTATTTCAAATCTATTCTGTGTTAGTATAGTGTATTTTGTGTTGTTTTTTATTTTTTTGTTGATCTCATTGCGTATTGGGCTAGTTTCTTTCCTTTTATTTCTTTTAGCAGGTACGCGATCGTTTTGCCAAGTTTCTTTGTCCTGATTTATTCTTGTTCGTTCATCATTATTTTGTGCAGCTTGTTCATTGTTTTGCGAGCAATTTTTACTTTGTATATCTTGTAGTGTCTCTAATATAGATGGTGTCGAGTTACATCTTTGTCTTGTAAACATGCTTTTATGTAGACGTTGTTGTACCATCTTTGGGTTTAGTTGGGTGTTTGTATTTAGTTCTAAATCATTCGTCATATTGTTCCCACGAGTAGGGTCGATCTAAAACGTCAGCACTGGGGGGTGACGCCCATTCCTCCAGGAAGGCTCCATACGACGACGTTAGCCGGGTCCGTCGAAGTTGGCGCTAGTGACTTTTCTTCCGCAAGCCATGCATCCTTTCAGCACGTTCCCACTTTAGGATTGGAGATTTTTGTATAGAGGGTTGCTACCTCTCGGCCCGGGCGGTTAAGCCAAGACCCCCGGTTCTGTGTGACAGAGTTGCGGGTTGCGAAAGTCATTTCCTACTTTCACATGATGTTCGGATCGGGTTAATTGACCGTCGCCCGATTCTCGACGTTGACCATTTACGGCTGGTGTGGTCATCTCTCAGCCAACCCTCCTCCTTTCTCAAACGGGCTTGGGACCGTCTTAGGCGGAGTTTTTAATTATAAGTCTTTCATTAGATACCCAAATTTACTTGTTATGTTATTTTATATTTTCTGGGTATGCTTATGTTTGTTGGTTAAAAAAAAACTTTCATTTAGGTGTGTGACGAGCTTGAAGATGGCGATACACGCTTATTGGAGCTTGGAATCCAGATGTTCTCAGCTGTGTGTCCTATGATGTCGGAACGATTGGATGTTAAACATACAGCTAAACTAGCACCGAGTTTGATATTGCAAATTGAAAAGAAATTTGATGGCGAAAGATTCCAAGTGAGTATCTAAATTATATCACTGAATTGATGTTACCATATTTTTCTCAGAAAAAACAAGTTCATATAATATTTTAGGCTCCTGAAACTTCAGAGTATTAGACTTCATGCCCGTTTATTTAATATTAGTACCCGCGACTTCGTTCGCATGGAATTTGAAAAGCGCTGCCTTAGTGGGTTGGATTTCCAGACCGGCCAAAATTTTATAGGGTTTTTCTGAGATGAAAAAAGCTTAAGTTACTCCTTATATAGGCAGCTACCTGGTGGTAAAATATTATCAAAATCGTTCCAGCCGTTTAGAACATTACCCGGAACAAACAAACAAAAAATATACTGGTTTCTAGGCATAGGTATCGTGTAAATCACCGTGTGAGCATGTAAAATTCTATTAGTTGGACATTACAAACAGACACTTCAATTTTATTTATTTGTATAGATAAATATATAGGTTTTCAAGGATCGAGTGTCTAGGTACTGGAGTTTGTTGTCTTTTTAATTAAGAAAGAAAGTTGTTACATGTTGAAAGTGTATCTAAACCTCCTTTCTAAGGAGAGGCCTATGTCCAGCAGTGGACTGTTAAAGGCTGTTGATGATGATGATGATGATGAAAGTGTATCTACGAGTAATAATTCGTTTGTCGCCTCTGGGTTTGTTTCTTCTTCCGTAACTCTTACAATTAACGTGGAGCACCGGTACCCTTTCGTACTGCGAACTATGTGATTAAAACTGATGTATCTAAGCTCACCTTATACTTAATACTTATTTATAATATAATAGTTATTTTTCTATACCACTATGATCGGTTGAGTAGGTCCCCAATGCTTTAAAGTAAACCTCCTTACAAACTTGTTGTTAGGTTTTAACTATAAGTATGGTAGATACTCTATGTATCTTTTTGTACTTGCAAAATTTAATAAATGCCGGTTGGGTCGGTTGGTTATTTAAGTCGTGAAAGTAACATACTCACTTTCGCATTAATATGATTCGTTAGGATAAGAGCAGGTTTTTTATTTACTATTTGTTACTTTTTAAAATCTAGGCTGTCGTTTTTCTTATTTTGTACCCAGATACATATGGAAAATGGAGTATTTGAATATTTTTCAAGAAAGGGTCACAAATACTCAAGTAAATTTGGAAATTCATACGAATCTGGTATGTTAACACCTTTTTTGAAGAATTGCTTCAAATCAGACACCACGTCTTTTATATTAGATGGAGAGATGATGGGATGGCACAAGGAACACCAATACTTTGGTTGTAAAGGTAAATATTTTATTTGAACAGTTTTTTCGCAAAACATCATATCGATGGTAATATCATCATAACATGTCTGCTTGCTCCTTCATTGTTCGGTGGCACACACTTGATCCTCTTGTCTATTGCAAATTTCTTCAAACTAAAAGTATTTTTGTTATCTCAGCTCAATAAAAAATGCTATATAATAAAAAAAACAAAAACGAAGGATTGGGGTTAGGGGATTTTTTTTATTTATAAAAGTAAGTTTGTAATATAAACTTATGTAAACCGACTGTGTTTTTATATTAGACCTGGCTTACATGGCAATACCCGATTATTTTAACAGGTATGGCTTTTGACATTAAGAAAATAACGGAAAATTCAAAATTTCGACCCTGTTTTTGCGCCTTCGATATTCTTTACTACAACGGAAGGACACTTGTTGGCCCACCAGAGAAGGGTGGCTTGCCACTAAGCGAGAGACTTCGGATCTTAGATGCCTTGTTTGTAAACGTGACAGGGGTTATACAGCACAGCGAACGACAAATCGTTAAGGACAGGTAACTACATAAGTGCTTTAGGTAACTAGGGCCTCCTACTTTGTCATACAAGTAACTTTTATTATGAAAACATAGATTTCTTCTTATGGCAAGCAGTTAATGGAACGTAAAACACCCAATAACAGATGTTACTGAGACCTGAGGTTAATGATAGGAAAAAACAGATGTATTCGTTCTTTTCCTGGCTTATTGTCGACGTACGTAGGTATAGTACAGATACTTCAGAATCGGGCGGTTTTGATTCTTTGTGTTACGTGCGGAAAGAATTTACCGCTTGCACGATGAAGCGGCAATGTCGACCCGTCTAAAACCACATGGTTTGACATATAGCCTGGAGTCCAAGTATGGCCTTAAAGGATTATTTCTCTACCCCCGACAGTCTTCTATCGGTCAGCACTAGCCCTGACCCTCTCCGATATATTGGTATTGGTATTGGTTGTGGGCTTCGGTTTCCGCATTTAGACTCAGAGTGGTCCTTTATGCGTCGGGGATTGGTTGACTAGGTGAGCCAGCCAAGCTCCTTCCAGAAGCGCAGAAGCCTCCTGGGGCGTTCACAGGCTTCTAGGAGCGACTTTATATCCGGAATGATATTTGCCCGTTGTGTGGCCACTCCCTCGCATTCCAGGACTACGTGGGCGGCCGTTTCTTCAGCTTCCAGACACCCCCTGCACAGGGGGCTGTCCGTCGCATTGACTATGAATAGTTGTCGGTTCAGGGCTAGATGTCCTGTAATAGTTCCGACAACCATTCTGATTTCCGGTCTGCTAAGACTGATCAGTCTGCAGGTTAGTCGTGGCGTGACTTGATTCAGCACCAGTTTGGACTGTCTGCAGCCGGGTGAGTTTTTCCACCTCCGGTTGTGTGCTTCACAGGTCCGTTGCCTGACCCAGCATCGTATTTGGTTAAACGATATGGGCAGGAGTGTGGTTGGGCCAGAGTTTCTGGTTGCCGAGCCCCTCCTTGCCAACTCATCTGCGGCATCGTTCCCGTGTGAGTTACTGTGCCCTTTAATCCATTGGAGGAGTACCCCATTGAATATAGCGAGCTGTTCCAGTGCTTGGTGGCATTCGAGGACAACACCAGAGGTCATTGTGTTGCCCTCCAATGCCTTTAAGACGGCCATGCTGTCGGATATTATTCGGATGTTGTAGTCCTTGATACCCCTTGACATGGCCGTTGTGGGGGCGTAAGTTATTGCCACACATTCACATTGAAATATGGAGCTGTGTTGGCCTAACGCTAGTGATATGTTTATATTTAGGTCTTGCGAGAAAACTCCGGCTCCAGTTCCTGACCTAGTCTTGGAACCGTCCGTGTAAATTCGGACTTCGTTAATGCCGGATTGATCTCGGTCATTTCCATGTATCTGGATGTAGTATCTTCTTGTGAAGATATGGTGTTTTGGGACCCTCTCCGATATAAATATAGTGGGAAGTCTCACGGGCTGCTCTAGGACCTTGGTAGCACCGATAACAGTTAGGCAAGCTGTCAACGGTCCTAGCGTGAATTTTTCAGATGTGCTGTAACTTAAAAGTGTTTATTCAGTGATTGTTCGATTGTAACAATTTTTAAGAAGTTACATAGAATTTGCATATGTCATACCAGGTCTGAAATATTAGAGGCCCTGGAAACGGCAGATAAAAACCAAGAAGAAGGTATTGTGGTGAAAGACGTCGCGTCCTACTATATCCCAAATAAACGTAATGCTGGTTGGTACAAAATCAAGCCTGAGGTTAGTGATAATAGTATTTTATTACTTAATTATTTTATATCATGTTTTAGATTTGTTTGGCCAATGCGATATTCTGTTTAATTTATCAAATTAGTCGTACATATCGTAGTTTTCTTAATTTTATTACTATCGGTAAATTTTCAACCTTTATAATTACTTTCCAATGAACTTTTTTTTAAAATCAAATTAAATCAGCCATAAGCGCGGCAATGAGGACCTAACACTTTGCCAAATTATTTTAAATTTAATTTTTACACTTAAAATTATAAGAGCATGAACTGTACCCTGACAGCTTCGCTCGCGTGTACATTTTAATTATTTTTTTACCAGAACCGTCGTTAATTTTCTAAAACAAAAACAGCCTAAGTAATCATAGTGGCGTGCAATTGGAGAGGCCTATGTCCAGCACTGGACTGCAATAAGCTGATGATGAAGATAATCGTTACAACATTAGCTAACTGCTCTTGAAAGTTCTTTGAAAACCGGTCTACTTTACCTGAAATTATCTTTGAAATCATAATATTATTTGTGTATGCTTAACCTATAAAATGTCAACAGTACACAGATGGGGCTATGGAGGACCTTGACCTTGTAATAATTGGCGCTGATGAGGCTGCCAACAAGAGGCGTGGACGCGCTAAGAATTTCTTAGTTGCCTGCTTGGATGCTGGAGAGTCAGGTACGTTCATATGATGATAAATTACTTGCATGCTATACGATTTATTAGTTTCTAACCATAAATCTATAAAAAAAAAATGAGAATAAACTTTTAGCGTCCCTTAATCCTAACGTAGTCGTAGTTAAAGTCGTAAATTAACTAACGGCATTTAATATTCCTTAGGTAATACCCCAGATCGTTGGGTGGGAGTAGGGCATGTGTCCACTGGCCTCTCGTTTGAAAATCACGAGGCACTGTGCACAATGTTAGAGAGAAACTGGACGCCTTTCAAAAACAAATTACCTCCCTCAAATCTGGTCTTCCACAAGGAGAAACCTGACTTTTGGGTTTTACCCGAAAACTCCGTCGTATTGACGGTAACGTATATGTATTTTATTTGGCTAAGTTCGTAAAAAGAAATCGATCTATAGTTAGAAATACTAAACCTCCTTTTATCCAACTCTAATTTAATTCACCCTTGCCTGCCTTTTCGGATATACAGGCGTAAGTGTATTATTTATGTTATTTTAACTTAAATGTCAGGTTGTATGTCCAAAATGTCATTATATTCATGCATACACATTTATGGTCGTCTTTATACACGTCCGTGTGGTGAAGGATTAAGAATTCAGAGTGTCACCACCCCTATTCATCCCGTGGGTGTAAGAGCCGACTAAGGGAGTAAACTACGCAGGACAACAGCACTGCAGAGAGAAGGAAAACTTGACGCAAACTCTATACCAACCCGTCTGGCCCACGTGGTATAGTAGGCCAAAACCTCCTTTCTAAGGAGAGGCCTATGTCCAGCAGTGGACTATTAAAGGCTGTTGATGTGATGTGATGATGTGATACACATTTATACCGTAATGCTTTATTCTAGATAGGTTATAATGTATTGTCTCTAACATCTCCGATATCAACTGGCGTTTTTTGCCATCTACCCTAATATGACTATTAACTATACTTACCTCCATATACACCTATCGTATAGATGTTGTTTTAAAAATACGTAGTCGTTAACCAATATATATGAAAACAATCATACTTTACTGCAGGTCCGTGCAACAGAGTTGATCGCCAGTTCGAGTTACGGCGCCGGGTACACTCTAAGGTTCCCTCGAGTGATTCGAGTGCGTGACGACAAGCCTGTACGAGACATCATGACTCTCACCGAGCTCCGACAATTTATAAGTGTAAGTTTATCTGTCTTGGGCGGTGGATAGTAAATGTCATGATAAAATCGTTTACCCCAAATTAATAAACTTTGTAATTCATATAATAACTCCTTTACTTGTATTTCGATCTAATGAAAAGTTTAAATTTTCACATAAAATACGAACAAATATAAGAAGACACATGATATACATATATGTAGGCATACACAACTATGATACCAGCAAAGTTAAGAAAAAAACATGTTTAAGCCTACTCGGGTTCAAATTAAGTCAAACTTTCCCCTTCGGCTTCGGAGCTTCGAAAGAAGTAGCATTTTTTTTTATCGACACGAGTTTCGAAATAAAACATTTTTTTTATCGTAAACAGTGTCGAAAGAAGAATTATTATTCTTATTTCGAAATTGGTTTCGAAGGCGGCCACAGGGAACCTATTATCGGTTCATTTTATTTTAAAAAAAATGTTCTAATGTCTTTTAGAATAAAGGCGGCGGAGTAGTCACAAAACTCAGTACAAATAATATTGGTGAAGAGGAGATACCAACGGAAGTGAGAGTAACTCGGAAACGGAAGACTGAACCCACTCAAGTGGCTGAACAGTTCCTGATCGCGACGCATGGAGGGGTGGAGGCCACATCGAAGGCCCTCCTCGGCCGGAAGATAGCCATACTGTCCGATGACGAAGATTGTAAGTCTCAAGACTTGGCGAAGATTGTTGAGACGCATGGTGGCACAGTGGTTGCTAATAGTGGTAAAATAATTTATATCAGTATTATTTTAAATAGTGTTTTTTGCCTCAATTAAAAATAAGTAGTTATGATTACTAGTGAGTGTGATCATTTTTAATTACGTTTTGTGGATATAGAATAGAACATATTTCTTATAAAGATTCTTATTAAGATTATGAAGAAAGAGTACTATAAGCCACCTTTGGTGGTTTTGTAGTACCTCCGGTAACGTCATCAGACCAAAACCTCCTCCCTAAGGAGAGGTCTATGTCCAGCAGTGGTCTATGAAATGCTGTTGGTGATGATGAACATCACGCCCTCGGTAAAAAGGTTTTATTTGGACCGTGGTATCACTGCGGTGGAGTCAGCTTATATGTGCTGAAGTATGGCTCTCCAACGGTTAATGGCCATATATAGGAGACTTTATATCAAATTCCTAAGGCGGAGACTTGTTATAGAGGTTTATAATAAAGAAATCAAAAGGTATCTTATATATAGTAAGAAGACTTAAACTTTTTAAAGCCTGCCTAGGATCTAAAGCGTTGTATTGCGCATTACAGGCCCAGATACATGGGTGTCAATCGCTGGTCGCATGACAAAACTTGTGCGGACACGTATCGCTTCGCAAACCGCCGACATCATCACCACAGCGTGGCTACGTTCTCTCCCCACCTCGTCTTCACCTATCGATCTTTGTCCGCTGGACATGTTAGCCGTCAAGTCCACCACTAAACTTGCTTTAGCAAGGAAATACGATCCCTTTGGAGATTCCTATTCGGAGCTTATTGATGAAGCCACGCTAAGAAGGTGCTTCGACAAAATGGATTCTGATGTAAGTTAATGAGACAAAAGTCAACGATATTAGATAAAAATGTTTTTTTTTTTTATGTATTTGTAATAAAATAAACTGTACTAAACTGGTGTAAACGAGGAGACGGGTCACCTGATGGAAAGTGACTATCGCCGTCCATGACCTCCTGTAACTTTAGAGTTGAGAAGTCTCAAGCGCTTTGCCGGCATTTGAGGAGGGAGTACGCTCTTTTCTTGAAAGTCGTAGGTATTGTGTAATAAACGTTTTCAGACAAAACACAATCATTATTATGCAACGTTTACTTTCTTAAAATAGTTTTGTTTTCAGCATGAACCTATCCATCTTACATCGCAAGAGATGCTGGCACTAGACACGGAACTCTTTGACGACACCAATCCAAACTCGTTCCTTCGACCGTATCATATACACATCACAAACTGTAACAGTATTTCCGGCCTACTAGCCAAGATGTATGGAGCTACTCTATATGATGCTCCACATAAGGACTGTACTCATATTGTCGTGTCTGATCCTGCAAAGAGAAATGAAATAGAAAATGCCAAAAGGCACTCCACAGCATTGGTAGTATCAAAAGATTGGTTGGAAGCGTGTTTCGCAAGGCAGAAATATGTACCCGAAATTGAATTTATTTTGTGAATTCTTATATCGTGGTTTAAATACGCTTGCCACAATATAGATTAAGTTGGTCATGGAAACCTTTGACATATGGTCATCATTGAAACGAACCTCTGGGGGCTGAGGTCGCAATGTCTCAAGGTAAAAAGGGCAATGGCAAACCTTAAAAACTAATAATAATCATTTTATTCGAATGTGGAACAAAAATGTTAAGCGCTATAACCAATTCCATGACTGAACGAACGTACGTTAAATTCTATTTTAATCTATAAAAATGGTTAGGTAATTGTATAAAATTTATAGTGTTAATGACTTTCTACAAATATATAGCTCACGATTGTTGTGTCTTAAATTGTTCAACCAACACATCAGAATTTCTTTAAAACATAATTTTAATTACTTTTAATTACTTCAAGTGAATTAAATATGGATTCGAAGTAAACAGGACCACTAATGCCACCTATATTTGGGAAAAATGTACATCACCCGTGTTTATTATTCTTAAAAATATACGTGTTTCATTTATTGATTGTCTTTTAATATTTTCTTCCGTAATTCAGTAGACTAATCAAAGAGGTTAACTAATCAAGGTAAAACCAAAAGGATACAATAAAACATATTAAGTGTAAATGACTTTTGCAGTAATCTACGAGTGTATATCCCCCTACAACTTAATTCGCTCCCAGTAATCGCGCCTACATGCGGTTGAAATTAAATTGTCTTTGCTCAATTGTAATAAGAGAAATAGCTGTATTTTAATCATATATATTATACAATCAAAAGCACTGAGGCGCAAAATGAATGCAGCTCACGCATGTCAGTAGTTGGTACTTTGGTGGTAATCCGACACAAGAGAGTGATTGTGTATACCACTACCAAAGGCCGCATTATGCTCCGTGCTAAACACATAATTATACACAACAAAGAAACTCTGTTTGGTCTCGCAGTTCTCGCACTATTATTAACTTAATACTCACTTCATTTGCGTAACTGTTTTGGTAACTATCTGATAAAGATACCAATTGTCCGTGTGGTGACGGATCAAGAATACAAAGTGTCACCACCCCTATCCATCTCGTGGGTGTCGTAAGAGCCGACTATAGGAGCAAACTACGCAGGACAACAGCACTGCAAAGAAAAGGTAAACTTGACACAAACCCTATACCAAGCCGTCTAGCCAGCGTGGCATAGTAGGCCAGAACTTCATTTCTAAGGACAGAAGTGAACTATTAAAGGCTTTTGATGATGATGATGACGAAAATGACCGATGTAACGTGACGTGACCTATACCAGATTCGCCTTACAAAATGTGGTAGTTCTATACTAATAATATTTTAATGAATAAGTAATACAGGTGCAAACAAAATAAAATGACCAGTAAGAGGAGAAGTAGCGGTGGACAATGGCGATTGAAATATGAGATCTAATTGGCAATCGCCGCTCGAGATAGAGTATCATTTTCACCCTCTGAGTGGAATATTATGTGCGTCTTCGATTTATTGTTTAATTTGTTGATGTTTTGTGAAGTTTCTATTAATGTGATACTTTATGTCGTTTTGTAATATTGAGTAAAATATCTTATACTTAACACACTCAACAATTATACTTATGTGTATTTCAGTATGTATTTATGTATATCTGTCCCACTGTATATGCCCATCTCCTCAATTAAGTATTATCTTTTAAAACAAAACTTAATTTCTAGTGGAGCACTAGAAATTAACTACTCAGATATTTCCCCATTACCCAAAGGTTGACTGGTAGTAAATGTCTTTGGCATTAGGTCCACCATTGTGCAAGTGAGTTGTAATTTGTGCATAAATAAAACTAAAGAAGGGGATGGTGAGTCTGTTATTTAAATGTATTTTAAGGCATAGGTGACAAACGAGCGGACGGGTTACGTGATGGTAAGCGACTGCCCACGTAATGGACACCTGCAACTCATGAGTTACCAATGATTCTCCCCCCAGATTCAGGTGGAGAGGGTTTAGGCTCTGGTAGCTCACTCGATGTAAAGTAACGAAAGAATTACCAATAGCACACCTCCTTAAATTCAAGTATTCACAGTGTACGAACATAAAGAAAATGTTTATTTATTTATAAATATAAATATATACCGTGTGGTGTCGGATTAAGAATACAGAGTGTCACCACCCCTATTCATCCCGTGGGTGCCGTAAGAGCCGACAAAGGGAAAAAACTACGCAGGACAACAGCACTGCAGAGAGAAGTAAAACTTGACACAAACCCTATACCAACCCGTCTGGCCAGCGTAGTATAGTAGTCCAAAACCTCCTTTCTAAGGAGAGGCTTATGTCCAGCAGTGGACTATTAAAGGCTGTTGATGATGATGATGAAATATATACATATGTATAATTATATTATATAATATATATTTGTAATTGTATAATATATATAATTTTTTTAAGTTTTATATGCTTTCTGTGAGGCTGTGGTATCACTCTGGTCGAGCCTGACCCATATATGCCGAGCATGGTTCTCCCTCAGGCACGGTTTTCTGGCACTGCATATTCCCAAACACTTTTGAAGTCACGTCCATAAACGGCGGTAGTCACTTACCATCAGGTGACTCATCTCCTCGTTTGCCCTATAATAATAATAATAACAATATTTTAGACATAACACACAACGCCATCTAGTTTCAAACTCAGCAGAGCTTGTACTATGAAAGCTAGATTGACCGATAAAATACTTATAAACTTTTTTTGTAAATACATACATATTATACACTAGCTGAGACCCGCGGTGTTACCCGCGTTTGTTGTTATAACCGCGGGCAACGCCGCGGGGCGAAGCTAGTCTAAAAAAATAGCCTAAGTTACTCCTTATGTCATCAGCTATCTGCCAGTGAAAGTCCCGTCGAAATCGGTCCAGCCGTTCCAGAGATTACCCGGAACAAACAGACAGACAGACAGACAAACAGACATACAAAAATTGAAAAAAATGATATTTTGGCATATGTACCGTGTAAACATACATATACATTTAGTAAAAAGCGGTTATTTTAATATTACAAACAGACACTCCAATTTTATTTATTTGTATAGAAGATAGAAAACTTCACAACTCCGAAACAAATATTTGCAGATCATGAGGTACTTGATACAAATAAGGCCTATGCTCAATTAAGATCTGTAGTGCCGAAAAGTCATTTCAAATATATTTACATCAAAAATACTTCTACATACGAGTAGATGACAGCTCCACGGATCGGCAAGAAGTGCTCAAGACGTCCTCTCGCATTTACAGCGAAAATGGAAGGCGGTCGTTGGTAAAAGGGTGGTTTTTGTAGCGCGTTATTAATTTATCGTGATTTCTATCGATATGATACGATGTTATGAAGTTATGAAGTTTTGTTTGAAGCAATGAATACAGATCACAATACTTATAGATCATAAAAAAGTAACTATGCCTCTAAATTATATTTTTTATGATATGTGAATTAAATACAGCATAAAACATTTATGAATTTTCAATTACTAAATAAAGCCTAGCTGTAATAATAGGCCTTACTTGTGACACTGGGCCTTAAGACGAGTCTGTTGAATTATAACTTCATTATGATAATTTACAGATTGGTTATCTGTCTCCTCCAAGACCTAGGTGTGCTACGTGGTGCGAAGAAAGCTTGAGAGGGGCAGTTAACGATGATTCCATTATGTTTCAAGGCTTTATTTAGTTACCTTGTTTAAATAAAGCCTACAAAAGTTTAGTGAATTTAAACATTTTTTAAAAATTAACAAGATAATTACAAAGCTAAGTAAAAAAACTATAATAAGTACCTATCAAATATAACAGGTAACATTATAATAGCAATAGTCCCGTCTAGTCTGTTTGAAGTCGGTGCCAAGCCCAGTAGACGCTTGATAGGCTTGGTAGAATGTGGCGCGGCAGCAGTCCGTCACTTTATTTAGATAGGTAGTAAAATGTTACATTTAAACCCAGAAAATTTATTGTTTTCCGCATTACTTTATTTTAAAAAATTAGGAGTGGTATTTTTGTTCACGTTTGAATGGAACTAAAGGGGAAATATACCCTTCCAAATAAAAAAAATAGTTTATATGAAATATATCAAATAATAATAATATCAAATATGAAAATAATGCGTAACAAACTTTTGTTTTGTGATCTCATATATTACTCTTTTGTGGACATATCTCTGTAACCCAACACAAACACCTTTTTTTTCAGTGTGGAACTCTCCTCGGATACCAGCCACCATTGGGTGATTATGTCGGACTCGAACCGACCAAAACCGCACGCCGTCTGAAGCCTGCAGCGGTTGATGGTCATACGGGTCGTACGGGGCCATCGTACGATCTCGTTTGAGGCGGCGACGGTCCTGGCGCGATATCCACCCTTCGACATTCTGGCCGACATGGACACGATGGTCTATGGCCAAGTTCGTTCTGTCGGTCGGAATAGTGAGGAGGCCGCGCCGGATCATGAGCCCGGAATGCTACGGCGGACCGCACATACGCAGGCTCTGCGGGCGTGGCAGGCACGGCTTGTAATCCAGGGTTGTGCTAGCCAACGCGCCGTCGGAGTCGTTCTGCCGAGCTTTGAAGCGTGGGTAGGGACGAACGACTGTGTCACCTACCGATAGACTCAGACGCTTACCGGGCACGGTTGCTTCGGTGAGTATCTGAATCGAATTGGACGATAGGTTACGACTAGTGATGTTCCGGATATCCGTATCCGTATCCGTATCCGCGGATATCCAAGGGAGAAGAGAGATCCGTAACCGTATCCGTATCCGTGACTTTTTTGGCGGATCTTTTACATAGATGAAATTCTATACAGGTGATTTTGTATTCACTGTAAAACTCTTAGGTATGTGTTTGTTACACTATAAACAGCAACTTTTTTTCTGGCCAACGTCAAAATGAAAAAAAAAAATGGTCCTCCATTCAAATTACCAATCAAGTGTTGTTAGTTTGTATGGAGAAACAATTTTTTTTCTTTCGTTTTCGGTGTTAGTCCAGAAGAAAAGTTGTTGCTTATAATGTTACTAATATGCACTTCAGAGGTTTTCAGTAAATTTAAAATAACCCTGAATAATGGTTATTAGGTAGCTATGAAAAACTATTGAATTCTGTTCAGATTACTTTTTATTTCTTAAAACAAATATTTGGCACCTTTGTATTGCAATCATTTATCGTACTACACTAAATCAACTAGGCAGGTCGTAGGTACTGAAAGAGCTTTCTTTATAATGAGATCAATCAAACATCTTTGTATTAGCTTATTAAAATAAGGAAATATTTAAATATCAACGGGCTTTTATTGAGTAAGAAACTTAAGATCCGTATCCGTATCCGTATCCGCGGATCTTGACACCAAAAATCCGTATCCGGATCCGTATCCGCGGATATACTTTGTTAACGATCCGGCACATCACTAGTTACGACACAATGCCACCACTGCGGATTCGACCGGGACTCCGCCCAGCACACGCTGGAGGACTGCCCTGCCCTGGGAGTCCGAACGTCGAGTCTTGGTCGGACAGATCGGGCGAAACCTGTCACCGATGTCAATGCTGGTGAGTGGCGAGCGATGGGCAGCCGCTGTCTCCTTCTGCGAGGACGTTATGCTCCAAAAGGAGGCCGCAGAGCGGGTTCGGGAGAGGGCCAATCCTGCTCGAAGGAGACGGCGAAGGGGACGTGGCAGCGGTCGCTTACTCCCCAATCGCCGCCTATGGGTCGCTGCGGCCACATCTTGGGGCGATGTGACCGCTGTAAACGACCCGAGACAGATGGCACTCCGGTGCGGCCGAGGGGGGAGGGGGGGTGTCGTCGGTCACACGGGGGTGGGTCGTCTACTCGTCTGTAGATGGCCCGTAATGTCGGGTCCAGGGACTTCCTTTCTAGGGTATACCTGGTTCCCCGGCTATTAGTACCCGAGACGGCGTGCGGTTTTAGTCGGTTCGAGTCCGACATGCCACCGATAGGTGGTATCCGAGGGGATTTCCGCACGGAAAAATAAAAAGGGGGGGGGGGGTTGTCGTCTAAGTTGGGACGCTGTTGCGCCTTTTACTCTGTAGAGCAGTGAAAGGCGCGGTAGCGTCCTACCCCAGGGTGACTACGGTCACTCCGGGATGTGCCTCAGACATGGGGTACGGCAGGGAGGACTCCAGAAGTCGCCGATGCGTTCCTGGAGCTCCTACCGACTGCCAAGGTAGGCCGCCGCGGGGTTAAGTGAGTCCCATATACGCCATGCGTTTCCCCCCGCGTGAAAAAAAAAAGGTCTGGTACTGGCGTGCGGAGACGGCGTGCGGTTTTTGGTCCCGGTCCCGATAGCCGGTGAACCAGGTATACCTTAGAAAGAAAAGCAATGGTACACCCAAAACAAACACCTAAGAAATATCTTGAAAGAAAAAAATAAGGTCAATACATGATTAGATTTTTGAAAGAGTTATCCTCTAACTCCTAAAGGTCTACAAAAATAATTTTATAAATCGGTTCACAATTGACGGAGAATTATTCTTAGTTATCTCTTGTATCCAAGAATCAAAATTCATTGGTTAGTTACTAAAACACGCATTAAAATTATAACATCCTTACTGCAACGATAAATATCCCACCTACTTACAAATTATAAGACTCCTAAATATATTTAAAAGTTAAAAAATTACCAGTTTTATTGCTCATTGCAACATCCCGTAAAGTGACAATTGTTTAAATGCCGGGTTGGTATGGTTATTGAAAGAATTGTGAGTGGGAAAGCAAAATGGGTCCACTAAACCTACTCGTAACTTCTACTACTAATACCTACCTTTACGTTTTTAACCGACTTCAAGAAGGAGGATCCTATCAATTCGGATGTTTATATATTTTTTATGTATGTAAATATTGTATTTAACTTCGTCGTATATAGACGGATTTTCATGATTCTTTTTTTGTTCGAAAGGGGATTATGCCATTTAAATTTCATCTGATGGTGAGTTATGGCTATATGAGATGGTGAACTGTTTAAAAAGTAACAGCAAATTAACCGTGATTGCGCCTAGGTTTTTAGTGTTCTTTGTTAGTATTCTTTGATTAAAGTTTAGGTACTTATTTAATAAATTTGTGTGCGTTTAAATTACTTATATATTTTATTAAAGCATCGAAATTTCTATAACAGGGGCCAGTGTGAAATGTTCAGATTATTAAAATCTATATCTATATCCTACTAATACATACTCGTCATATATTGCGTATATTATAAAGTTGAAGATTTTGTTTGCTTAGTCGAACGTGCTCATCTACTACTGGTTCGAATTGAAAAATTATTTCAGTGTTGGATAGTTCATTTATCGAAAAAGGCTACATAACATCAGCATCAATACAAAATGTTGCAAAAACGAGGCAAATTTATTATTTTGAGAGATGCAGACGAAGCTGCGAGGATCAGCTGGTTCTGAATAAAAAAATAAATCAGTAGCCTACCTTTTAGTAACGACTAATAGTTACCACTTATTCATCAAAATAACAATGTTTATAGTTCTTTTATAGCTGATGATGAGTATTTTTAATGGATATAAACGCACACATTTAAATATGACCCCAACCGATTAATGTATCATTTTGCAGAGATTTTTTTTTCTGTAAGAACAAATCAACTGATGTGAGTTGCCGCCCGCCCACATTGTGTACTCCGCCAATAGAAACGCGACTTGGGCGGAGCATTAGTGGCCGCTGAACTTTTAAAACTTGTAACCCATTTTGCAGCCGTCAATCTCTGAAAAGATATTTCAGCGTCAACATGACTTCTTGTCTCGTTTCATTAATTGCATTTGTATTAATTTAAATTTTAACCGGTGTCATATGTAATGCATAAGTGGGTGACGTTGTGATAGTGACAATTCCAAAAAGTTTTGAATATGCAAAAGGAAGGTGTTTCAGAAAATGATGGAAACTGTAGCGGTCGAAGGGCGCTGAGGACACCTAAGTGTGCCCGATGTCGCAACCACGGTGTGATTTCGTGCTTGAAGGGTCACAAACGTTTATGTCGCTGGCGAGATTGTCGCTGTCCTGGCTGTCTGTTAGTCCTCGAGCGTCAGAGAGTTATGGCAGCTCAGGTACCTAAGTTGTAACCTATTAAGATTTATTTATTACTTATCATGTACTCATGACTACCGTAATCACCGTAAGTACAAATACATCCTAAACACAAATTATACGCACAATTCTAAGAAATATAAGTTTATAACTGCGAAGGGGCAGGCAAAGGGATATATAATTTTAATCTTATTACGTAAGGCAAGTCGATGTTAAGTAAAGTAGGTCAATTTTAACCTAAGTAAGTAAATTGGAAGGATAGGCAGACATTGGAAGCTGACGCAAATGGTAGGCATTTGATTTATGCTTATACGTCTGGATTGGGGAATATAAGCAATTGATGAAACAAGCTAGTAACTGAAATAGGCTACTGCGGGAAGCTAAAAAGGAAAAGAGAAAGCTAAAAGAGAGAGGAAGCTAAAAATGTCAAGAAATAATACAAACAACAAGCTTAGTCCAGTAGTTTAGTTTTGGCGGCCACGTTTCCCGACATTAATTTATTCTGCTACATTCAGCAATTAAGCTGCACTTAAATACCGAAAAAACTGTAAATAGCATGTGTACCAACTTATGATCCAAATAATGATGCAAAAGATATTTTATTGTATTGTACTAAACGTGCATCTAAGAAACCCTTGGCCTATTTTATATAATTAGACCCTTTTTTTTATTGACGCGTTGGAAAATCCCTTCGGAATTCCGGCTTTTCGGGGACGCAGGTGCCAGGAGTATGTGGTGTTTCCACTAAAAATCACCCCGACAGCCGGTCTCAGGCGCCCTGCCTAGGGCAGGACCCGGACCATGTTTTTTCAGGTCCCCCCGGATCGACACCGCGCCTAGCCAGGGCCTATCCCGGGGAAAGAAGGCTTCCCTCGGCCTATCGGCCAAACCTTATAATATATTGTGGCCCAATCGCATTTTTGCGACCAGGCCGCCATCCTATTGCCTACCGCAGCAGTTAATCTGCCACCAGAGGTCCTCACTCTCTGGCTGCCTGCAGCCCCGTCGAAGACTGATAAAGCCGCCCACGTCCTCTACGCTCGTGATCGGCCCTCTCCCGATATTCAAGTAAACTCTAACAATAATATTTCGAAAAAGTGCTTAACTATAAGACAATATTAAAATAAAATAAAGCTTATCACTGAAACTAAGTATTTCAAAATTCTTGAATATTTAAAACTAAGTATAAAAACTGTGCTGTCAGTCATCGTGAGGCTGCGTTAGTTGACGAATTAAGCTCATTAGGTACTGGTAGTAGGTATAATGTATGTCTGGCTATTTTAGCTCCACTTAGGTACCTACAATTCATGATTATTTAAAAGAACCTATGAAGTTAAAAGTACATATATATGTCATATTTTGTGTGTGCAATGCTATTTATCTAAAACATTCCCATTAAAATCATAAATCAGATACTTTCGTACGCGAGTTCACATAAAATTTAAAAAAAAAACGGTTTTCATTTTGGATATATGTTACGCAAAGTAATTATATTTTCAAATTATGATATTTCTACCTTGTTGTTGTTATTATTTTGTTATTCTTAACCTGGATAAAGTGATTTCTAATAGATACGCTCAGACACACTCAAACAAAAAAGAAATAAGGTATACCCTAAAAAATTATAAATAAAAACATCTTAAAATTGTAGGGCTCAGTTAGGATTGATTGTTATACAAATCAACGAGGGATTGAAATTGTCAAAAGGTAGCTCTACGAAGGCAGCAAGGTGCCGGGGGCGCCGAAGCTCGTGATGGCGAAGCAGCGGCTCTAGCAGCACGTAAGAGAGCTTACCGCGCTCGACTGCGATGCATGCAGATGTCTAGGACTTATGCTGTCACACCGGCGGGTTATGGTGAGTAGAAGATAGTATCGGAATACCCTTTATGTGGTAGGTATTACAAGAACCTTAATACATGTTCCTACAGTTCATTTTAGACAAACTAACTTAGATGGTCCTTAGCTTTTTATAAATGTCTCTATTTCCTTTATTTACCAAATCGACGATCGTTACTGAAAACATCTAAGATAAAAGTATTTATCCGTATTCTAGAACACACACTACAACAACCAAACTAAGCTTAGTTTGGTTTCATTACTTTATTATTTTATCTACTATCCATACTAATATTATAAAAGTGAAAATGTGTCTGTCTGTTACCTCTTCACGCTTAGGTACACCGCTGAACCGATTAAGATGAAATTTTAAATAGCGATAGTTTGAATTCCGGAAAAGGACATAGGATAGTTTTTATCCCAAAAAATATTCTTTAAGGGGGTAAAAGGACATAAGCTACAGCTTTTTACGGCGATAACCGACATACACGTAGCCAGAGCCGCGGGTAAAAGCTAGTTTATACAAATAAATAAAATTAAATTGTCTGTTTGTAATGCCAAATAAAAAGTTTTTTTATGCTCACACAGTTATTTGAACGAAACCTATACCTAAAAACCAGTTTAAATCATTTTTGTCTGTTTGTCTTTCTGTTCCGGGTAATCTTCAAAACGGCTGGACCGATTTCAATAATATTTTACTACCAGACAGCTGTATGTATAAGGCGCAACTTAGACTATTTTTTCTCTCAAAAAACACTATAAAATTTTGCCCGGTCCGGGAATCGAAACCACTAAGGCATCGCTTTTCGAATTCCACGCGAACGAAGTCGCGGGCAAAAGCTAGTTTCTAATATAATTTGAAATTAAACGAATGAGATGCTTATTTTAAACTGCGTGTAATGTAGAAGGGTGACACAGAGCAGGGTGTCGTCGACACCACTCCGTTCTGTTGTTATTGTTGTAACCGAGCCGACACTGTCGAGTGTTCTGTTTCTCATCTGTGAAACGCTAAATGCGAATTAGCTGGACAAATATTTATTTTGGAACAACGGGCGAGAGTTAAAATAGAATATTTTCGAAATTAGCTGTGGTTATCAGAATGGTTATTGTTTTTTTCTAATACAAGACTACTTAACCCTAGTACCCTGGCACCTGGCACCCACACGACGGGCTTGCCTAGTGTGATGGAAAACAGTTAACGCACAATATTGTATGTAGGTTTTAGTTTTTTAGCAATTACTAATTTATTTTTAGTTAGGTATGGGATGTAATAAGATGTGCATAGTAATTAAGTAGATAGTGGATAATTGACAGCACGTAAATTATGATTCGCCACAAGTTACCAGGAGTTACTTAGGCACTTGAGGCTTTGGGTCCGTAGTTCATCTAGAACACAGCATAGACGTTATAAAAAAATACATTAAGTAAATATTTAGTAGCAGTGGAACTACTTTATAAATATAAAGTAGTTAGTCACTGTAACATGTGACTCGTAACTTGATATGTACCTAGTAAATAAAAGTTTTTCATGTTACACAAAACATCTTCAGCTTTATAAATAGAACTGCAATAAAAAATTGAACGTCTGTTGAAAATGTCCCCGCTTCATTACAGAACAAAAGCTGTCATCTAACACTCGGCAACATTTCACTGTCTATTAAACAAAAACTAAAATTTCTTTTAACTATTTTTATGGGCTCTAAAGAAGTGTGAAGATTGTTTTACAAGAGAACGCGGAGGCGGCTCTTTGTTGGGGTGTCAAGTTACAGCAATACTGTTGACTGTAAACATGTCTTTCCGCTTTGTTGAATGATAGCCCAGCGGGTGCCAAAACGGTCTTTACCCATGTGACAACTCAATAATTTACATTTAATCTTCTAAAAACTTAAGTTTTATGAACATTGTTTAAATAAAAGTAACAGGCATATGCCTGTAGTAAATTCTTAATTTGTGAATAATTTGTAGAATAGTAATTTAGATTTTTATTTGAATATGAGGGCTGGCACGCGATAAGTGAGTATGTTTAAAAACATATTTAAACATTCATGCGGCTGGATAATAAAATGTTTCTGCTTTGCAAATAAATTTAGGAACGGCTTATACCTCGAGTTTCACCAGCTTTTGTATTTATTACTAATGATAGAATTTGAAAATTACTTTTAATTGGCGTGGAATTTAATTTCATTGACTTTAATTAACTGAGACTACCACATACCAAACAATTTATCCTCAGATCGCTGCTCGGAGATCACTTTCCTAGATTCTTAGATAAACCTATTTGCGACTGCCACACGAAAAATCCATATCTCAACCTAGGGGTCAAATCCATTACATGAATATTGCCGTTAAAAATTTAAATTTCACAAAACAATTTACATGTTACAAAATTGTTTTTATTTGCTTTAAAAGAAGGACAGTAAGTGGCCTTTTTTCCAAAGGGCTCTGTGAAAAGCTTAGGTACTCAAAAGGGGGCAGTCGAAAAATATATTTAAAAAATAAGTGCTTTGGTGAGACCACAGACCTATAAGAAGAAGCAGACCTAATACAAACGTGTTTCTTCCCAGAGTGAGTCTTAGGAAATGCCGGCTCCTTCTAGCTATAAAGTCCGACTTGTAAAAATATCTGAAAAGATTTACTTACAGAAATAAATATCATTGATCATTTACAAATTTATATCATCTGCAAACTGTATTAAAACTCCTAAAAATTAATAAATATTTGGTAGCTCGTTTAACAATCTAGATATCAGCACAAAGTGATAAAAATAATCACAGTGAAAATCAGCTAGCATAAATCAAGTCCTCTTGACGCTGTACTTCTCTTCTACTTCTTCTTCGTGTTTATCAGATACGGTACCAAGATTATTATGTAGAGATCACCATGATTTAATGATTTACCTTCTAGATTAGGTATTCCCAAGCTATTTTGGCAAGAGACCCCTTTTCTAAAATGAACTGATTCCTCAAAACCCCATAGGCACTGCACTGCACTTACTACACGCTTATCTATTTGAGTTTTTTAAAAGTACAACAATGGTACTTCCTACTAATAATATTAAATTAAAATTAGTCATTCTTCTACAAGTTGGTACACGTAACACAACTAATACAGTATCCTGAAAGTTTCAAGTGAGAACGTGTGTTAATTAATCATGCTCGATTTTTAGACCTCCTCGACCCCCAAAATCAGTTTTAGTTTATGTCGACCCCTTAGGGACCAGTTTTGACCCCAAGGGGTTGATATGTATGACTTTGCAAATCCCTGTTCTAGATTATACGTTCACTAAACTGTAATGACTTTTCTGTCCATTTGTCCATTTTGTGTGTATGCCAATTGAGCCCAAAATAAACTAAGTTAATTATTGTAATTGTTTTATGATTAGGGGAGAACAGGGCAATGGGAGCCTACTAAGGGAAAGTTTTGATAAAAACCACGTTTGTCAAAATTCTTGTAATTTTTAATTATCAACTCTTACCTTTATTATTAAAGAATACTTTATAGTTATAATCAACTACAGACATGTATTAAGGTACAATCATAGTTTTACAAAAAAAGTCAGGGGCTCCTATTACCCGACAAATGCGGCTAATGAGAGCCCATTTAACGCTCACACGGGAAATGGGAGCCATTATAATTACTCTTATACCAAAAAATTAACAAAACGTACTTTAAATGAGATCTTAGTTTTTATAATATTCAATACAATAAAAGTATTTGTAACACCAATTTAAAAATATTTTTTTCCAACAAAACGGAGAAGTAAATATGTAATTATTAATGAAAAACAAAATATCCAGACTTTAGAGATTCAAACATATATAGGAATTTGGACTATCACTGCCAGAGCACTCTTTATGGGCCCAGTTTCCGCAACTTCTGCATCTGTACCACATCTCTCCACTTTTTCCAGTGTCTAAACAAACTTTAATTATATAATTACTTTTAATCTCCTTGGTTTCTTTCTTGGTATGTTTTTTGTGGTTGTTCGATTCCTTTTACGTGGCATCTAAAACAAAAAATAAGGTATTTTATGTCTCTTAAACGTAAATGGGGTAATGGGAGCTATGTCGGGCAATGAGAGGCTACCATTAGCCGCTAACCACAATTTTGAAAAGTAACAACATAAGTATGTAATTCTACTTTCAATCACAATACAACTAATTGGACTTGTTGGTAAATTAATCTAGGGATATAATAAGCATAAATACAATAAAATAAGAATATAATTTCATGCTTACCTTGATCCTGGCAATTGTCAATTTTTTGTAAGCGTGGAGCAAAAACACGCAATCGTCCCTCGTGATCAAACGAATGACACCAACAGTTCGAGCGCGTCAGGCGTAGTTTGTCGATAGTTGACGGAAGCAGCATTTTAAATACCTTCTGCGAATATATTACTATGCATGTGGCGTCAAGTTTGCGACATACCTATTCTAAATACCGTATTTAGAATACGTATATCGAACCTCCTTTGTCCAGCCTTTGGCAAGTCCAGCCAGCAGAGGCCTATGTCCAGCTGTGGACTATTAAAGGCTGTTGATGTGATGTCCCACATGCATAATAAAATACTTAGTCGCTATTCCGTTAGTCGATGTTCAAAGATTTTAAATATTTCCACTCCTTTTATGCAACTCTTTACTGTAATAAAATTTTTTTTTTTTATGTTAGAGGGGGCAGACGAGCAGACGGGTCACCTGATGGAAAGTGACTATCGCCACCCATGATTTGCAACACAGAGTCACAAACGCGTTGCCGGCCTTTTAGGAAGGAGTACGCTCTTTTCTTGAAGGTTTGAAGGTCGTATCGGTCCGGAAATACCACAGACGATAACCCGTTCCACAGATTGGTTGTGCGGGGCAAAAAGTGTCTCGAAAAGCGCACAGTAGTGGAGCGCCAACTATCCAGGTAATGAGGATGAAAATTTTGCCGTGTGGAACGATGGCGGAAATTTGCGGCTGGTATTAGTCCGAATAATTCCTCGGAGCACTCTCCATGATATATGCGATAGAGAATGCAGAGTGAAGCCACATCTCTACGTAACGCCAAGGTATCGAGCCGATCGGAGATGTTTGGGCTATCGACGATTCGAGTCGTTCTTCGTTGGATGCGGTCTAGAGCTAGAAGCTGGTACTGAGGTGCCCCTGCATAGAGATGAGAACAGTACTCCATATGCGGCCGGACTTGCGCCTTATAGAGCTGAAGGCGGTGGGCTGGAGTGAAATACTGCCTCGCTCTGTTCAGTACCCCGAGCTTCTTCGAGGCCAATTTGTGTGGCCAATCTAAGTGACCCCGAAACTGGACTTCGCTCGATATAGCGATGCCTAGGATTCCGATGCTGGCTGAGGCGGTTTAGGAGGTGCTCTCAAACTAATTTGATACGACAAATGGTATCTTTTTTGAGGTGAACGCACATACCTGTGTCTTTTTTGTGTTAAACTGGACTAGATTAAGTCGGACCCAATCTGAAAACTCCGCTAAGGAAGTTTCAATTTCAGACACAAGTTTGTTTCGACTCTCGACTATTAATTTGTGAACAAATGAAATGAAAGAATAAAAGAATAACGTAGGTACACACAGAAAAAATATATAACGAGTATATCTTATGAGTTGTTTTGCTCTTGTTTTAATTAGCATTATTAAAAAGAATTACAACAGTGACATAAGTGTGGATATTCTGACAGTAATAAAATAAGACGCTGTTGGCGCTATACCTACCTCCTGGCAAAAAGATGTATAGGCCGACCGTTTTATCTGAGTCCTCGCCCGCGCGGTAACAGGGGCGCGGGGGTATGACGACAAAGGGGACCGAGACAGGTGCGGGCGCGGCAAATAAAGACTATAGAATAAGTTCTTTACAACAAACCCTACTGGCGTTAGAACGTAACCGTTCGTAACCGTCATCACAGGAAATAAGTCATATTGGAACGCTTTTACAAGCTATTATTATTATTATCTCTTCCGGTTACGAAATTAATACGGAAAATCGAGAAGAATTGGCTAATCATCATCATCATCAGCATAGTGCATTTCACTGCTGGACATAGGCCTCTCCCATTGCACGCATTAATTGGCTTATAAATTAGCTCAAATATACTTGCGAAATTCACCCTCCGTAGATTACTTAATCACGGAAGTAAAATTGTAGTCTTGCAATATTCCTAATGGTAGAAGAGGCTCAAGAAGCCAGAAATAAGGAAAATAAGAATAAGTAAGAAAAATAAGAAGATATTCTAGGCAAAAATCGAGAATTGCTTGTAATGTAGATATTTTTAATTATTTATTAATTATTATTTGTTCGGACCCGTAGCTTTGGTCTTTGTAAAACACATGAAAAGCACTCCAAATCAGTTTTTTTACTTTGATGTAAGGTACTTGATTAACATAGGGCCTATGATCAATTAAGGCCTGTAGTGCTGAAAAATCATTTACAATATATTTACATCAAAATACTTCTTACACACATAGGCGACAGCTCCACGGATCGGCAGTGCGTAAGAAGTCCTCTCGCATTCATAGCGAAAATGGAAGGCGCTCGTTGGTTATTTTGTAGCGCGTTATTAATTTATTGTGATGTCTATTGAGTTTTAATACGATGTGTTATGAAGTTTTGTTTCAAGCCACGAATACAGATCACAATATAGCTCATTAAAAAGGTAACTATGCCTATGATTAACTTAGATGATAAGTGAATTAAATACGGCATAAAACATTTCTGAAGTATCAAGTACGAAACAAAGCCTAGCTGTAATAATAGGCATTATTTGTGTGCCTTAAAAGGAGTCTGTTGAATTTGAACTCCATTATGATAATTTATAGATTGGTTATCAGAATATGTCTCTTTCCTACAAGACCAAAGAGTGCCTTCCGTCCGAAGAAAGCTTGAGAGCGGCAGTTAATGATGAATCCATTTTGCTTTAAGGCTTTATTTACGAGGCATGCCTTTTAAGTTTTGTCGTTTGAAGAAAAAAACACAACTAGAACCTTATACCTAGTACTTTTTATTGTTTTTCAAAGTATTCACCACGTAGCTTAATACACTTTTCCATTTGCTCAAACCAGTTATTATAACATTTATTCCACTCTAAGTGGGGGTGTTCAAAATGGCTGACTTGAAAGCGTCGACTGCTCCTTCACCGGACTGGAACCTTTGACCATGAAGACTTTTCTTAATTTTAGGAAATGTAAAGAAATCGTTAGGGCTTAGGTCAGGACTGTATGGAGGATGGTCAAGAATTTCTACTTTTTCCTACTTCAAATACTCAATCGTTTGACGAGCGCTGTGTGAGCTTGCGTTGTCGTGGTGCAGGATGATGCGTCGCTTTGAGTTAGATTTTCGAAGTTCGGCGATGACTTATGGTAAACAAACTATGGTATACCACTCTGCGTTAACCGTTCTACGATCTTCAAGTGCAATAGTCGCAACATGGCCGGTTTTTCCAACGAACGTGGCCACCATCTTCTTTGAAGTGCTTCGAGAACGAACAACTTTAGTCGGCTTTGGCTCGTCTTGAAAAACCCAGATTGTAGATTGTTGTTTGGAATCAGGATCGTAGGCATAGATTCAAGATTCGTCACCACTGATGATGTCGTAGACGTGATTTGACTCTCCTCGGTTGAACCTTTGCAGAGTTTTCTTACACCATCTGACACGGCCGCCTTGTGATCGTCGGAAAGCAGATGCGGTATCCAACGGCAAACTAGCTTTCTTACACCAAGCGCTTCATGCAAGATCTTCTGAATGGTTGTCCCTGAGATGCCTAATAGTCTCTTTCTCTCGATACGTCACATGACGATCTTCGAGAATTAGTTGTCTCACAGCAATGATTTTATCTTCAGTGAAGGCGGATTTTGGGCGTCCCTCGCGAGATTTGTCACTAACACTAGTATGTCCACGCTGGAATTTTAAATACCAGCGATCGACAGTCCGCAGACATAGGGCTTCATCACTGAACACAGATGTTACCTCTTCAAAACACTGAAGCCGTGTCAGGCCTCTTCTAAAGTTGTAGAAAATTAATGCACGAACATTTTCCTTAGAAAGATTCATTTTCGCACGTAACCTGACATTCCAATGGATGCTGTGACCAAACAATAGTATTAATCCTAATACTTTCAACTGTTTTGAGATTCAAAATTAAAACACATTCGAATATAGAACAGTTCCAAATTCAAAATTGCCGGGAAATATGGAAACGACAGAACTTAAAAGGCATGCCTAGTAGTTACCTTGTTTAAATAAGGCCTATCAAAGTTTTGTTGAATTTTTAAACTTTTTGTAAATAATATTTTTGGGATGTGTTAATTAACTAACTTTTATTTCCTGTTAATATGCAACTTTAAGTCTGACTAAAAATTTATCACAAATATTTAGTAAAATACCTAAGAAAGCTATGCAAGAATCTTATTTGAACACTTGATAAAGGCTCTGAAATACAGATTGTTATATAAATTATACTCTAATAACAACATTATATAATATAATTTAAGTTTTATTAAATTAAGTCCTATGTTTTAAATAGGCCAAAGGTTCTAGTATTACCACTATTTCAGTGATTTTTAATAGAAGTTTATAATATTTTTTCTTAATTACTTAAAAATTATAAACCAAACAATAATTAGGTAGGTAAGGTATTATTGGTATTTGGTTTATTTCTTTTTTTATTTATCACATTCTGCAAATATTTATCAAGATAAGTGTTTGAAATAAGGTGAGCCTTATTTAAGGTAGGCTATATAGGCATTCCACTTTGTCCCACCAGAGGGGATAAAGTGGAATGCCTTAAAGTTAAAGGTGGTGAAAAGTGGAATAATTCTGCTCTGCCTAGTTTAGGATCAGCCGACCGTGTCCGAGATGTGGAAAGTTTTTATAATTACTCATAACTCACTTTTACACTTTTTAATTAAAATAAAAAAAGGTGTTATCATCAAATATTACACAAGGACAAGTTCACAGATTTTATTAATCATAATATGTGACAGTGTCGTTAGTATCCTTTCCTTTTCTAGCGCAAGTTTAATAACACAATTACTTTGCAAATAGGCAACGACAGGCTGTTCTCGAGTGATCCCGCCTGGAACGAGCGCGTCCGAAGGCGTAGAGCATTTGCCGACGTGGAGTTGGAGCGACCGCTGCCGCCGCCACCCGCGCCCGTGGTGGTGCCTCCCGCCGCCCTCTTGTGCAGGAACCTCCTCGCAGCACTGCTCACCACCTACACACCTATTGCCCCACAAGATGAACCGAAACGGAAGTTATCGTTCTCCATTGAATCTATTATAGGTGTCCAATAGATTCCTAAGTAGATTACCGACGCAGAATAATGTTAGAATTGACTAGCATTTTAGTCGTTATAGGTTGCATTACATTTCATTTTCTATGTATCGTTATAAGAAATGGCAAGTCATGTACAACTGAAGCTTACGTGTACATAATATCAACAGCGCTGCGTCATCGAACGCATGCAAAATTGGACGTCATCGTAGACGTTATATTAGAGTATGAACTGACTAAGTAAAGCGATAATAATAATTGAAGCCTAATCTTGGTTAATTTATGGACGTTTATTTATGGCAAAATAATAAAACAACTTTCGAACAATGAGTGCTTTATTAACGAAATGTATGTATGATAAAAGAATGTCTATTGTGAGGTCATTTATTACAACCAGAACTTAGATTTAAACATTTGATTAGTATCCGTTTTTATTTAACTGTTACATTTTAGAATGTATAAATTTAAATAACCATATAAAATGAGTACAGAGTAGATATTTTGAAAAGTGTGTTATACAAATATATTTATCCAAAATTAAAATTATACTTTGTTAATTTCGCACAAGCCGCCTATGGTTAGGCCATGTAATAGAGGTAGGTAGAGTCTATTACAAGATTAACTTATCTGTACTCACTTTATGTAACTAAACTTGATATTAATTGATTTTCATGGTATGTAATTTTGCACCGGTTGACTTACAGCTGAAATGGCTACAAAACAAACATTGCAATTGCAACATTTACACATTACTACATATGTTCAATTACACATTTTGCCTACAGGTGACAAGAATTTACATTAAAACATATTCATTTTCATACAAGATATATTTTTACCGATAGATTACCTACCGCCATTTGCAAGAGGATCCTAACTAATGGTAGTGATTTGTAAATAAATCTTAGTGAAATAAAATTAAATAATAATACATAATAAATATAAGATTTGTATGACGTGTTTGAAAATATTAATAAAATATATAATTATATCGAAAAATTATAACTTAGTAGTGTATTTTTATGCCAAATAATAACGATATAAAATATACAACCATCACATTGTCCATACACGTTAACATTTAGAAAATTAAATCAACTCTTTTTTATTTATTTGGTAGCAGTTTCCCAAAGTCAAGAAAAGTGAGCAGGAAGATAAAAGTTGTACTTAAACCATTAGTTTTAGTATTAATTCAATCACTACATTTTTCTTTTATGATAACTATATTTTTCACGTGACATACCAAAGCACGCACATACAAAATATCTAGTCATTTTTTGGTTTTGGTCGTCGTTCTGACAACCCGTTATGAAAGAATTAACCCACAACTAAGTTTCAAACTTGTTTGTGGCCCGTCGGAACAGGGTTGTCAAGCAGATGTCTCGGCCTAATTAATTTCGCTTTAAGATCCGGGAAGGTCAATTTGTACTCGATTATACATAGTTCTGACACTATTTTAAAGAATGTTGCGTGGCACATGTGGCGGATTGAAGGTAAATTTAGATAGATGCCAATGTATCTTTACTAAAATCTAATGATCGTTATAACTCGTTTATCGTTTATAACCCATTAAAATACACTACTGGGTGGTAAGACTTCAGGATAGCTCATGTTCTTAAGTGAAAGTTGTACTTTTAACGTCAAATATAGTATTTTGAATAAAAATCACCACCCGTGTAGAACGTATAAAAAGTAAATGGTTTTCTAACAGACAAGAATCACTCAAATATTGAGTGGATTTATTTAGTGTATTAATTTTTCAAAATTATTCAAAGACCAAATTATACGTAATATGTATTTGGCCTTTGAATAAACGTAGATACTTGCATGAGCTTTTTAAATCATGTCTAAAAAGTTCATTCAATTACTTTATTTTTAAGTGTGCATTATTAACTACCGAGAAGAGATTCAGAGGTCCTGAAAATGACAAAATAACAAAATCTAACGAATCACTGTATTTCAAACAATTCCTTTCGCTTTTAAAAAATATTGAACGCGCAGTAACCTCAGACGATAACTGAGATTCCGATCTGCAAAATCTTCTTGCTTCTTACATGCTCGTCGAAACGGAATGAATTACAAGTGTCCACCAACGGCAAACATTAGGCAGTGCATTTAAACTATTTAACGTATATCGACATTGTGATGAAATAAATTCACATGCATACATACAATATATTATTACGATAACATGTATACAATATGTACGTTTCGACAATAATGCACAACACAATAATACAATTTTACGCGACACAGACATTCTACAATTATATCGACAATGCATCACAATTAATGTTCGTCCAAACGATACAACTATAATATTTCTCATAAAATACTACCTACGCCTCAAGGAAGGGAGTGCCTTACGAATGCCACCTCAATCACACAAACACGCATGCGATCACTTAACCAACTATTATCACGGTTTTTTAGGAAACAAACTACAATAAAAAATCATGACCATAAAATCTACTAACCTTAAAAATAATATACGAGGCCACCTGTTACATTGATATAAAATGGGTTCTACTTAAAAAATAAACATTATGTCTCAAATTTATTCGTAAGGTAGCTACAGTAATTTGATGTATCTACGGGTACCGAGACTGAAAGCTACCGTAGCTCGAGCGAGGCGGCCGCCGCGCTCACAGCTGGCCTTCGTTGGCACAACGCACAGGATGGGACTAGACAGGACTCGGGACAGGAACTGGCTCTCGGGAAGGGGACTTCACCTACGCTTCACAAACATATCGAAAATACTAATTTAGCGAGACGTTACAAATAATATATATACTGTACACTCGAAAGTGAGATTTACTGTAGTGACCGAGCCAAGAAACTAAATTTGTATCCCACGGAATGTTTCAATTTACTTATATTCCCGAAACGTAACGAGACTGGACCTTAATATGCTAAGATTGCAATTTGTAAAACATACTAAAGTTTGTACGAACTACATAATTTCAGATCCCGGTTATCTGAAAACTAATTGATATTTAACAAGTGTTTAAAGTCAGACTTTTAGCTTTTATAAAACAAAAAAATAACAATTTTACTTGAATATAATAATTATATACATCGTAATATGTATTTACATATACATAATATTATTTTAATTAAATATACACGTACATATTAGTTTATATCAATCACGCGAGTTGTTGTGCGTCAGTCGCGCTCGCGCGATCGACGAACGCGAGCGGCGCGAACAACTAATCATACAATTCTATTAAACAATATACAACGTAAAAATACTATTTGGTATATTATATAGCAGAAATCTAGCCGTCATAAAGTCTATTAAGCAGTATATCATATCTACACCGACGCAGGCATATAATCTTCATACACATATATTAGTCAAAAAAAAACCAGTCACAAATCACAGTTGACATAAATTCTCGATTTTACTAAGTCTTGTAATTTATGTAAAATAATAGTTAACACATCAATTTTAAATATCTACTAAAATATATTGGCGAAGCTCTAGTGGGTATAGATAAATGCTTTTGACAAATCGGCAACTGAACGACGTTACTTGAAGACTCGAAAACAATCCGCAGCAATGCAAAGGGGTATTAGCGAATTACAAAATAAACACACATTTCATTCATGTTGAGCAGCTATTAGCGTCAGTCAAACTAATTGATATTTTAATTCACTAGTAATCTAGGCGAACGAACTGGCGGTCGGCTATTCACTGTCAAATATAACATAACTCTTGCAAGCAGCTTTACATCGATCGTTTGCGATGCCACTGTTGCCGGTGTTGTCGTTACACCTCACGGACATAAGCACCCACACCGGACAACTAAATTTATATAAATCCGTAAATCAAGATCATTTTTGCAACAAGACTGATAACTCCAGGAGCTATTAAACCGATTTAATTATAATCGAGCAACAACACAAATTTCGTTTAACTAAATACATATTGACCATAATCTTTTCTAAATAATTTCATTCGAATTAAAAACGGCATATCAAACTCAAAATATAAATTGTCTTATCTCTTCAGTTACAAACTAGAAACTATCTCTAAGGTTCATGCAATTACAATAGAGTAGATATTACACACCTATCTCCATAAAAAAATCACCGCATTTAAAAAAAACGCGCGAAGATTACAACTAGAAAGGGCCAATGTATGTACATCTGTCGATGGTTAAATGAATGCATGCAAGGTGCGCCACTAAGAGACGAGGCGCGCGACTCTCGACTCTCGGTGCACTCGACACTCATTAGATTAAGTGGTTACGCCGCTTCTCTTATGTACATCATCAGACGACCATATTACATTTTTCAGGTACAAACAGAAGAATGAAGTAAAGATTTAAAATCTATTTAATATTCTCTGTTGATAGGTACAAACGTGTAAATATCCTCGCTAGTGTAGTGAGGTGAGTGTGTTGGCACATAACGCGGCAGAAGCAGCGGCCCGGCCTGCGCCGACATTCGGTCCGGTGTGTGACTTGTTCCGGTGTGAGACATGTTCCGGTACGTGACATGGTTCCGATGTGTGACGTGTTCCCTACGCTCTCGGGTGAGTGCAGAGCCCGCTGGGTTGCCGTCACCCTCAATGTCTTCCCGACCCGTGCTGACATTGGTTCCCCTGGAAAATAAATAACATTTTTTTTTTCATTTTATTGCTTGCAATACAATTAGAAAAGTCTTTGAGTAGAAAGTGTTGTCGACCAGAGCGGTAACTGCAATTAGTCGAACAACGCTATGACCTCAGATATATGCACCTAGAATTTCCACTCTTTTCCAATAGAAAGAGGCGCAATTCTAAGTCGAAGTTAAACAATTATAACTCTTCTCTTCTAACTACTTTAGGATGGCATTTCTTTACGGATTCTTGATATTTCTTAAACAGCCAAATACGATATCATATGCTTTTGAATGAATTATAGATAAATAATATCTATCGGACGAAGAGATGCGGCGCGTGAGCCAGTATCGTACTGACATCCGACCCCATGTTCTTGTCGGCCGCCGCGGCTGACCACTGAATTTGCTTAACAAATAGAGACCGCCACTTGTAGCTTTATGTCTAAAGGGCAGAACAGACTTAGTCCGATGCAAGCATACTGCATCAACCATTCGAAATTATGCAGATATTATAAATCAACTTTTCGTACCAAGGATTGTAATTTTTGAAAAAGAAAGTTATGTATCACGATGTTCATTAGTACTCACCATAACGCAGTATTCACGTCTATATCCCGCACATGGCCGAGAGGCGCGTGCTGAGCTGTACGGGGAACTGGTCAGTGAAGTGGCGCCAATTCTCTTCACCAACTTGGTTTTTGAACCCGTGTAAGATCTTTGTGAACATTTCCTTCAAATCATCCTTGGGATGTGACCACGATGCGACCGCGTCACAGAAGAACATAAAGTCCTGTACTACACCTCCCGGGTTCACCTGGATCATCTGACACATGCCGCGAAAAGCAGAGTCCTTCTCGTCGTTGTCGCGAATGTTACGTAGTGACGAGCACCTAACCGAACATCAAATGTTTTAAGTGCAAATAATAGTTATAATGTATTTATGTACTATAGTTTAGATGATATTTCACACCTAGTGCAATTATCTTTCTGAATTTAAAATTATTATTATAAGCATGAAATATTATCTAAAACTCATACTAAGAAATTGATTGAAAATAAATAAAAGCGATTATATACTGTACTGATCATATTGAATATGTGGAACAATGTCTAAGTTTATAAATAGAAAACATTGAAACTGGCATACGAAAAGATTTGTATGAACACTGATACTGAAAATATTCCAAACTGTAAGCAAATCACATAATGTATATATGTATGAATATATATATATATATATATATATATATATGTAAATATAAAATAAATAATAATATTAAACAAACTTAACATACTACAATACTTGGAACAATCTAAGGAGTTAGTGAAAACATTTGCGCTGCAGTTTGGTATAAATAATAGTTTATAATAGCTGTTTATATTGTTTAGAAAGCGGATGGTGTTCAACACATATAGAGTACAGCACTGAAAATATGATGATCTAATGTATACCACCCAATATATCAGTGAGTCCCTAAGGTGTGGCCGTACAATTAATACATATAATTAATAATCTCATGCTTGGTTCAACTTAAACAGGAACAACATATCATATAAAAGAATATGAACAAGCTATGGACAAACACCATCCACAATCGAAATAATACCGGTTAATAACTTATTCAATATTAAACGTAATAGTAATAATATAAAGTAATAATAAAAAAAATGACTACAGACCACTGGCGAACAAATTGATGTAATACGGGTGCGACGTCGTGTGGGCACACATAACCTAGCCGACCGATAGTTATCGCTACGCCACGACATACCGAGAACAAAACCAAGAAACAAATCAACAAACCATTTAAAACATACTTAAATTACATAATTCAACTGCAACAAATTAGTGTGACTAATGGAAAAAACGTGAAACAATTTTATATACTAAGTAATTGCACCAAATCATATATTATATTTTTGACAAAAGATGGCCTAGAACTATTCCAATGCAACTTTTTATAAAATAAAGTCTTATTTTCGTTCATTTAAAGTTACCCTCTGTCCACTAAAATCCATGATGGATTTTTGTGCACTTTCATGTCCACTTTAATACAGTCAACAGATTTTTACAAGGAACGGATCTTTTAGGATATACTAGTTTCGATAAGTCCATTATAGGTTAGTGGTATACGAGGAACGTTTTTTCTTTCACTTTCTATTACAAATTTTATTGACAGTCGATCTATTACAAATATATCGATGAGACAAAAATATGGTCATCATTTTGTTTGTTTTTCATATATTTTTTTTACCTATAATATTTTTTTCTAAGAAATGCGCAACAGATATTTCTTCATTATCTAACTGCATTTGGGCATTTATAATAAACTCGTTTTTTTTACAACTATCAAATTAATGTTAGTACATACTTCTTTGACGTATTTCTGTATATCACCAGCTTAACTAGTAAAAAGGATTTCTCGAAACTTGCATGTCTAAAAGATCCATTTCTCGTAAAAGTCTGTAAGTGGCCATGAAAGTGCACAAAAATCCATCAGGGACTTTAGTGGACAGAGGGGAAAGTTATACTAGTCGTTTTGGGTGTCTACACCATCTTTTACTTAAGGCACACACTTCACTTTTCTTCTCTACGTAGTGGTAAAATATTTACATTATACCCCAGAACTAAAAGATTACATTGATGTAAGGAATAAGCTATGGCATTGACGTATTCTACTGTTCGTGTTTCTAACGTGATATAGATATTTTAATGCAATAAAATACATGTCTTACTATGTAGTTTTTCATATTAATAATATAACATGTTAAAATACGAACAAACTAATTGACCTCTCTGAAGTAAGGCTCTTGTTATAAACTCTTACATATGACCGATCCTTGAACTTAGATAAAAGTTAGCTTTCTCTTTAGGGTGTGTTCACTAGTTTATAATACTTCCAGGGAGATAAGTTATGTCGTTCGTACCGCTGTTATTTTTTATATTAGCACACTAGTCAATATGTAATTTAATAATTCTGCCAAACCATTGCCATTGACTGAAGGTAATGTTAGAGACTTAGGTAGAGGCTACAGTAAACATAAAAAGGATTTATAATAAATGATTACACGGCACAAAAACTCAATAGTAAAAACATCGAATTGTAATATATAAATAATAAGTTCATATAATAATTACAAGAGCATAACATGACTGCCACCAAGAAATCAGTTATTGAAAAATTCTAGCAAATCATAAAACATTACAGATTAGTTTCTCACTGTTTGTCACGAAAAATGTCAGTGTGCATCAAGGATTGACGAACACAATAACTTACCTGTGTTCTCAAGTAGCGTCTTAGGTGTGTTAGGCCTGTTGATGATTTCGACTAAATTAGTCAATACTAGCGGGATATACTTTGATGTTTCGGGTCCTGAAATTGGCAAGTCAAGCAAATACAATATTCAATAACCTCATTATAGCATCAATCACTTTCAGTGTCTTTAGAGGTAGATGATAATTTGTGACTTTACTTACCTAATTTGATACTAATTTCTCCAATAGCCCAAGTAGCATTGTTACAGACCGAAATAAGTTCAGGATAGAGGTTCATGCCGAGTATAGGCAGGAACTCCGGTATGTATGGCAGAACATGTTGGAAACACGCCTTCGTCAGATCGCCTAGCAGTGCAAACGATGACTGACGCACCTAAACAGTATCAACACAACTTCAAATATTAGATTTAGTTCCAAAAATAATGAAACTCGTCACCCAATACGTGTTAGTTACTGTTATAGTACGGTCAATGGTTATTTAATCTTATAACAAAATGAATGTTAATGGTTTTGTGGGCGAATACAGTGCAACAACCTTTAACCTTAGAAATGAGAGAAGAATGTTCAGACAAGTTGCGCGATCCAAACTATACACATTAGCAGCGTACTAGTAACAGAAAATGCAACATGTAATCGTATTTGCAACAAATCACAGACTAAAGGAAGAGGGTTAGGTGAGGATATTTAATGTTATCAGCCATAGAATTTAAAAAATAACTCTTTTAAACACAATATCTATATAAGCCAAGTCACAGATTACCCCCTAATAGATTCCGCATACAGGGCCACAAAAGCGCACAACACATACTCGCTGTAGCTAGCATACGACGTGACGCTAAGAATCACGACATTAGTAACAACCAAGTTTGTGACCCGTACGCACGTCCGAGTTCTGGACAACTTTTTTTTTATTGAAGTCATTATTTTGGAAAAAGTAGTGGCGTACTGTTGTGGTATATGTTATTGGTTTCCTAAATGCCCCGAAGAAAATAATATGGATAGACGCAACTTTTCGAGGGGACGATAGTTTTTCTACCAAAAATAATGTGATATGCTCAAGACACTTCACAGAAGACAATCATGATATCATGAAGAACCGAAGGCTGTTGGAAGACAGACATCCTAAGAATTCTGTGAGACGTATTTATACTAAGTTCATCCATTTAAAAATAATAATATTTAAAAATCAAAAATATTTACAAATCTGTGTTTCTGTCATACTCCCGTATCATACCATATCGTGAATATAACCCCCCTTCCCCCCCCCTCCGCCGCGAGTATACATATATTCCCCCTCCCCCCAAGTATATATAATAGATACCTATGAAATTGCCGATTTGTATGCAATAAGTGAAAGTACTAATTTTTTAATTTTAGACTATCTAATTAATAGCCCTAATATTACAGGGTCTCTCACCCAAAAATTACGTACCTATTATTAATTTTAGAGAACAGGTGCACGTGCCAGTCGAGGTGCAAAGTTTGTATTAATACCCACCGTGCCGTACCGGTCATTCCATTTGCCAGGACGAAGGATTGATTCAGAAAACAGTTTCTAATGGATAAATCTTAACTAGTACTGTCTTAGTACCTACTGTAGAAATAATAATTGGTCTTTACCTATGAAATTGCCGTTTTGTATGCAATAAGTGAAAGTACTTATTTTTTCAAACTTTTTTATTTCTGTTATTCGAAGTAATCACCCATGCAATCGACGCATCTTTGCCAACGCATTGGCAGTTTATTGATGCCCTTCTTGTAAAAATCAGCTGGACGGGAGGCAACAAACTCTTTAAAGGCATTTCACATGAGGCACAGAAATATATATACATTGTTTTTTTTTTAATAAATATCAAATAAACGTTGATCAATATAATTATTGATTAATAATCAATAAATCAAAAATAAAATAAATATCAGTAATTCAGATCATTAAACCATTTTATTGATCATCGTCCCCACCCTGTACCATCACTTATATTCAGTGCATTTTAAGTTTGACCTTTATATATCCAATCACAGCGCATTTGACACGTCTCCCGCAACTCTTCCATACCCCAAAATTTGTTGAACTCGAGTTGGAACAAATATTTAATAATGCGGAATCTATTAGGGGGTAATCTGTGAGCCAAGTACACGTTTGACTACTACTCTAAGCATACAACAATCTGGATAACGCAACTGGTAACAATACATTCCAAACAAAGCTTAAAAATGATATATAATTAAATAATGCAAATATAATAGACTCCACAATACCTTGACATAAAAAATGCCCTATGCGCCCTTGCCCTGTTAGTTAGATAAGCATGAATCACATACAAGGTATACCTCAGGCAGCGGGTCCTGCATGCATTGGTACAGCAATTGCATGAGGTTGGAGTTGAACACCAGGTGATCGATGTGACCGTCCAGCCCCTCCGCCAGACCGCTAAGCAAGTCTAGTGCCACGATCATAAAGTCTTTGTCGGGTGCTTCAAATTGCTCTGGGCTTTGATTATTTGCCTATAATCATACATAACGTTTTAATAAAAAGAGAAACCTCGAACATCCACATATTTCTATTTTATTTGGTACACTTACAATATTCTGATTTAGTGTTTGTTCTATTAATGAGACGCATCTCCTGAAGACTGGTTCACAGTAAGGAAGAAACCCTGATTGTAGAGCTGTCGCCACAGATGACAGGCACTGTAAACCATTACATATTATTGAAGTGCTCATATGTTATTTTTGTTTATTATCAATTTTCTTTAACAGTTTAAGTAATAATTTTTACCTCTAATAACGGAAAGAGATCTTTATCCTCATCTTTCAAAACATTCCACTTATTGATAAGAGGCGGCATCAGCATGTTGATGTATTCCGGTTTATTGAGGTGATGACCGACGGAGTCGGCTAGCGTGCCGATGGCGTCGTACAGTATTAGCAGGTTCTTATGTTGGTACTTGCCAAAGGCGTAAACTAGAGTTTGTAGGATAAAGCCCAAGTAAGGCACGAGCTCTGTACACGCTTCCTCCTCCAGCGTAGCGAAGGCCGAGCACGCAGCCTCTTGCACGCGCTTGTTGTTATCCAGGACGCACTTAAGCAGCTATAAATATATAAAAATTGGAATAACAATGAAACATCGGATAAGTGCATGTGAGTCTAAACCTGAATAATTCTATAATATTTCAAGGGCAATTAAAATTATAAAGTCAAACTGTATTATCCCTGTAAGCCGTTTTTTGTATCAAGTCCTGACGTTATTATACATTTATGACTTATATATCAGGCCAATAGTCTTGTAAGCTCGATAAATAACCATAACATACATAAATAGACTAAGTCATATGAGTTACCTCATAAAAACTCAGTCTATACAATATGATATTTAAACGCCTGTTGCTCTCCTCTAAGAAGAAGATTAGGTTTAGCTTTAGAATATGCGGTTACGATGCGGTCATATACTTTATACTAACCTCAGTCAAAACAGGTCGCAAATACAGGTCGTGCGACTGTGCCACTATCCAATGCGAGTAACGTGAAAGAGTCCAGCACGTGATGGCTCTCACCAGAGCCTTACGCTCACCCATGCAGCACACCAGGTACGGCACCAGGTCTGGCAGGTGCGGTACCATGCCACCCATGCAACCGTCGGCTACCGCACCCAGAGCTAGGATACCGCTTTCCTGAAATCACAATATTTTATTAATTAAATTAGGTATCTCAAATCAAAGAAATACATTAAAAATCCTTCAGAAACAATGACTTCATTAGAGTGTTGACTTTGATTTGACAATATTTAGCTACCAATAATAGAATTGCAAGGAATTATTAACTTTGTTGTTCACAAAATGTACCTCCATGACACAAAGCATATAATAGATTACTAATATACCTTGATAACCCACTCCTCGTGGAATAGCGTCTCTTTAAGAATAGGGAAGAGTACAGGAAGCAGATCAGCACCGAACACGTTGGCCAACACATCGAGAGCAGCGGCGCTGCACTTTCGCAAATTCCAATCAGAGAGTGAGCCATCGTCTCCATCGGCACCACCTTCGTCGTCATCATCGGAATCACCACCGCCAGACATGTTACTGTCACCAGCGCCCGCTATACATATATAACGTATTACTTGTTATTATTATCAAATGATTGCTTGACTGGTTCACTGGAATCACTTTGTTTCTTTAAATTATAAACGTTAGGTACAAACGGAGATCAAATCCAATATAAATATTTATAGAATGCTGGGTATCTTTTGAGCATTCAAACAATTTATCTAGTAGATTCTATATTTTTCACATAAATTTCTGAAAAATTCTTGCATGTCCTATAACCATACACACAACAGGTTTGGAATGGATCGGGTCGGTATTTATTTTAATATACAGAGAGTTTCATTTCCTATCCCAAATACTTAAGCCACATATTCTGCCCTTAATTTCTAGGCGATTTGCAAAATATGAACAAAATATATCCAGTAGTTTAGCCACAGGACTCATTTTTGTGTTTCGTAAATTGCAACATCATGTGTACATGCATTCATAATACATTGACCTCAGGCGGCGATCAGCTGTAGGTATACGCGGTAATCACACGTTGCCGCTTTTACTACACCCGAATCGAACGAAATATGTTGATTATTACGTCATCACGATGCAACACGCGTTTTTAATTAGTTCATCCAGTAAGGACAGTCAGTAGAGATGGGCGTTTTCGTTAAATTTTGTCATCGATGCGCATCGTTAATCAGTGAACCGCATCCGATGCCGGCATCGTTTTTTCTGGCATCGATTTGATTATGCGATTTTCGATTAGGCAAAATTAGTTGCCGGCTAAAGTGTCTGCGTATGAATATTAGATAGGTATTCGGTAACGTTGCCTTATTGAAATCATTTGATACCTATTTTATAACTTTGTAAATTATTTAGAAATTCAACATTACGACTTCTACTGGTAAAAAGTATAGAGGTTGTAGAATAAACATAAGGTAATTAATATTAGTCTTCACTTTTAACAAAATTAGAGTTTACATTAAGAAAAACCAATTTTTCTAATTTGGAACTTGAAAGACGAGTTCTTCGTTCATTCAAAATATACCCGGCTTTTGAGAATATCCGTTCGCATATCACAATATTACACCTCGAACGGTATATTTCTGCCAACGTCGGGTATATTTTGGAATGACGGAGCCACCATTCATTGGATCGCTCCACTCCCCGTCAACGTTTTACCGGGGCAAAATTTCGTCTTCCAAGTACAACCGCATCTATCATCAAATCGATGCTTCGACTTGTCATCGCCGCGTTTGCCGTTTCGTAGTCATCTGGCGCCTCTCGCTCGCTCGCATTCGGTGAAGTTCGCATCGGATGTTGCGGGCATCCGTTTTTCAATATATCGGCATCGGATGCCGGCATCGTATACTGGCATCGATGCTTAAAAACGTTTTTACAAAAACGACCATCTCTAACAGTCAGTCGGCCCTTGGCCACCGGCGAGCTTATGCTATTCCGTATCCTTGTAGATGCGCTCACGACAAATAACCGTGATAATAATATTGTTGATGTTTATGAGATACATATTTGTTTAGAGAAGTTTTCTTGTGGTAATAATTGTTTAGTCTTATTGCTTTCGTCATAATACACGGCAATGGTGTGAACAATTAATGTTATCGTGTGCGCAAGACTTCGTAATGTAAGGAGTCCTGCTAATTTTATTTTGAAAAGTCACTATTAGGTTCTGTGTGTAGTGTAGTGTGAAACTGAGTGCATTATCAGTCTTTTAATTTTATTGGGTTATCGATATCAACATCCATAATGCCGTGAGTGACCTTCACAGCCGCGGAATATGCCTGCCTGCTATGATGTTAATTTATGGAAAACTCTATCAAAACGCATCTTTTGCTTTACGGACACGTATGGAGTCAATCGTGTATGTACAGACTGCCGAATTTTTGTAAGGGCGGTACAAAGATTACGAGACAACCAAGGTAACTACTTTTTCAAGGAGTGACGCGTACTGCTGGGTCGGAAGCTAGTCGAGCATTCACGAAATAAACACGTGAATAAAATCGCATTCTTTATAAATAGATTTTTAAAAGCAAGTGAAGTGATTCTTAGGTAGGTAATAAGAATGTAAAGTTCGCCGGCTCGCGGCGGCGGCGGCGGCGTCGTTTTGATGTCGCCGACATTGCGACGCTGCCGTGTAGGTACAGTTCACCGACTCATGTTATCAATGGTGTTCTAATTCGGAAATTATTTTATTGTATTTAGTTTGTTCTAAATTTGCATTTCTGTATTTTCGTACTATTTTTTTATTTTTTTATTTTTTTATTTTAACCGACGTATATTGAACCGTGTTATCTGTTATTTCATTTTTTGTGATATCTATACCGCCACAGTGTATATTATATATAATATATCAACTACATTTTACATCAGTGTTACTTATATTGTATCACTGTCAAATACATACCATTATGTTTGATAGTGTGAGAGCGAGGTTTGTGGAACCTCGGTCTTATGTCAGATTCTCGATCGGGTTCAGCGTCGTCGGCATCGTCATCGCGGTCTCCTCGCAGTAACACAACGTCCATCTCAGAGTATCTCATACCGCGTACAAGTATCGGCAACAGCGCCGGCAGTCTGGGGCCCAGCACCTGCACGCAATATATAACTGTGCAATTCTACAACTTCAGAGCATATATTACTCATGAGAGGATTAGTAGATAAAGAAGTATAGCTTGATGATACACATCTGTTTGAGTTTCCTATTATCAAGTATATCCATCATCCCAGAACGGATGCTGACAATGATTTTAAAGAAATAAATCAAACATTGTAGCTAGTCGTAAATGGATGAATTTGAAATTGTACCTAGAAGAATATTATTAAATTAAAAATCAGTATTTAAACTGTTTGATAAATACAGCTACGAATATTATGATGCACTTTGAATAAATTAATTCATTTTGTTTCTTTGCGCTTTATTTTGCTTGTATGTTACAGGCATAATAACAGAAACTAAGAATAACTTAATTTATAATTTTCTCTAATAAAAGATTTTAGGGTTTTCAAAATTGTATTGTATTTCATGTTTAAAGCGCTATTGATAATTTTTTGATATACGTCATAATACTACAATTTTTCTTTTAAACCATACAAAACTTTTTAGAAATGTCAAACCTTGCATGTAAGTATTAATAATTAGCTTCTCCAACAGACTTCGTTTTGCGATATTGTATTATAAGCCTATTGCAGTTCAATAGAAAAAATAAACAAACACGTATTTTAGAGTTTATCACTTTTGAAACCAAAAACAAAGAAAAGTGTTGTTTTTAATATTTTCCTAGCAATTTTTACGTTTTTCTTTCTATTAGAATGAACTTTAACGAAAATATTTTAAAAATTTTTTTGCGGGATTGGTCCTCGAGTTTTGCGATTATCAACACATTTGGCAATTCATTTTTAATTATATAGATTAAATATCGCAGATGTGTAAAGCGATCTGCAAAACAGCGTCTCAATATTTTCTAAATAATAATAATAATAATAATAATAATAATTTTTATTTAAAGTAAAGATTTACAAAATTTGTTTAACAAAGATAGCCACACTAGGCTTAGCCTGTATCGAGGCTATCAATACAAAAACGATTATACATTAGGACAGTAGCAATAATATTAGAATCTTATATAAATCTCATATGAAACAATAGGAAAAGATCGCAGTTTACTACAATCTATATTTATTTAATTGACTAAGTTTAAGTTGGAGCTATGTGAGTGTGTTGAGTGTGTGTAATAGTTTGTGAGCCTGTGTGTGTGTTTGTGTGTACATGTCTAAGTATGTGTATTCGTCTGTCTGTCAGTTTTCATTCTTATTTTAAGATTTTTAGCAATTGTTCGGTTTCTTTATGGTTAAGACAGCTCATGATTTTACTGATTTTCAGTTTAGCGTCCCGTATTGTATCCTGTTTGAAATTATATCTATTGACAACCTTATTGTAAATAAAGGGAAACATGAACTTTTGAAAGCGGTTTGCGAAGGATGATTTGTTTCTAGGAACAGGGACTTTGAAAATTCTTTGCTTGAGCATTTTATTGTAATCAGGGGCGTTTAACACGTTTTTATGTGTGGAAATGATGGCTTGAAATATGTATAATCGTCTTATATTCAATACTTGGGCTTCTTTGTAGAGTTCAGTGGTTGGGAATCTCAACGGTTTATTCAACATAACTTTTAAAATTGATCTCTGAGCCCTTTCTAAGATAATCAAGTGTGTTGCAGCTGAGCCTCCCCAGATATTTAAACAGTAAGTCAGGATGGATTGACACAATGATATATATATCGTTTTTAATAAATGTAAATCAGCAACATCTCTAAGTTGTCTTACAACGTAAATTAGTTTCCTTGCTTTAGCTGCAGTTGCCACGATGTGGTCTTTGTAAGAGAGTTTATCATCTAGAATTACTCCAAGATATTTAATGCTTCGTGACCTTTGTATTTTATTACAATTACAAATAGTCTGATCAAAATTACATGTGTGAATTGGAATTTTTGGGCTTAAGGCTGGAGAAGAAGCTGCAGTTTTGTGGTAGCATAAATATTTGGTTTTGCTAGTATTTAAAGTTAATAAATTATTGTGAAGCCATTTAGCTATAATCGCCATACCTTGTTCAGCCGTGGCAAAACAGTTGGCCCAAGTGGAATCGTGAAATATTATTGCTGTGTCATCCGCGTAGCAGATCATCTTTGCATTTCTAAGTGGTAAGGTCGTCAGGTTATTTATATACAGAAGAAATAGAGTCGGGCCTAACACACTCCCTTGAGGAACTCCAAAAGAAGTTTCCTGCAAGGTACTGTGCAAGGAGTCCACCTTTAAACATTGTTTCCTTTCCGTCAAGTAACTTCGGAACCAGTTTAGCGCGGTTCCCCTTATTCCAATGCCTTCCAATCTCTTGAGTAAGATTGGAATTGCAACAGTATCAAAGGCCTTTGCGAGATCTAAGAAGATTCCGATACACGCAAGGCCATTGTCTAGATTTGTAACAATTTCATTTGTCAATAAATTTACGGCGTCTTCAGTGGACCTTCCTTTCCAAAAGCCGAACTGACTGTCTGATAAAATATTGTTCTTCTCAATGTACTTAACTACACGTTTGTTGACTACTCTTTCTAGTATCTTAGCAAAGACAGAGAGCAAGGAAATTGGTCTATAATTGTTAGCCAAGTTGGTTTCTCCCCCTTTATGTATAGGTACAACAACAGCAGTCTTCCATTCTTGAGGAACGATTCCGGTTGATAAACTTTGGTTAATAATATAGGTTAACGGTTCCACAATATGATTCTTGACTTTTTTTATGAGTCGGTTAGTAACTCCATCTAGTCCTGGGGCACTGTCATTCTTTAGATTCATAATTATGTGTTCTATTTCTGTATTATCAGTTGGTTCGAAGAAGAATGAGTTTAGAGGAGATGGTGAAGTGTCGATATTTTGTGCCAAAGCTGATTGTGTTGTATTTAGATTGTTTAAGATATCGTTAGCGTATTTTTGTCCTACCGATGTAAAATATTCATTACAAAGATTTAAGGATTCTTGCGGACAGGAATTTAAAAGTATTAGATCTGACGCAGGTGATTTCGTTACTACTTTTCTATGCGAGATTTTATTAATAGTCTGCCAGAGTTGTCGTGGTTGATTTTTCGAGTTTTTCAGCAATGTACATTCATATTCATTTCGTATTTTACGAATTAGAGAGTTATAAAAATTTCTATACCTGAGATATATCAGTGATTTCACTTCGTTTCTTGGCATTTGTTTAGCCTCGAGGTGTAATTTATCACGAACACGTGAGCATCTTAGCAACCCTTCCGTCATCCACGGCTTAAGAATTATCTTTGAGCGACTCATTCTAATTAATTTAGTGTTGTCTTTGATTATATTGTTTATAATATTCATAAAATGTTCTGTTTGGTCAGCCACATTCTGTATCTTCATCATCTTAGACCAATCTACATTGCTGAGCTTTTCTGAAATGGAGTCGTAGTTAAGGAGGCATTTATACCTTGGAGGTGATGTTGATGTTGTGGCCGTTGCTGTTAGACCAGTAATGACAAGGTCGTGGTCAGATATTGCTGAAGAACAGACTATAGTCTCCACATCCACCTCTCCCTTATAGAATACGTGATCAAGGCAGGAATCATATCGAGTAGGCTTATTAATAGCTGGCACTAGGCCTAGTTCAGCCATAGTGCAAAGGTATGTTGTGGTATCGTTGCCGTCTAAATAGGATATATTTATATTGATATCGCCAGTAAAAATGGTGCATGGCTTTTTATTTAAAATTTGGCTAGCATTTTGCAAAGAGTTAACAAAACGATCGATATTTTTAAATGATGGCGATCTGTAGATTCCTAACACAGTTATAATGTCTGGGACATATATAGCTAGACAGTTTGCGTCATCAATATCTGGTTCATATACACTCGGCGACCAAATATCCCTTACATATGCTACTACTCCGCCTGACCTATTAATATATTTTGTAGTATGGAAGCCTCTATAACCCTGAATAGGTGGTAACGTGAAACTTTCGTTTATCCAACACTCAGTTAGGACAATAAAATCAAGATCGATGTTGAGCCTTTTCATAACTAACAGTAAGCTATCAAAGTTGCGGTTAATGCTTCGAATATTCAAAGTAAGTATTTTTATCATATGTCTCTGCAGAATATTATGACAGTCTTCTGGTGCACTTATAGAATGACATTTTATATTATACGCATTATCAATAAATTGCATCATATCAAGTGTAGTCATTGTGTTTGGGTAATATTATTATTTGTGATGTTTTAGGCAGTCTATAAGTTTTTGTAAATGTCATTCTAGAGGATAATATGAATTGTGATATGATGTATATGTGTTTTATTGAATTTGTGTTTTGTGATGTACAATCGGCCCAGATGTATTGAGTTATTGTGTTGTGTGTTTGTTTTGGTAACTTTGTTTGAAGCGTTGTCAAGTCAGTGATGTTTATTAAAATGTTAAATATTTGTGAGCTCCAATTAGTTATATGTGCAAGTAATGTAAAGAAAGAGCAAAATAAAATTTGAATTAAAATACAAATTAAAAAGTAGAAAAACATAAAAACAAAAGGAAAATAAAGTGAATTAAAACTACTCGTTACTTGTTGCTTGGGGTAAACCAAGATACTTGTCCAGGTCTTCAGTCGTTTGTATGCGTATGGCAGGGTGTCTATTATCATTATTATTTTCTCCTTTTTTAATGAAAATTGTTCCATTTCGTAACCAACAGAATCGAAACCCATTGTTTTGAGCCCTCTCCCTGCTGGCACGAAATAACAGTCTCTTTTCCTTTGTGACTCTTTCATTAATATATATTTTAGAGGTTAAACCATTCACGATGTTATCTGAGGTGAGGTTTTTCCGAGACCTGGCTGCCTTAATTAGTTCATCTCGCTTTGCCTTCCTGGTTAATTTGACGACAATGGGGCGATGCCGTATAGTTTCTTTTTCTAACTTCTGCTTAGGGCCCACTCTGGATATATTATCTATGTCAGTTTCGTGTAATTCTACACTTATTTTGTTTGATAATGTTAATATCACATGTAGAAGATTTTCATTATTTACCTCAGGGACACCACAAACCTCTATTTCATTTTTTAGTGTATTTTGCTCTAAGGAGCTGACAGTTGAATGTAACTGGGATAACGTTATTTTTAAGCTGCCTATCTCTTTGTCTTTGGCTTCTATTGTTCTTTGAAAATCTAAGTAATTCTGTAAATTTGGAAGGCTTGCAAGTTGTTCTTTTAGTTCCTGTACGTCTTGTCTTAATAAACTGATGTCGTAGTTTTTCTGCTTTAATTCTTTTACTTCAAGTCTAAGCTCACGGATTTCTTGCACTAATTCACTTAGTGTACAATCAGGGTTGGTGGTAGGTTTAATTTTAGAGCCACGTACTGTGTTAACGTTATCACCCTGGTCATCGGAATTTAAGATCGAGTTGTGAGCTGGAGTGGTGGTATTTCCACGTTTCGGATGTTACCTTGGTTACTAGGAAACTTGTTTGTGATTCCTTTGCACCTTTTCTAGGTATGTGATAAAAAATTACCAATATCTTTTATTATTTTTAATAAATTATATACTTTAAATAATTGAAGAATAAATTATCACCTCTAAGAGTGGAAAAATGAAAAACTAAGAATACCGTTTATTAAAATTCACGTGATTTACGTGCATTGAAGTCGACGATACTTTCTCTAACTTTTTTTAACAACAAAGAGCGGTTAAAAACGGTTAATTGTAAGTGCTGAATCAATAAAGAATGTCGTTTGTGGTGCATTATTAACCGCATTATTTACGTATTTGAAAATTCTGTAGTGGAATATAAGGGAGTAAAATAAAATAAAGTGGCAACTACAAACTGAAAAAAGCAGGTTTTTTTGACAACTATTGACAGAGTTGACGGACGTTTGCGCTCTGTGTTTAAATATAAAGATTAAAAATCTAAACATACATTGAAATCTATACTAATATTATAAAGCTGAAGAGTTTGTTTGTTTGTTTGAACGAGCTAATCTCAGGAACTACTGGTCCGATTTGAAAAATTCTTTCAGTGTTAGATAACCCATTTATCGAGGAAGGCTATAGGCTATATATCATCACGCTAAGACTAATAGGAGCGGAGCACTAATGAAGAATGTTTCAAAAACGGAGAAAATTAATTACTATTGAGAGACGCAGACGAAGTTGCGCGGGTCAGCTAGTAGGTAATAAATTAAGGAAAAAGAATAAACTTATTGGATATTACATATGCATATATCTATAGTATAAGATGATTAGTTCAAGTATCCGACACATTAAAAGTGACAAAAATATAACCTACGAAAGTCATTATCTTTTTTAGATGGTACAGTTATAATTATCAAATAATTATGTAACACAATACAAAAACCAATTTCAAAAGTCGATAGCCATAGATAAATTGATAAAAACAGGAAACATTATGAAGCTATGTTACAAAAGACTTGTGAAAAAATGCAGTATGTAACTAAAAAATCAAATGTTAATATATTTTTTCATACAATCAAAAATCAAATTGACAATCAAAAATTGTTTTACACATATACAGGTTACAGATTCCAAAAAAATGCCGATTTTTTTGATATTTTTTTCACTACAAGACGATACAATATGATTCTAAATATGTTTTTGTATGGAGACCCCCCATTGTTCTTTTGAACAGTTAATTATGTAAGCAAGACCGGGATGGTAGGCGCTCGTTGGGTTGGGGAGACCTTCGTTCAGCAGTGGATGGCAATAAGTTGAAGTAAGTTATTATGTACGTGTTTCCTAAATCATGTTTAACACGTTTTTCGTTAAAAACATGTTTTCGTTTTACTAGATTGTAACTTATTATACTACAAAGTTTCGCGACGAAAATTATTCCGCAACGCATTCGTAAAAATAATTCAAATGTTAAACAATATAATCAACCGTTTATTTGGAAAGAATTACTAAACTCACAATGGGTAAAAATCGAATAAAATTAAAAAAAAATCTGCTTATTTTATGTCTTGTTAAGAAGCACTCTAGTATTTTTTTGTGTTTTTAAATAAATATTTTTAATTTTTTTCAATCCAAAATAAACATTAAATAACCAACTGCACTAGTAAACAACAAATAAACTACTTGTTACAAATACTTTGTTTCTTACCTCACGGCAGACATTCTGTTCAGCGAGTGACAGCCAAAATTCACATGCTTCCAACGCAACGCCTTCTTCAGGATCTTGAGTTCTCACCAACATGTACTATGAACAAATAAGACTCGTATAAGAAAGACACTTACACTGGACTACTGGGGGGCTCTCACAATTTCAACTGTATCTACATTACTGACATGATGACATGATTTTATACTGTCAAGTCATCTTGCAGATGGTGTAAATTGTCAAGGATCCCAGAGGAAAAGTGTCTTTATTTTGCCACCCTTATACCGTGACTTCTGTATCTAATGACATCAAACTTTCAATCAAGATGTGTTGTTGTTGATTTAGGAATTTACTATATCAGTGGATGCTGATTTTTTCAGATCAATATCAGTAAATGCTGATATTAATAGATTACTTAACACAACTTATCCATATTTCCATACTTATATTATAAACTAGCGATCCGCCCCGGTGCAATGGCGATCCTACTAATGCTGGTGGTTTCAGTGTTGAGTCATTAATTATACAAGTTGTCTCAAAAGATAGTTTATATCTGAAAAGCGATTTAAAAAAACGACGGTTTTCGATTTTTTTATTAATTATGAAAATACACTCTTTGGGAATTTATTTCTTGGAAATAATGTCGTCCAAATGTCTACCCCCGCGTTCACGACACTCATTTAATCTAGAACTAAAATTCCAGGTATGCTCTGTGATGGCTTCCATTCTGTACTGCAGTTCAGGCAAAAAAAACTCATCTAACATCCTCACTTAACGCTCTGAATTCAAAGTAAGAGCACGCCTCCTTTCGCCTTAAAAAAAGTAAGAGCCGATAATTCCTCGCGATGACTTTGCAGCCCATACGGTCACCTTTGGCGAATGAAGGGGATTCTGATGCTTACGTTTTGTAGTGGTTGCACTCCAGTAGCAGTAGTTTTGCCTGGCCATGTTAGTAAACGTTTGTATGCGCTCAATTGCCTGGTTTACGAATTTTTACCTCTGAATGGCATCTTGAGGTTTCAATTCTTGCACCAATTGAATTTTATAGGGGTGCACAGGTTTAGATCTTTGTGCAAAATGCGGTGTAGCTATCTATTATCTGATTTTGAACCGGTCTACTCGAAACTTTTTTACCCATTTCCGAATGAGAGGAATGCTTGGCGCATCATTTGGCGGGCCTCTTGGTCTAGTTTTTAGTGACCCTAACTGCTAAGCGGGAGGTTGGCTTCGATTCCGACCCAGGACAAATATTGGCATGATCATTTGTTCTGTGTCAGTGTGTAATTTATCTATAATACGTATGTAGTTAAAATATATAAATACGTTTATCAGCAGTCTAGTTCCTGTAGCACAGGCTCTGTCTAGTTTGGTATCAGACGGCCGTATGTCAGATGTGTGAGATATATTATTATTAGACTATACTGCAGGACATCTTATATGCAATTATTATAGGCAGCCTCCGCTCGTGCCAGCCACTGCCACCCGCGACGTACGGCGGCGATAAATGCATTGCCCCTTCATTTTAAATCTCTAATTTCTACTAAGATATTTACATTAATGATACGCCAAAAATCAATTTTGATCTACATTAAATGCACAACGTATCTAACGTATTTATTTGGATCAAAAATGATACCGTATTGTTCAAAATAGCTTCGTAAATTACACATTATTTTTTGTAATATGTAAAAATATAAAAATGGTTACTGTGGTTTACCCTTATGAGATAGACATATACCATCGCGGACTTTTTTAAGATAAACACAGTGCATTATTAGGATCTATCCCTTAAGGTTTTGCCTTACAAATCTTTGAAATTCTTGGATGTCCTCTACTGTATGCATGTATTTTACATATAAACCCACCTATTGATTATCGTACTATGTATTATATATAATACATGTTTTTGTGAAAATCATTTATAATAATAGGCAGTTACGTTATCGTTTTTATTTCTAGTATTAAGTCTGTATAGACACTATCAGTTTGCCTATTAGCGTCTATATTGTCAAACAATTCAGAAGTATAAATAAAAAGATTAGTGACAGTAAATAGTTGCCATCATTGCCGATATATTTCACCATAAAGCAACATATTCCAAACCTTAACATTTACAAGCTATTGGACTTTTAAGAATTATTTGTAAAAATTGCCGATTTTTTTATATCTTTGATTATACACTTTATGGATATATATTATTTTATAATATCCATTACAAAAATTGTAATTAACAAACTGGACTGAAGTAGATGATTAATAATATCAAAAAGACAAATTTGAAAAAAATAATCTTTGATAAATTTTATGAAAAAAAAACCTTTGACAGTTAAAATGCAGATTTGTTAAAAAACATGTACCGATATTTATACCAATGCCAATGGCCACTCGATGGCATCTCAATGGCGTGTCAGTGATATGACAGTGGCTTGGAGTAAACATAAAATAGCAGAATTGAGGCCCAGTTTGTTGGCAGTTGTAGCTCCCATAACATCATATCAATTTAACTTTATTTGTTAACTACACTTTTTCCACAATATTTATAATAATGAATTACAATTAAAGATCCAAATGTTTAAAGGACAAAAATGATCAACAAAATAATAATAACAATTAAATGATAATAATAACAATAATAATAATTAAACAATAATACATGCGATACAGATTGACACATGATTACTAAATTTTTACTAAATTTACAAATATTTTTATATAAGCGCCTTGCACCTTAGAGGGTGTAACGACAATCTATTTGTTCAGTATACCTACACGACTACATATATCTAAAGTTACCCTAGCAGTTAGTCTCACAGTGGAAAGTTTGCTGTGAATATTGCAGGCTTATAGCCAAATCACAATATGCCAACTATTGAAAAGGTTGGAATTCTGCAGATGTATGCTTACTTCAGATTTAGAAAACTTATTTTATATCTGAGACATTTCATGGACATAAGTCCAAATTTGATAAAAACGATCTAACCTCAACTTTAATTTTTGGGGCTCCAGTAGCACTAATAAATCCTAATATTACTTGGATACAGGGCCCATAAAGATGCTTCACTTTGAATGTTCAAGCATTTATCTATCTAAAAAAGATCCAATCCTTTTGGATTGGACCTTTTTTCTCGCCAAGAACAAAAAAAAATGTATTTGGCAAAACTTTGTATTTGGCAAAAATTTAGTTAAGTGCCGTGTATAATTGTGTTGTGAAATCGTAAGTAAAACTCTGTTATTAATAAGCGTTTCCCTACCTATTTATTCCATTATTTTTGGTAATTTAAAAAGGGATGGGTAATTTAAGTAGGTACTGTAATTGTTTGTAGGTGGTGTGTTAATCCTAGGATCCAGGATTAGAACGCAACATGGACTGGCCAGGACCTAGTAAAAAACGTAAGGTTAAAGATGAAAATCGGCAGTTTCAAGAAATTTGGACTGAAAAATACTTTTTTGTCTGGTCGCATAACAAAGTCGTTTGTTTAATTTGCAAGAATTCTGTTGCGATTGCAAAGGAATATAATGTAAAAAGGCACTATGAAACGCAGCATCCTACTTTTACCAAGTTTACAGGCGAATTAAGAAAGCAAAAAATGTTGTCTTTAAAACGGGAGCTTATTGGTCAGCGAACTATGTTTACAAAACCCATTCAAGATTCAGAAACAGCTACAGAAGTTAGTTATGAAATTTCTCGAATGATAGCAAAAGGAAGTCGCCCCTGCAATGATGGGGATTTTGTAAAAGAATGCATAGAAATTTCCGCTAAGAAAATGTGCCCAGAAGCAGCAAATAAGTTTGAGAAAATTCAACTGAATCGTATGAATATCCAAAGACGAATTATGTCTTTGTCAGGTAATATTGCCGAACAATTAAATGAAAAAACTAAGATCATTGATTTTTTTTCATTAGCACTCGACGAATCCACTGATATTAGTTCCACAGCTCAACTTCTCATTTTCATACGAGGTGTTACTCAAGATTTTGAAGTCTTAGAAGAGTTATTAGGAATGTGTTCATTGAAAAGTCAAACCAGAGGAGTTGATATAGTCAATGTACTTTTGGATGAGTGTTCAAAAACTAATTTGGACTTATCAAAATTATCGGGAGTTGCGACTGACGGTGCTCCGATGATTGGTGTCAATTCTGGGTTAGTTACTTTCCTGAAAAAGCATCTGCAAGAAAAAACATAACCGCTGAAGATCTCATGCAGTTTCACTGCATTATACACCAAGAAGCCCTCTGTTCTAAAAAAATTAAATTTCAAAATGTCATGAAAGTGGTAGTTTCGACTGTAAATTTCATAAAATCACGAGGACTCAATCACAGGCAATTCAAACAATTCCTTGATGACATCGAAAGCGAATATGGAGATGTATTATACAGAAGTAAGGTGGCTAAGTCGTGGATTGACACTGGAAAGATTTCTTAATTTAATAGAAGAAATTGGAATATTTCTGGCGGAAAAGCAAAGGGATGTCCCGGAACTTAAAAATCCTGATTGGTTGTGTGATTTGGCTTTTTTAGTTGAAATTACAAATCATTTGATTGTCTTGAACACACGGCTTCAAGGCAAAAATCAACTGATATCCCAGCTCTACGCTCATGTATCATCCTTTCAATGCAAGCTGACACTTTTCAGATCGAAATTGAATTCTGGAAATTGCAATCATTTTCCGAATTATAAGAAAATGGCTGAAAAATTCAACAAAACTGTGATTAATTTCAGTTATGTAGAAAAGCTAGATATTTTGATTCAATCTTTTCAAGACAAATTTTCGGAGTTTAAAAAAGTGAAACCTCTATTGGACATATTCAGCAATCCTTTCACGATTTCAGTCGAAAATGCGCCAGAGTCCATGCAGTTAGAAATTATCGACATTCAAAACGACCAAGGAGACTTGCTGAACTTTTACCGCTGCATTGATATAAATACGTAGTACAAAGAGTTGCGCATAAACACTCTGAAATGTGCCAGCTTATTTGGTTCTACCTATATATGTGAACAAACATTTTCAATGCTAAATAATGATAAAACAAAAAATCTAAACCGCATTGCAAATGAAAGTTTGGAAGCAGTTTTACATGTTGCTACAAGTAAATTTGAGCCAAATATAAAAAAGATTGTAAGCACTATGCAGTGCCACACTTCAAATTAATAAATTCTTTTTCAATTTTAATACATATTTATCAATTCTTTATTGTCTTTAATTACCTATACTTCTGGCGGCCCACCATCAGTTCATAATTTGTCCGAGCGGCCCCTAGTCTTAATAAGTCTGTGCATCCCTGCCCTAAAGTATCTAGGTTGACTTAACCAGTAACCCGTAACCGGTAACCCAGTATCTAAATATGTACATATCTTAGCTTCATCAATTTATGTTTATTTTATATATAATTTTATATTTGACAATTTAATTATATTCAAAGCGTACCTCAATAATATTAGGTAGATGAGGGACTAGCCTATCTAGTCGCACCTCCAAAAGCAGCACAAGTGCATGACAAACATTCTTTCTCACATCTGAGTCTTCATCTGCGGCTAGATGGAACAAGTTCTATAAAAAACAATAAACTTTAATAACCAGAAATAGTAAACTAAATGCTTTTGTAAAACAAAAATTTACTATACTTACTTCAATAAATGAATCAATGTGTAACATGAGTGCCTGGGTTCGCCCCATAATGAAGTAATTGACACAAGCAATGGCATGACACCTGATTTTAGGAGATGAATGCCGGAAAAACTGGAGGAATTTTGGTATCAATACATTTAGGGGTCTGTTTAATGCATCACTGTCTAATTTCTCTGCAGTATCCTCACAAATTTTTTGAAGAGCACCAAATGCACCCTGAAACCAATCATTTTATTTTATTATATTATGTATTAAAGTTAAGATTAGATGAAAGCTTCCAGTATCATGTTATTTTAAAGTTATCAGTTTTTAATTATTAATAATAAAACAACATTAAGTAATAAACTTAGTTTGTATACAAATCACAACATTAAAAAGAAGAAAACTTTATTAGTAATTATGAAACAATAACAGATATAACTGACCTCACAAACATTATAATCTTGTGAATCAAGCATTTGACACAAGGCTGGCAGCAGTTCGGGCCATGATTTTAGCTCTCCTCTACTGGCTATTGTGGTTATTATAATGCCTACAGTGGCCCGAATCAGTGGCGAAGGATCTCCTACAGCTGATAGACATTCCCGTTTGATAAATTCGGCAACTTCAGGCAAAAAGCTGTTGTAGTGTGCTTTAACATTATTTTTCAAAATCAAACCACTTAAAGACCTTGTAGGTTCTTTTTCGGTAACAAGTTTAGTGAGTACGAAGATTAAGTAGTTGTTGAAGTCTGGATACTTGTTTAATTCTTCCAATTTCTGAGATTACATTGTTAGGAAAATAAAGGCTGTCAATGACTGTCATGTCGGAAAAATCGATTTTATCGAAAGCGTCGAGATGAAACATATATTAGCATAATGAATGCAAGGACACATTAGAAAGAAAATTTCTAATGAAATATCAAAACAAAGATCGTAAACTGTGTATAAATAAAAAATAAAGCGGTTATAGTAACAAAAAATATCCACGCCGATAGGCTCAAATATGTGAAAATTATGAAAAGGATACTTGTTGAACTGCCCTCTGTGTCTCTGTATCTGGTGATTGAGACTCCTTTAGAAGTGTTAGTATTTGTCTGAGACCTTCTTGTTCTGGTTTCCACTCCATTTTCATAATAATTTTACGAAACGGTTTTATTTCACTCGGTCCCGTAAAGATCAACCATGCCAAAATTTAAGAGTTACCAGTTGAAATATACAAATTCTCAAATCCAATATTGGTTGTGCAACTTGTACACCGTTGAAATTATTAGTTGATTTATTACCATTTTGGTAGTTTCCACCGACTTTTTTATAGGTGTGTTTTAAATTGACTGGAACTGAATCAAAAATAATGCCGTATAAAGTTTCAACGTGGGTGAACTGTAAAAAATATATAGTTAAACTAGCTGACCCGCGCAACTTCGTCTGCGTCTCTCAATAGTAATAAATTTTCTCCGTTTTTGAAACATTCTTCATTGGTGCTTCGCTCCTATTGGTCTTAGCGTGATGATATATGTTGTGGCTACAACTTCATCTACGGAAACACTAAATCCAGTGTAGATTTTTTTTTATGGATTTATATACAATACAAACAATGACATACTGTAGTATAAGAAATATCGATTTTGACTTGATTTCGAAAATAAAATAAAACATTATTGTTTGTATACAAATTGAGTGATTGTTTGAAATTGATATAAAATTTACTTTTCAATCCTTGGTATCTTAGGACTAAAATAATATACAGCACATTCATTTACTAAATTAGAGTTAGAGATAATGAAAACAAGGTATAATAGATTTACACTGTATTCAGTATGGGACTTCTTAAGGGGAATGTGTATTAAAGAACGAATGACTACACAAATGACATGACATAAGTGACAGTCAAAAACAATGACATCTTTAGACCATGCTTTATTTATTGTGAAATTTAACCATAGTTAGTTAACAAATGGATGCATAAGTCAAGTGAACAAATATAGTGATCAATTTTATTTAAACAACTTACAAAATGCCTAAAATTAAATCTGAAAAGAAGTCAAGAGTGCATAATGAAATCGCTAAACAAGGTAAATAAATACATTAGGTTTTACATATTGCATTTACTCACAGTGAAATTAATGTTACTTTGCATTATTCCAGGGATTCAATTTAATAAGGATTTTGGCCAACATATATTGAAAAACCCGCTCATTATAACATCTATGCTGGATAAAGCTGGTTTGAGACCAACAGATATTGCTCTTGAGATAGGTCCAGGTACTGGTAATATGACAGTGAAACTCCTCGACAGAGTCAAAAAAGTTGTAGCATGTGAAATTGATACCAGGTATTGTTTACTAAGTTTTAATGTAATGTCTATTGTCAGCAGTCTGGTTACCATAATTAAGGCTCTGCCTAGTTTGGGATCAGTAGGCCAATTCTCTTAATAAAGTTTGGTCTCAATTCAGTTCCGATCAACTTTCAATCTCACAAATGTCATAAAAAGTAATTTAATGGTAAAATAATAAACATTCAATGTTAACTGTAATGTTATTATATGATAATGTAACCAAAAGTTGATGGGTGAACTTTGGGTGATTTGTGAAATTATTATTATTATGAAATGGGATAACTAATAGTGTTTTATATCTGTTTTACAGATTGGTTGCTGAACTTCAAAAACGTGTGCAAGGCACACCTTACCAAGCAAAACTTCAGATCATTGTAGGAGATGTTCTTAAAACAGAGCTTCCATTTTTTGACATCTGTGTTGCCAATATACCATACCAGATTAGTTCTCCTCTTGTATTCAAATTATTACTGCATAGGCCCTTCTTCAGATGTGCAGTGTTGATGTTTCAGAAAGAATTTGCACAAAGGTTGGTGGCAAAACCGGGGGATAAGTTATATTGTAGGCTCTCTATTAATACACAGTTATTAGCAAGAGTAGACATGTTAATGAAGGTGAGTGATAAAAATGTAATTGCTATGACAAGGAATAGGATTATTTTAATAATATTACCTTATTAGTTGAATGAAATGTATGTATACATGGTAAGAAGCTTTTTAAGATTTAAAATGTATTAATTAATTATGCATTAATGAATTATATTATAACTTTTTCTATAAGCTTTGCATTAGTTATTTGAACATCTTTTTTTATTAATTTAACCAGTTTGTTTGACCCTATGCATTTATCCAATTTAAGTATTATAAAAATATTTACTCTTAATTTTTTTTTTAACATGCTTTTTTTACAGGTAGGGAAAAATAACTTCAGACCCCCTCCTAAAGTTGAGTCAAGTGTGGTGAGAATAGAACCTAGAAATCCACCACCACCAATAAACTTTGTGGAATGGGATGGCTTAACCAGGATAGCATTTGTTAGGAAAAACAAAACACTGTCTGCAGTTTTCAAACATGCAACCACTATTGCTGCACTGGAGAAAAACTACAGGGTGCACTGTTCACTACATAATAAAGTAGGTTTTATATTTCTTCTTGGTTTATATATTATTTATTGATATATATATAAAATAAAGATGGAAGCCACCTCAGCAACGAAATTCTCCCAAAAATACTACCTAGCGAAATAGAAAAAGCTATTTATAGTCAGAAGATGGAGAAAGCTCCAGGGCCAGACAAAATTATGAACGAACTCCTTAAAGGCACTCTTGAAGAACTATTGCCCATACTGACAACAATATTTAACGAAATAATGGACACGGGAAAAATACCTATGCAGTGGAAAACATCCCATATCATCCTTATATTCAAGAAAGGTCAAAAAGAAGATATAGAGAACTATAGACCCATAAGTCTGCTGTCAAATATATATAAGGTATTCTCCAAAGTCATCCTGCAAAGAATAAGCAAAACGCTCGATGAAAACCAACCACGAGAACAAGCCGGTTTCAGACGAAACTTTTCGACCCTGGACCACATATACACGGTGAAACAAATAGTAGAGAAATACAACGAATATAATAAACACCTATACATGGCATTCATCGACTACTCTAAAGCTTTCGACAGTGTTTATCACAAAGCAATATGGGAGAGCCTGGAACAACAAGGGGTCTCGCCAAAGTACATTCAAATCATCAAGAACATTTACTCAAACACCGAAGCTAGACTACAACTAGAAACCCTAGGTAAAAAGTTCAAGATCATGCGGGGCCTAAGGCAGGGAGACCCGCTGTCACCGAAACTCTTCTCAGCGGTTTTAGAAAGTATCTTCCGCAAATTGAACTGGGATGGCTTCGGCCTAAACATACACGGTGTTAAACTAAACCACCTAAGATTTGCGGACGATATAATCCTGTTTGAAGAGGATCCGATGCACCTCCAAGAAATGATAAAATCACTTAATGAGGAGAGTAGAAAGGTGGGCCTGTCCATGAACATGAGTAAAACAAAATTGCTCACAAACTCTAAAGTAACACCTATAGAATTGAACAACCAACCACTAGAATATGTACAGGAATATATCTACCTAGGACAAAAAATCTCTCACGAAGAACAAACAACTAAAGAAATAAATAGAAGAATAGCAAATGGATGGAAAAAGTACTGGTCGCTGAAAGAAATTATGAAGTCAAACGAGCTAAACATGTCTACTAAAAGAAAGGCTTTCAACACCTGCATACTTCCTGTCATTACCTATGGCTGTGAAACATGGGCACTCACCAAACTCCACAGAGCTAAACTGGAACGTTGTCAAAGGGCCATGGAGAGAAGCATGACAGGAACAAGGAGGATGGACAAAATAAGAAGTAGTGAAATAAGAGAAAAAACTAAAGTTACTGACATTCTCGCTCGAATAGACCAGATGAAGTGGAGATGGGCCGGACACATAATTAGAGACAGGCATGGCAAATGGAGTACGACTATCTGTGACTGGTACCCCAGGGATGGCAAACGTAATAGTGGACGCCAACAAGCGAGATGGGCAGATGACCTGAGGCCAACAGCTGGACACCACTGGAGAAGGGTAGCGCAAGACAGAACCCAATGGAAAGTGCTAGAGGAGGCCTATGCCAAGAGGCACTCTGAATTGCGAGATATTTTATAGACTAATCTTATGAAATGTTTAATAATGTATTTAGTTAATTCAGAATAAAAGGGCTTATTATTATTATATAAAATAAAAAGAACAAATAATTGTGTGATGAGGACGTGTATTTAAGTATGTTTATCAGCAGTCTGATTACTGTAGCGAATCCTGTGCTCTGCCTTGTTTGAGATCAGACTGCCAACTAACTTATTAAGAGGTAGTATTTTGGGCATGCCATGGAGCATCTTACAATGATGGGGGATGCTTCACCCTTTGCTTGATATCCAAAACCATCGGACCATGTTTGAATGATCTGCAAATATTTGTTTTGGAGATTGTATGTTTTATATGTATGTATTTACAAAATAAAAGTATTTTATCAGTTAATCTTCAGTCAGTCTATTATAGTACAAGCTGCTTAGTTTGAAACTAAATTTCGTTGTGTCAGATGTCTGAAAATATTATTATTATTCAAACAGTACTTATAATAATATTTGAAGTTTAAGAAGACTACTTGAAGTCAAAATTACTTCAAGTAGTGAGTTAAAAAAGTTTCATGAAATGTTTGTTTGAATAACATTGAAACAGTTACTTTCTGCCTATGTAGCTTTAGAGACTCTACTTACCTGCAGAACTGTAACATGACCTTTTGGTGTACTTTGAACCTGTTGATGGTGGTAGTAAACTGTTCTCTTAATACATATGGATTGCCTTTGTTATTGGCTTCCATCAAATTAATTACTTCCTAAAAATAATGTTTCCCTTTAGTTTATCTTATTTCTGAATTTAAAGTATTTCAGCTTTTAATCTCATAAACAATGTATCTTATGAGCTTTTCTTATTACAGGATATACCAGAAGATTTTGACATTAAACAAAAGATTCAAGATATATTAACAAATTCAGAAACCGACCAGATGAGAGCTAGAATGATGGATATTGATGATTTCATGAAGTTATTACATGCCTTTAATTCAGAAGGCATTCACTTTGCATAAATTAATATTAAATAAATCATATTAATATTAACAATGGTTTTTATTAACTATTACAAATTATAATACAACATTTAATTTCACTAAATTAATGTTGCCAGTTTTGATACTAGACAAATTGAATAAAGCAAATTATATAGCAGCACTCTTGAAGCCTCGGCTAGCATAATCAGCACCCTCTTTACGGTCAGAAGCATAAGGGAAGCCAGGTTGTCCGGGCAGAACCATAGGTTTAGACTTCAATACTCTCCAGCCTCCCTTCTTAGTCCAGTCCTGAAAAATTGATAATTGTTGATATTTGTTAGTAAGTTTCATTATCAATATTAGTATAAAAACATATTTAAACTATTTTAAGGTTTGAAAGGTTTCATGAACTGAATTGAAATGTATGCTCTAGTGATATATTAAGATTTTATAATAGTCTAAAGGTATGTTGAGAAGTGATGGAATTATAAATATTTGCACTCTGACTACTTACATTGCCATTGTATTTAAAGTAATAATGTACAGACAGTATTCCAAAACTTATTAAACCCAGTTTGCCAACTATGTATCTATAATCAGCAGCACGACTGGCACCCTGAAAATCATTAAAATCATAAATGGAAGTACTCAGCCAGGCAGTCCAAGACTTGCAGTTAGGTTATTTGTTATGTAACCTCACCAGCATTGGTGTCAGAGCTTTAAAAAGTGTGTCCAAAGGAAAACGATAGAGGCGACGAATAGGGTTAGTACGTTGTTTCCAATATTCTTCAACATATACAGGTTCATTAGGACTTAAAATTTGGTCTTTCAACCACTGTTTACGCCAAGCTCTCTCCGCATCTGTCATTCCTATACACCGTTCTCTTTCGAGAGCCACACGACCAGCAATGGCCATAGGCTTTACGCCCGCTGTTTGAGCCATTATTGCTAAAATATAATTTCTTGCCGATCTTATTAAAACATACAATATAAAATGTCAAAGTATTTCAGGGACAGCGGACAGATAAAAATAACGATGGATGTTATGGCACCACTGTATCAGTATTGCCATGCTAGTGATAAATTTGAAAGAAAAAAGTTTTCGGTCACTAAAAGTAAAAACTAGTACAAATTATAGCCCGGTTTGAAAACTTAGGGATGAACGCATGTCCAGAGTAAGCTTAAGAAATTTGCCCGAATGAGCGAAATTCAGAAAATATTTTTTTCCTGCAAAATAACTGAAAACCATATTTATTTTCAGTTATTTCGAAATATCTCCCAAAAGAGACCAACGAAAAAGGTTTCGAACAAAAGTTGTGCCGCGGATGATAGGCATAAGTGTTTTTAATGAGTCGATTTTTTTTTTTACACGTGGGAATGATTAACACGGCAAAAAAATAAATTTCTTGAAAAACACCTGTAAAAATCGTTTCTATTCCACGAAATCTGAATTTAACGTAGGTAGATAAGTTATAAAAAAAATACTTAATGAAAACTTTTTGAAAATTTTGTACCCTACTTATGCAAACCTACTTATGCAAAACGGAACCAACCCACACATTAAATTTTGCATACAAAAACTCTGTGCTATTTTAGAAAAAAATAAATGTCATAATGTAAAAAGTACTTTTTTCAACATATATAACTATAATATTAACAAAAATAATGTGGCATTGCGGAATAATTTAAGAAATACCTCAATGGTTCCTTTTAGCGAAAATAAACATGTGTGGGTTGGTCCCTTGTTAATGTATTACCTCAGCATGATTTAAAAGTTAAAATAAAGAAAATTTTAATTGAAAAAAATCTTTCTTCTTTTACAGTTTTTCGACAAAAATGTTTATTGAAATACCAAAACTCATTTGTTCTAAATTTAACTACTACATAAAATAAAAAAATATTTATTCAGATTTCCTCTCATGTAAATCTTGAATATTTTATTCTTTTTATCATAATTTCTTTAGTATTGAGCCATGGAATTTTTAATTACATTCTTTTCTGATTTCAGCAATAACAAGAAATCTTCATTTTTCATCCTATGTGCATGAATTGGATTTGTCTTCTTACCAGCTTCCATAACCGAAGGTCAATCATCCGATGTATTGAGACTTAGAGACTCTTTAGACGGTTTAGGGTACATTCAATATTCGCGGAGTTTAAGTCGTTCGGGAGAAGTTGTGCCCCGTTTCAAGGAACCTAATATTATTTTAAACTTAGGGATGCAAAGCATTTATATTAACTTTAAATTGAAGTTCTGACCACCACATTAATTGCATCATAATATGAAATGTTTTTGATTGCTTCTGCTTCATATTTTTGATAATGCTTTGTCTACTCTCAAAAAGTTAGCTCCTATTTTTTCTTAGCGATAGTGAGATATATTATGCACTTTTTTTGGGTTTAACGTGGGCTGGTAAACTTGTCATGAAAATGTTTTGTTCTGTCATAGTTGTCAGATCATTTTGATTCTTACAGGGTCGATAGAAGGATCTTTTTATATAAAATTAGCTGGTAAGTGCAACTTCGTTCACGTTATTCAAACTTAGGGTTGGTTTTTTTATTTTTTTATTCAAACCCTAAGTTCGAACAAAAAATAATAATCCAAAGTTTCAGTTCTGCCATGTGTGAATTGCACACACACACTTTTTTCTTTTTATCTTTCGTTGCTGTTCACCGGAATCAGTGAGGTTATCGGAGCGCGAGGGGAACTTGTGGAGGTAAGGATGGCATGTCCCTTCAACACAAAGGGATCTCTGACCTCTGACCGAGGATATCATGCCTGGCGGGCTGCGGCCCAATGTTTGGTGTTGGGCCGCAGCCCGCCAGGCATGATTGTGTATCAGCTGTATTTATGCTTTTTTTTCTTTTGTCCTGTTCTAATCATTTTTGTACTTTTTGGAAAGTAATCTCGCCTGTAGTAGTTTTGTAGTAGAAATTGTCACAATCACCTGTCGTAGAATCCTGACAAATAATGTAGAATTGTAGACACACTATTGTTGGTAACACTGATTTACTGTAATAAGTCTTGTAAGATAATTATTATTGTATTCAGTTAAGTTTTATCTTTCTTTACCTCTTTATATTCAGATTTTTATATAGAATTGGACAACATGCCTCGTTTTCATAAAGTTGAAATCAATAAAACAGAATGGATTGTCCCAGAAAGATATCAGATGCTTACACCTGTAGGCTCAGGTGCTTACGGACAAGTTTGGTATGTACTTGTGATAATATTAGGCAGTCTGCCAGTAAGTTAGTCATTATAAAATTATTTAATTTCCTTAACGCATTCATAAAAACGGAATATGAGCTCTTAGAGAACATGAAAAATAACCAGGTACATTGCCCTTGCGTTGCGTGGGTGGTGCCTTTTATTAGTTGCATAGACAACATATGTATTTATGGACTATTTATTTACAGTTCCGCAATCGATACTTTGCATAATATGAAAGTGGCAATAAAGAAACTAGCTAGACCTTTTCAGTCTGCTGTGCATGCCAAGAGAACCTATCGTGAACTTAGAATGTTGAAGCATATGAACCATGAGAATGTTATTGGTAAGTGAATTATTCTAATTTTTTTTTGCAAATTAACATATAAATAAGTTTTGTTTCATTCAGAATACTTTTAAAATCTAGAAGTAGTTAATGTAACCTGAAACTGACTCAGTAACATATAAGTGAACTAGCAATATATTAGATACTTTCTTATAGATCAAGGATTTACTATAACTTTCTTCAAATATAGACAGACATTATGAAAGTCTCCAATTAAATAGTTAGTTTACTTAAGTTAATTTATGTTTACCTTAAAACTAGAAGTATGTAACATTGTTAGTATTGCTTTTGCAAATATTATCTTCCCTTAATTCTTAGGTTTGCTGGATGTGTTTAGTCCTGAAAAAACACTAGAAGAGTTTCAACAAGTTTACCTTGTCACACATTTAATGGGGGCCGATTTGAACAATATTGTTCGGACCCAGAAATTGTCTGATGACCATGTCCAGTTCTTAGTTTATCAAATTCTTCGTGGTCTAAAATACATACACTCAGCAGGAATCATTCACAGGGTATGTAATATCTTAAAAGAATAATATATCAGATAATTGATTGAAAGCATATTTATGAGATTCCTATCACTGTTTTCTTAACGATTTAAACAATTTAGAACACTAATTCTTTAAAAACTATTTAGAATTTGTTCAGAGCATGTTTAAATTAATTATATTAATATTGTAGGACTTAAAACCATCTAACATTGCTGTGAATGAAGACTGTGAATTGAAAATCTTAGATTTTGGTCTAGCCAGACCTACTGAAACTGAAATGACTGGCTATGTTGCTACAAGGTAAGTAAAACAATGCTACATTACTGTAACATACCTGTAAATTAGTAGGCAAACTTAACACTAACGTAATGATTTAAGGCAATGTAGGTAACAAAGTATTAAGTATGGCGAAAACATGATGAAAGTAAATGTAATATCGTAATTGTATTAGTGTTTAAAGGTCCTAAATTCTTCAAACATTCAAAATTTTTCAAAATGTATTCATGGTGTAAGGTCCCTTACACCATGAATACATTTTGACATAAAAAAAAATACATTCCTGCAGAAATTTCGAATGATTCTAGACTCAGAATGATGGTCTGAATACACTATTTCAGTATTGGTTACAATGTAATAATTATACAGTAAATTAGGAGGACTTCCTACTGCATATGGGCTTACTCGTATTTTGAGCATACTAAATACAAAGTCCACAGATCTGGTTTAGTATTAGTTGTTATTTTTATTACAAATAATACAAATTAATACCAATATGAAAATAGATTGGTGTACTTTGACATTTTATAAATGTAATAAAGCAATAAATAGGTGACAAATGTATGTTAAAAATTACAGATGGTACCGTGCACCAGAAATTATGCTAAACTGGATGCATTACAACCAGACAGTTGACATTTGGTCAGTTGGTTGTATCATGGCTGAGTTACTGACTAGCAGGACCCTGTTTCCAGGTTCTGACCGTATCCTTTTCACAATGCTTTCAAATATTTTTTTGCATGATAATTATTGTCCTTTAGAAAAACATGTTATAAATTATGAACAATTATCATAAATCATCATCACCATTTTAAATGACGATTATTCAAATGTGACTGAATTTATTCAAACATACTAAATTAATCTTATGAGATGGATATGAATGAACAAAAATCCATTACATCTAAATTTTTCTCAATGTACAAATATTAAAGTTCAAGTATAGTTAGTAACTTTCTAGTTTAAAATTAAAGACACTATGAAAAAAGTTTATTCTTTGTGTGTTTCTATGGGTAATATATGAAGTAATACTCCAGGTCTCGTGAGTTTCAGCAAGGAGGAAAATAGTGTTTAATCACGAATGGACGGAATTGGAAATAAAATCTAATGTACATATAATATTGTTTGTTACAATTATAAAAGCTTTAGCTTTAATTCTATAATTTGGACATTATAGCTTTCAACCTTAATTTATAAGACAGACATCCATCAATTGAACTTGATCATGGAAGTTTTGGGTACCCCTGCTCAGGAGTTAATGCAGAAAATATCCTCAGAATCAGTAAGTAACTTTATATCATTGTTTCAAGGGTAATACGGCGTAACAATCATTTGTATATATGATTTTATTATATTATCGATGGTAAAAAGTGCTTTGCATTAACATGCTTAACGTAATATTGTATTGTCTTGTTGATCAATGGCTTGTGTAAGTTTGGTGCTTGTGTAACCTTAACATGCGTGCATTCAGATATTGATCATCTCACAAGAATATTGTTCTTGTGTGGAAAGCCAGAAAAGGAGACTATTGATAAAATAATAAGTGAAGAGGTGAGTTTAGAAAGTTTTGTTTTCCACACTATCAAGATATAAAGGTATAACGATGTTATAATGTCTGAATCGGTTTTTAAATTAAAGCAAAGTTTCATGATTAATGATAAGAGATACAGCATTTATCTAACAAAAACAGATAACAAAAAATGTAATATTACGTAACAAGGTCGAATTCAATCGAAAATAACATGCCAATTTAGTAAACACGACGGAGTTTTGTTTAAATGAATGTAATTATGTACATGTGTTCAATGTCTTAATAGATGTACCTATTTATAAAATAAAACGTGTGATTTGAAATAACCTGAGCAGATCATAAATTTGTGACGTCAGTGTGTGTTTTTTGTTTTCGCTACAGTTACATTAGAGTAATTAATCAAGACTGTCATTTTTACACTGATATGCCCAAAACTATTTATCATTATGCAGACGTCCAGACTATTCTAATTTTATGGTGCTCATTTAATACCTAATAATATTTTCGTACTTTATTTAACATCAATATTTTTTTAAATACTGAAATATGCATTCTAGAAACAGCTTATTCTCTCCATTCTCCATTTATGTTTATTATCTAACATATAATAATAGAACTGAGTATCTGTGTAAATATTTAAGGTATGTGACGAAATCGGAATCTGCTCTCTTTATATGCGTTAAGGTTCAATTTACTTTGTTCGATAAACCACAAATATTTATACAGACAAGCCATGTCAAGTGCCAGCAATTAATATGAAAACTTATTTGTCTGTAGTAGGTATATCCGTTATACGGATCATTATTGTTTACAATTACGACGTATGGTTCACATCGTAATGTGTGTTATTTGTAACTCCAATTTGAAAAAATAATGATATTAAAATCTGACGTTCTTGCCAGTGGCAGCAGTGTTTCTAAATGTAAGGATCGAATGCGTTCTTTTATTAGAAGACTCATTTAACTGTGAATGGATTTTAGGGTCCATCAAAATACCATTTGAAATACCAGGAGAACGATAAAGAGGTCTTATAACTGTTACAATCGTGATTCATCAATTTCTTGTTAGTTTAATTCCTAACCTAGTCATAAGTTCAGTACTTTCATCTCTGGTATGCGCTCGCTCTTAAAACCACAGTCGCAACTAACAGCTGTACGTTGCCGCCTTGTTGTCCGCGTGATAGTCATATACCACAGTCTGTCCCCACAGTCAGTAGAGCTCTGCCAATGCTACTAACAAATATCAGACAACAGCACAATACTAGTAACTAAAGCGGTTTAATTGCTATAATTATAATTTTCCAAATCTAATTTAATAAATTAACTAGCGCATAAGCTAATAAATTAACAACAAGTGGGGTGAAGTGAAACAAGTTAGTGGCCGCGGTATTTCCAGACCGATACGACCCTCAAACCTTCAAGAAAAGAGCGTACTCCTTCCTCAAAGGCTGGCAACGCGCTTGTGACTCCTGAGTTGTAGGCGTTCATGGGCGGCGGTAGTCGCTTTTCATCAGGTCTGCCCCCTATTCCATAAAAAAAATGAAGTGTGCTTAGTTCAGACAAAACTTTCGTAGGGATACAAAGTAAAACACTAGTGTTTAAGTCAGCACAGAAGTAATGTAAAGTAAAGTAATACTTTGGAAAAATAGTAAATCCGGTAGGCGATTTTTGTACCAAGTAGTACTTGTCTGTTGCAGGCCAGGAACTACATCCAATCTCTACCGACGCTGAAGAGGCGAGATTTCCGAGAGGTGTTCCGTGGCGCCAACCCTCTCGCGATCAATTTGCTTGAACTGATGTTGGAATTAGACGCAGACAAGTTAGTATATATAGTGTTAATATAATAAAATAATTGCAAATTGTTGTTACAAATCAATTCGAACTATTTTAAAGGGGCATTTTTTTGTTTTGTATGAGCGATTGTTGGCGCTCGATTATTGTTCTGCAAATGTTACCGTGCAAAGTTAGCTGAAGACATAAAATGAGTCAGTAGACTTGTTTCTTATTTAAATTTCTACTTCAAGGCACCAAGGTTTTCAGACGATATCTATCACGATATACAATCCGTTTCAGAGATTGTTTTCGTCTATTTTTCACATCAGTTTTGTTCTTAATTTTTCATAAATGCAATCACAATTTGCTGTCACCACGAATTCGTTTTTTTTTATTTTCATTAAAAAAGTAGGTTCTTATAATACTTGTTAACATAATGTTTGATACATTGACAAAATCTGATCTGTTTCAACACTCAGCCATCGTTCGTTTACTTTAAGTGCTACAGTAATTTTATACTGATTTTTCGTTGTACCTAAGTGCAAAAATACTACAAGAGGTAAACCCAAAAACTATTTTTTTCCAGTTAAATTTCCCTCTATTGTGCAAATTTTAATTAATATGTTTCTCAATTAATTACGAACTAAATAAAAAAACATGTTTATTCATAATGTCTCAACATTAAAGATTTAAAGGAAAAATATTAACTAAATTTAAACAACATTCATATATTCCTAATTGGTTTTCCAGACAAAATATACAACTTAAATAAAAGCTTGTCAAAGTGTGAACAGTTAGGCACTTTGAAATGACTCAATGCGTGCGTGTGGTGGTGTACAAAGTCTAACCGGTTTTTATTTATGATACTTTTTAAGTGTAGCCTTCGTGTTTATCTACGTATTATTTCCACATCCCGATATTAAAAAAATGATTGATTGCAAGTGATAATAAAAAAATTAACACAATCACATTGCTCTGTGATTGGATTATAGAGACGGCCATAGCAAACAGCAATGATGCGTCACTTGTTAAACGATATTTGTAACTAGTTTGAGAATTGTCTTGAATTATGTTATTTGGCCTTACTTAAATAGATTCCTTTTGATTTTTTAAAAGTTTCGAGAAAATTAAACGGCTGACTTTATAAATAGAAAACGTTTAAATAGTGATTACGTAATGTATGTAACACTAATTCTATATAGGTATGTATACATATCATGCACTATATTTCAGGCGCATAACGGCGGAGCAGGCGCTTGCTCACGAGTACCTAGCGCAGTACGCTGACCCTGATGACGAACCGGTGTCGGCGCAATACGACCAGAGCTTCGAGGATATGGAGATGCCTGTCGACAAATGGAAAGGTACTATTTTTGCACTTGCTACATACGTGAAATTGAAACGACTACTACTTATTTTTAATGAAATATATATTCTCTATTCTAATGTCAAGGAAAACCCATTACCCATTTGGAATGTTAGTCATTGAACTACATCTTTCAACTTACAAAAAAACCCGTTGACATTGATATTGGCGCGTTATGTCCTCCAACACAAATAGTCGCTAAGCGGAGATCATCCGATCACGCGAGGTATGTGTTGAAGTTGTAGATATTCTAATTAGCACGTGAACTTTAATTGCGCGATGCAGGACTAATAGTTACTTCGTAGTTCGTTGTGTCAAATATACTAACCTAGTAAAAGTTTGTCAAGTTTTATAATGCTAAATACACCTACATAAATAAAGAAACTAAAATTTTTGGTAGTAAAATAAAGGGAAAAAAAAAGTTTTTTTATTTCAGCATCAGAAATTAGAAATACTTACATGTAAAATCTTTTTACGGCAGTGGTTCTAAATTAAAAGGCCTCCGGTTTTGCATTTAAAAAGACGAAACTCAAAAAAATACGGGATTTGTTATTTCAAGCGACGTCAAAAAATTTTAGAATTACAATTTAGATAAATCAGTCCGTAACAGTCGTTGGCCACGGCCACAATCAACAAAAACATGTAAACATTTATTTAGATTTTGGAAAAGATTGAGTTTACCACCTTTTTGGGTATATAAGGTATCTGTTATTAAAAAAGTTCTTCCATATAGCCTTTAAACTCGGATCTTTAGGAAACCTGCAACAAATAAATAAAAACATGGTCGTAGTTCACATTTAGTAGTTTTAATATAATGTGTTATTACTCGTAAATATTGTATTATATTTGATTGGACGCAATCTTAATATCAAACTATATTAAAACAAATCTCACAATCCACATAATTATATCAATTATATCAGAAAACAGAATCTTATACATGATAATATGCAAGAGAGACCTGGATGTATTTACGTTTTATCAATACCTAACTGTTTACAAACCGGTAACAACACTATCGCTCGGTGATAGCGATTAGCAACACGACACTCGGATAGGTCGTTCGATCGATCCTAATATTGTATAAGAGCGAGCGGCCTGTGTTGGTAAACAAATCCAAAACAATACAACTTATTTAAGTTAAGTTATTTTCGTAATATTTACTTGACTACACTTGACGTGGCAGATCTCTTTTTGAAGCAAAAAAACAATTCGGCATTCTTGTAGGACGGATATTATCGTCTACTCAGCAGCCTAAATAGATTTAGTCTAGTGAGCGGTCCGGCTGCAACTAGTTTTATTGTACGCATATGACCGTGTGGACTTGTACTTTGGCAGAGGGGAGCGCCTGCGTATTGCTACTCCCTACCGTGTTGTTCTATGCTCTTTAGCGACTTAAATTATAGGTATAAATCTAATTTTGTAAATAATTTACTTTCAAGTCGTTCACAACATTCTAATTTATAAATGTTCATGCTATGAATGTATACGGTAAATAATTATTTATATAACGACGTTGAAGCATATCTTTCATATTGGTAAATCAAGGATTATTATCTTGTAAATGATTGCCGTTTTCTAATTGAAAGGTAGCTATAGAAAATGATAAGGTATACTGTTATGGCGTATGTATTGTAACCTATACTAACAATAAAACTCAAGAACATATATATTTGACTAGTTTTTGTCCGTAGCTGCGCTTGCGTGTATGTTCGTTATCACGGTAAAAAGTAACCTATGTCCTGCCATACAATTCAAACCCTAAGCGTGAAGAGTAACAGACAGACAGACACACTTTTGCATTTATAATATTAGTATGGATTTACGAAAAATTTTGTAACTGTCAGTAAGATTTGGAATTATCTGCATTTAATAGAACTGATTTAATTAGATTATTAGGAACTTATTAGACTGTTACAACATCAGGGCTCGGGCCCTAAAAAGCGTGACACTGACCATAAATCTGCCACTGCATACCTCTTCCAGTGATACTTGTAATGCTTTCCGTGGCAACCTGTAATTAAGGCAGCACTATTGGTTGTATATCACTGCCATTGTATTTCTTGCTTTTAAGGTGTATGTTCTTGTTGGTTGTCCAAATAGATAAATAAAACTAATAAGTATTAGGTATTAAGTAGTCATAAGTTACATAATATTGATTTTAGTCCTTAGTTGGTATGAAATCATTATTCTATGTGAATGACAGGTTGAACAATTATATTTGTATATTTTTCAGAACTCGTGTGGAAAGAAGTTGTGGAGTTCAAACCTCACCCGCAGCACATGAACACAGTGGTCGAAGTAAACCCCTCTTAATGTTACGCCAAATAATATTGTAGGCAGGATGCCGGCTTATTATTTTAAGGGTTGATCAGGCCAGTGTAAATGTATAATAAAATTAGCAATTTAGTTCACGTGTTTCAACACTACGAGTAACTTATCATAAGGGCAAGCTTAAGGAATTCTTTTAAAAAAAATTGATGTTACACCTTGATGTAAGACAAATTTGTTATGATCTGTAATTTGAATATATGATGTTCTCTTTAAGCGGGTAATACTTTTACTACAATGTATGGTAATACGACTGTATAGGCAGCACCGTCGGTGGCAATTATATACGAAAACGTTTTCAGTTTGGCCTAGTCATAGTTTCATACATTTAATACGGGTGATGAATTTTTATTAATGTGTAGCCGCCGTTACGAATTGCATTGCAGTAAAAATATTGGCCGTTTAAACCCACCATACGCAAAAAAACGTCCCATGATGGCATCTGATATGATTTTTCTGATTTCTTAGATATATTATAAGGTTGGGTTGTTCTTACAAAGTATATATTTGTAATACATTTCTGTTTATTATGATACATAGTTATTCACTTTTATTCACTAGATAATAAAATAAACACAAAAAAACAAAAGAACCATTATGGTTGAAATAATTATTATGCAACATAATTTGTTTCTAGAACCAACAATTCTTTTGTAAGAGTAAAAATGCACATTTTGACTGTTATTATACATCTGCCTTTAACAAATTTAAAATATGTTCTAGAGTTGTAAGATAAATATGCGTTATGTGTAAACAATAGTAATAAATAAAGGGTAAGTAATTATTACGCTTTCATGCCTTAACAAAACGTTTACATATATGTTATGTACAGAAAAAAGTATTGTTCTCGAGCTACAAAAAATAAAGACGGCTGATACAAATCCTAAAAAGCTGGGTAATAATTTTATCGTTAATTGATATCGTGAGCTCTGAAGATATAATATTCACTTTTGAAAATACCAATACAGGGTTAATGTAACTTACATTTTAGTCCAACAACAATTTTGTAAAATAAGAACAAAGACAAAGCCGCAAGCAAATAGCTGTGTTATTTGTGTCAATAACTTACATTCGAGCTGTTTGAACTTGCATGAACTTTTGAGACATACTTTTGTTGCAACGGCATACCGTTGCATCAAAAGTATGCCCCATGGGCCTTATTTGTTGATTCTGTACTTGGACGGACATGGTGGCGGGTTCGTAGAGACATTTCATCACTTTAATGTATCGCCAATCTACTTGGCTCTTATGACCAGATTTCAATCGAGCCAAAGGCCTATTCATAGTCCACGAATGCTAGACAAAGGCGCTGATTAAACTCTTCGGTCTTTTCTATAATGTGCCGCACTGTGTGATTATGAATTTATGCTATTACAGTGTTAGATAGAAGCCTTGTATGCCTAACTATCATTTAAAGTTGATAAAAAATAGTCCCATTATTATTTATACACTCAAGGCTAACTCGTTCGCTGCTGCCTATAATATATAATAATCAACCTTAGACTGCTAACTAATGTACGTAGATTGTTTTCAGCACTGGAGTATTGTGAACAGTCGATAGTCAGTATAATATGCAACTGTTGTCTTCCTTATGGCAGAGCTATTACGCACGTTGTGTACCCCACGAGCGTGCTATAATCCACACCTATTGTGTTCCGTACAGGAGTGCCGCTAACACGTATATGTGTAACGCACGAGAGTGCTTAAAACACAACTGTTGTGTAGCGTAACGGCAATGCGTGAAACATGCGTGTCGCTGTTTATATACGAACGTGACGTTTGTAAACTAGGATTCTGATTGTATGAATGTTTTTATTTTTATTTTCTTTTATTTTATCCAATACGAAACTAATTTGTCTTTAAAATCTAATATTAAACACAACAGTTGTGTAGCCAGTAGTTGTAGATCGAAAAATATCCGTGTGTTTTATCAGTACTAGATAAAGTTTTTATAAACACTGAGAGTGTGTTTTCCAGCAGTGAAGGAGCTAATTATGTTTAAATTCTGCGCATGTTGCTGCCATAAATATTATAGATACTTAATATAGAATTAAATAAGAACAGAATTCTCACAACGAGTTAAAAAAGCTGTACTGTGATTTAAGTGACTTACCAACTTTTAAATAGTATCGGTGTTATTGATCTACAAGATTAATTTTATTTTTATCAATAGTATACATATAAAATTAAGATTTGAAGTCAATTGTATAATGTCCTTACGAGATTTATTAGAATTATTAAACAGTAATAAAAACACTAACGTAATATAAATGTAATGGGAACTGTGGCCGTAGCGACCACTCTTAGGGTAAATGTGTACTGGAATGCAGGTAACATAATGTCCTAGAGCAAATTGCAGGTCGCTACGTATAATTTACCCTAAACGTGGGTAAATTAGTATTATAATGTATGCAACATACTCAACACATACACCAGTGTTTAATCCATACATACACTCGGTTTTGTACTGTTCACACAACACAACGTAGACTCTGGCTCTACACTGTGCTGTACTGCCGTACGTTGCCTGCATTCTCAATGAACACTAACTTATAGCGCCTTTTAGACCGTAGTTGAAAATATTAACGTCTTATAGACACTGCGTTTAAATTTAATGCTTCTGAAGCAATAACATTTTTTTAACGCAAAGTGAAACATTTAACATGTATGCGAAATTTTATTATTGCGTTATAAAATTCTTTAAGATACATATTTTTGTAAAATACTATTGTGGCCAATAAGCTCACTATGGTAGGGGTATAACTAGCCTATCACTTAGATTCATATTTTAGTAGTCTGATTTGTAGACATTTTGTTATTTAAACATGTCGCTTTTAAGGTACTTCAAAACTAAAATTACGTAATTTTTTTGTGATTTGTACTTACAGCAATTATACATTGCATGCATGCCTAGTTTTGATGTGGTCTAAAATCCCTTCAAGCAAAGGATCTACTATATCTATAAGTATTCAAGAAACGTAGCAAGAGTTAGCCGTCCATCGTAGTGACAATAACTACTTACTTCTGTTATTTTAAAATTTTGTTACAATAAAATGAAACGTCAATATACTTCTTTACATGAACTATGAAGTATGATTTTTTTTTGGGCAGTAGCTAGTTGATGCAACAGGTGACATTACGAGATAGAAATTAAAGTAACACAGTTAGGTATGTAAAAGTAAATTACATAAAAATAAATCACCCAATGTTTGTGAAACATGATTTTAGGGCAGCATAAAATGTATATCATTAAATTTTGTAATGTTATCCAAATATTATTATTTTGCCATATTCAATTGATTTGGTTATGAATTGTGGGTAATTTACAAAAATATTGCCTTCGCTTAAGCTTACGCTTATAATCTGGTACATATTGTCCAATCCGTTGCCATACTGAAGCTAAATTCGATAAATTGGTGTACTAAGCAATTGCCAGATAAAACTAAAGATAGGCAACCAGACTTGCCGTTTTACTTAAATTGTAAATGGTTTGACTATTTTTTTAAATATCGAATTTGGTTTGTGTATAAAAATAATTATAGGTTAAAAGATTTTAATAATACGTCTTTTGGCCGCATAGTCGTTAATGGTTTTATGATTTTACCTTGTATTTTAATACGTCATGAATTGTATTGTAATACGTAGAATATATAGAGTATATAATATATTCAGAATCTTGTTTTATTTTATCGCTGTAGAGTGAAGACAAAAACAATTAAGTAAGCATTTCTTTCTTTCCTTGAGCGCCATCTCCTGGCTGATTTACATTAAAGCCTTTTGTATTATTTACTTCTTAACTAGTCTTAAAAATTTAAAATTACCAATTAATATCTCCATCACTAAAGGTTCACCGTCAGCTTGGATAATTTTCCCTTTCCTACCATGTTTTGAAATCAGCCCCCGTCGCACATATATTGCAAGTTTGTATACATCTACCTCTAGTCTAGGAAGATATAAAATGATATAAATATATATAATGATATAAATATGCGCTTCATTAAGAAGCGCATATTTATATAATTTACAGTTGAGGCTATGTAGTGCATAAAGTGCAATTTTTAGCTTTCCGGAACATCTTCGTGGCCGCTCAATCCTCCACGTTACGTTCGCGCGGCCAACTTAAAACCCCTAAAACTTCTTTAATAATAATTTTACAAGTTTTTGGTTGTTCCTTTAGATTTTAACAAAGTCTTGGCAAGTTTTTTCTGTTTGGATAATGTGGAATGATGGCGGAGTTGCGGCCGGTAGTAGTCCGTACAAACAATTCTTCGGAGCACTCACCGTGGTACACTATAGAGAATGTAGAGTGAAGCTACATCTCTACGTAACGCCAAGGGGTCGAGCCGATAGCAGATCCTTTGGCTATCGACGATTCGAGTCCTCTCCGTAGGATGCGACTTAGAGAGAGTATTCCATAGAGATGAGAACAGTATTCCATATACGGCCGGACTTGGGCCTTATACAGTTACAGGCGGTGGGCCGGAGTACACATTAGATATTACACTTACATTGGTGAGAAGCCCCCCCCCCCCTTCCTAGGATGACGTCACCTACTTGAGAATTTTAAATTCAAGCTGTAATTCTGTAATTAGTTTTATTACTATTGATATTATTTTTTAAATAAAATTAACATTACTTTTTAAATAAAACAACAATAATTTGTTGTAAATTGATGATATATATTTTTTGAGTTCTTACTGTTAGTAATTTAAATTTTAATGCGTTTTAATGCTTATATACAGGGTTACAAGAAAAGTCGTGCTAGATCCGTTAAGGGCGTGGAGTACCCATCATTTCTGACATATTTCACTATGAAACACCCTACCCTAAACTTAACCCTTTTCGAGATAAACGTCTTTTAATTTTTTTATTGAAATTTGCTGATTTTTAGGCTACTACATTTATTTTTGTTTATTTTGTGTATCTTATTATTATTATTTTTGCATTTTTACATGTGTAATAAGATGCTTTAGGACGTCAGTCATTAAAATAGTTCATAAGTTAATTGAATAGATCGTAGTAGACAAGTGAAAGTAAAGAAATAAAAAAATATATTAGAAAATTATTTTTCTCTAACGGATATCTAAAAACAATATTATGGTAATTGTTCGGCAGATGTTTTTTAAAATATCTTCGTTTCATCAGCTATCTAACGAGGTATAATAATTTAGGGTTTGTATTACATTTCGTGGAAAAAAAGTAGTTGGGACGCTCCAGGTAACAGTTCTAACCGTCCCGCGCCTATTGTCCTTCAAGTTAAGACGCACCAAGCGAGCGAGACAAGTGACGATTTATGTAGGTGCGAATGAAAGAAAAAAATGTATAGAGACCGGTTAGGGCTGGGAATACAACAGGGGGCATTGTTTGGTTGTCACTAGTTGTCAGTGTGCTTTTGTGCTTCGTACATAGTAGATGTGATATCGTTTTGCTAAAGCTAAAGCATCTTATTACACATGTAAAAATGCAAAAATAATAATAATAAGATACACAAAATAAACAAAAATAAATGTAGTAGCCTAAAAATCAGCAAATTTCAATAAAAAAATTAAAAGACGATTATCTCGAAAAGGGTTAAGTTTAGGGTAGGGTGTTTCATAGTGAAATATGTCAGAAATGATGGGTACTCCACGCCCTTAACGGATCTAGCACCACTTTTCTTGTAACCCTGTATATTAGGTTGAGAAATGTGACGTCAGACACCACCCACTTGTCACACATCGTCCATCCCCTCCTCCCCTCATTAGCAATCCCACCATAGGGATAAATCCCTCGTTATTTAATTAGTTAATAGCCTATTTTAAATAATATTACTTATTTCGTGTTTTATTTTAAACATAATAGTCAACAATTGCATATTCAAAATAAAAGATTTCATTCATACGTAGATCATTTTTATTTTCTGGCCTTACCAGATCAATACATTACATTTGTAAAAACCCTTAGGTACATGGCTACTAGTTCACAGCTTGAATACTAACTTACTACAATGGCGTACTGTTAACTGGAAACATATATTTTAAGCAATCGAACATGGTTCTCTGGTGTAGGTTATCCATACTTTTTCCCTATATACACTGCATTAAATAGATCCTGTGATGCATAATATACCTTATGTATCATAGCTTCGATTCATTCATAATGTACACAAATACCCGTACTTATTGCAACATAACAGTAGAAAATGCTATTATCAAATTTAATGTACATAGTTAAGATATAAAAAAATAAATTAACTTTGCCTTCAACTATGTCTAATGATTTCAAATTAGTCACATTATTTTACTTAAAACATTTGCGTAACAGATATAAAGCCGTTTATATTGTGTTAGAATTGTGCTCTTTACAATTCTTTAACTAGGCAACATTTCTTTTCAAGTTTATTGAGCATAACTGTAGTTTGTTAAAGCATTTTTGCAACCAGGTTTAATAAATTAATTAAAATAAGTAATGTATGCAGGACTTTTGTTTGGTATAAGCGTATATTTCCTTTATTTTACATTTCGGTGCAATTATTCTACTTGGCTGTGTGTATTTACTTGCAATCTGCACACATTAAATTGATATATTTTACATTTTGCTAAGCTATTAATTATATTTATAGGTGGTTGGAATTTCCGAGCTACATACTTAGACAATTTAAGTTTATTATTAAGTGTTCGTCATTAGACTCTATGTGTTTAATGACACTGATGACAAGAAATATTCGTTCCTTTTAGATATACCTACCTACATACTCGAAGTATACATTACACAGATATTGAGAGGCAGAAAAATTGGTTTTTGAAGATAATGAGACATTTATATGTGTTACATTAACATAAGAACCTGTTTCAGATTTTTTTAATGGAAACATCTTTAAAGTAAATTGATTTTACATTATATTTATATTCAATTATTATAACTATCTTCAGAGAAAGTAATTTAAGCCTGATATAATTTGGACGTTCCAGAATCTTATCAGGCATATTGTGTAACTTGGTATTATTAGGAACGTCGAGAGTGATGGTAGTACACCACCTTCATGGATATTTAAACTTAGTTTTACTAAACATCCTTTTCGTAATGACAATTTGTATGTGATAACAATTAAAATGTTTATGCACACCGCATCGTAACACCCTGTTTAGTAATTGTACTAATATTTTTGTGGGTTGATTATTTTTAAACGAGAATTTAAGTAGTGACCTGCATATTTGGCTATTCTTCCCCATAGATTAAAAATAAATAGTCATAAAAATTGTTTCGTAAACAATTTACAGCTGAACTCTAACACTACTGTATTTTATATTATTCATATTAATTTATCACAATAATAATGTTTACAAACCTATCAAGTCAAAGCCGGTGGAGTTTTCTTTTGTAAGGTAAGATTCAATGGTAAGTTATCTTCAGAATCTGATGAGCTATGGGCTTGCTTGGTTTCTAGTGATGTGAGTATGTTTGGGCGAGGGCTGTTAGACGATTCTTCTGCTCTGTCGGACCGAGCATCACTAACGCCTGGAACCGATTCAGAATCGGACATAAAGTTATCAGTAGTTACACTAACACTCGGGATATTACTATAATATGCACTTGAATTAGATTCTTCAGTATTTCTATGACTACTATGTATAACATTAACAACACTCTTCAGTCTTCTGTTCTCGCGGCTCTGACGCCTTCGCTGCTTCCGTTCCTTACTGGATTTGCGTTTTTGGTTAGTCATCATACTACTAGTGCTGGGTTGATCTAATGCACTCGTGCTTGGCTCAGGTGATATTCGTTCGGGAACTAAGGGCCTTTCAGGAGTCCGCAGTGGCGATCGTTCCCGAGATGTAGCCCGGTCCGATAGTGCGCCAACAGAGCGACTCCTTGCGTCAGGTACCGATTGGTCGGGAGGCAAAGTTGAGTTTTTATTCGAGGATTTTACTCCTTTTCCAGAGAGCGACTTCCGTCCGTTTCGTTTATCCGTTTCCAAATTCGCTTCATTTTTACTCTCCTTGTGATGCGTCTGCGCCGGTCGTTTATCATTTCTTCTCCTGTCCTTAGCGGCAGTGCGTGATCTTTTTTTGTTTTTATTTTTAGGTCTGGGCTCGTCATCGGTGGAGGAGAACTCCGACTCGGTGGTGCTCTTTAAGTACAAGGGCATGCTACGGCGTTCGGGGTCCTTCTCGGGCGTGCTGCGTGACATATCACTTGTGGTGGAGTCGTCGCTGCGACGGCGTCGGCGCCGGCGCGGCGGACTCAAAACGAACGAGCTGTCGCTCTCCGAGTCTCGGACCCTATGTCTTTTTAATGTCACTTTCACAGGGTTCGTAGGCGGGTCAGTATTCTCTTGCACGATAACGTCACTGTCTGAACCGAGGAGATCCACTATCTCAGGAGTTCTATCCTGCGGCGGCTTAATGTAACCTACGACCATGACCTCCGACGAGTCGTCGTCTGTGTCAGACTGCGATATGGTTTCTATTGGAATGATGCTATTGCTTGTGGTAGGTTGTGAAATAAAACTTTGGGGGTAAACAGGCGCAGGAACCCTCGAGGGTCCCGGGGGCGGGTCGGCGGGTCCCGAACTCGATATCATAACGATATCAGAGTCAACAGTCGCCTCGGAGTCGGAGCTTGAAATAACCTCGTTGACCATGGTCGATATTCTAGTGTCAGTGGTGTATTGCACGTTGCGGTCGTATCCCGCCATATCATAAGGAGTGGAAGCGAAGCAATACAGTTCATGCAAAAAGTGCTCAGTTCTGTCTCCAAAATACCGCTGCATAGCTTCTCTAAATTCTACCGAACTGATGTGATATTGGGGTAATAGTTCCAATATACGAGCTATTACATAGGATATGTGACCTACATTCTCATTCAACAAATAATGAAGTTCCCTATTTAGCCATGGAACGAGCCGATGCATCTGTGTGTTATTGTAACTGTAAAGAGAAAATTTCAAAATTAAAACGTATTCACAAACAATCGATCACGTCGATAACTCGTGTTCTCGTTACTGATATGGATGTGATTTCTATGTTCAGCATAGTCCTGTGGCTTTAGGTAGGTACGGTGCATTTAATTGACAGAACAAGATACCTATAGAAGTCGGGCGAGCAGTCTCTGAATCGTCCGGTGAAGTCAGGTAGGGGGCGCGCCCACAGGTTGTGTCGATACACGGTGCGGCGGAAGGAGGCGGGCGAGCGGCGGCGTCGCGCCGGTGGGGCGCGTACGGCGGGTGGGAACACGTCCGCCATGAACGGGTAGTGGCGCAACAGCTGCTGAATCGCAATCGTCTCCCTCCGCGGCAACGTTAGCGTTGTCCTGTTGTATAAAATATAACGAAATATATAAAAAAATGTCATAAAATAAACATAGGTACTATGGAAAGAACTCATTTTTTTTTTGTTAAATAGAGACCATTCCTTCAGTTGCCGTTTTACAGTTTGTACAGTACTTTGTGAGTACCGACCAGAATGGTTGTTATTGTTGCGTAAACCTAATGATAAGAAATATGAACTAAAGCTGGGCATACATGAATCTTGCTCATGCAGTTTCGACTAGATTCCTCTGAAATTCTTGGAATTCGAGCATACACCGTAGAGCCTGAGTTTCTGAAGAATTCTTCAGAAACTAAGGCTCTACGGTGTATTTTAAACGAGTCCACGTAATGAAACTACGCGATCGAATTCAATGTAAACGCCATTTCGCTAATAACTTCAATTTGTTTTAACTCTATGACGTCAGACAAACTAAACATTCAAAGGATTTGAATTGTGAATGTGTGAGAAGAATTGTGATGCCTGAAAAACTATATTTCTCTATGTTTTTATCAACAGACAGTTAAAAACAACAACAATAATAATTAACACAGGATATTTTTTTACAAAGGTAAGTGAACAACTTCCAAAAACTTCAGAGGATTAGAATATTAAAATCTTTCTGACGAGAACAATCAATACTTTATTGATCCTCGAAATATGGTTCAGCTGATATAAACTACAAAAAACATGCTACATCATCGTCATCATCATCATCATTATGATGAAAAGCCTATAACAGTCCACTGCTGGACATAGGCATCATTACAATATAAACATGCAAACGTGGAAACCAAACACTATCTCGTTTGTAATTCGAGCAGCGCCATCTAGAGATAGTTTGAGAACTAACGCAAATTCATCATTAAAATTTATTTCCAGCTCGAACATTAAACCCGCCATGGAGCTACTCCATTTATAAACAATATAGCGATGGAACGCCAAAAACGAGAACAAATTCAATAACAATGAGCATAACCTTAAATAACAGTTGTACACGTTACAAACTATATTAACTAAAGAGACTAACATCAGACACATATTCTGCTACTTTCAAGATGCATAGCTTAGACACAGATTGTTTCACAGTAACGTCCTTGCAAAGTAAACTTACGACGCGTGTAAACTTGTTAGTCTCAATATGTTTCTGGGTAATAATGCCGTATAACCTTTGAGGCGGTGGCAGCCTATCTTCCTTGATGAGAACCACGTCACTAACATTGGGCTCCTGAGTACAACTCTTCCACATGTGCCGTTTATGTGTTTTTTAATTCATGTATTTAACTTTGTTAAATTCAAATTGTTAGACCTAAGATTAGATTGTACATTTTGAAAATATTATGTATATACTTATTATTGCACCTGTATCGAAATCGATGAGTAGCAGCAGTGACTCTGTCAATATCAATCCTACTGCTGGATTCCTCAGTCTGGCGCTGCACCACCAAATACTCCTCATATTGGTGATTGGAGCGTACATTGTGAATTATTGATCGGAAGGCTTGTTTACAAAGTGGGCACTCTGCTTTAACCTGAAATTTTACCAAAGTTGTGTTCTTCATGCAATGTAACAAAGATAGAAATAAATTTATTCTATTTTAAGGTCATTTTATAGTATATGCACAGAAATTTCTATTAATTATCTGCTGTGGGAGAGCCATGCTTCGGCATATTTGGGACAGTCGACTGGAGTGATACCACAGTCTCACAGAAAACCAGTCTTAAGTAAGATTTTTGTTGCTTTTCAACGAGTGATTTTAAGAAAATGTATAGTACCATAATAACATAGCTAATAACACATAAGGATTTAAAACTATTTGTCAACTCTTATAGTTGATTTTGTAAATTGGTCAAAATAAAATAAGTAAAAAAGTACCTTTACAGAAATTTGTATAACTAAAAAAATCTATGATATCCATAACTTAACATAATCCATAACAGTAAAAATATGCAAAATCTCGCCGTGTCCATTACTCAGCTCATATTACATAATTCATTAAAGTGGTGTGAATTTTAACAATTCATCCAGTTAACCAACAAAAAGATTAAATAATTACGTTAAATATGGAGATGACACATCACAGGGTGTGAAGAATCTCGAACTGACTCTAGACTTTCAAATCTGATTAAAGCTCGAAGGGCTGATTGCAGATATAAAAAAAATGCAGCCTTATTTCAAAAGCTTTTTAATTGGTTAAAGATTAAATCAATGATAAATTAATGAATCTTTATTATCCATCGGTTTTTGGAGTCTTTTCTTGTAGGTTGCGTTACAAACCTGCATAGCTTTCGTTTTAAGCCCATCTGGTGACGGCAGACTAGTCTATTTTAGGCCTTGAAATAGGGATATAAATGTAACTATGTGACTCTTTTGACCTTTCATTGAGGTCATCAGGGTCATTTTATTTCTGTCGTTCTAGAATGTACTGTAACAAGGCCTAGTCAATAAAAATTGCTTGAGTTTAGGTCAGAAAAGTCTAATAGTATTTTTCTCTTAAATTTTATGCATATACAATTTTTATACAATTAAATTTTATACTTCTACATAAAGTCTACAACATAAAAGATTTAGCTTTTATACGTATGCCATTATAACCTAGATAGTGAACAATAAATACCTTATTTCCAATGCATACTTAGAATCTTAGCAAAACATAAAGTTACATTTTCACTAACTATCAAGAAATCTTGCGGTCAAACCTTGTTTTCCCCATGGTCAGTTCTATGTAGCTTGCTCACATGATTTTAAATCACAAATTCTGAATATGCCTAACGAAGAAGCATAAAAATATGTATATGTAATACTCATTTTAAATACATATTTGTGTAAACTGTGTATTTTATCACATACATATATATTGTATATATGAAGACAAAGTCACAAGTGGTCATTAGTCACACATCACTAGTATTTTTCAATACTTTTACATCCAAGCAAATGATTTTTTGAATAATTAGATCACATTAATTAATTATTAGAATATAACACTGTTACAGGGTCAGTGTCCTCACCAAAGTATCTTCTATCAATAATTTCTATAAGGCTTTTGCTCTTAAAAATCACAAAGAGTCATGCACTCACTTTACTCCAAGTAAGAAGACATGAAAAGCAAAACTGATGTAGACACGAATCTGTAAATGACTTGTTTCTGCAGGTGCCAAGGCATATTGCACAATTTGGTGGTGGTGAGCCAGCACCACTCTCACGTTGTGGGCTGCTGTCATCGCTTTTGACACTGCTGGGATTTGCACCTGAACTGTCATCTTGAGCTGTTGTAGACAGTGTATCCATGGCCCAATTATCTGAAGATTATATATTATATGCTTTATTACACTACTTAATTTTCTAGTTTTATGAATGGATTTTAATAAACAAAACTATTATAAAAGGCTTTCCATTAAGTCTTATAAGAAGTTTAGTAGATAGGTACTGGGTATAAGTATGGTTGTTTATTTATATGCTATTTAACAATACAACTTTAAACAGTAAACATTATCTTACATGTATCATTATATTTTATGTCATTATCACTACTGAAATACAGTATAGAAAACAATGTTGACCAATGAAAATTGGTATCAAAATTGATTATATATTGACAGATAGTGGTCCTTCATCTTAACATTTAATGTTATATATAAATACTAAAATATCAATACACCAAAATAAGAGGTACTATTTGCCTTTAAAATGGATGCTCAGATGATTATACTCACATAGTGACAATACGTGTGATCTTGACAGATTTCTGGTGAATTGTGACGTGACGAGGGACGACTGGGAATAGTTAGCCGAATTCAATCACCGACGTTTGATTCAAAATCATTAATAAAATTAGTAATATAGAAAACTAGGTTTCACTACAAGAACACGTCCAAATGTACATGATGATCACAATAATGTTGAGAGCTATTCTTTATCAAAAAGAATATAAAGGCAAATTAATTTTGCGTTTTAATATAGTAAACACGTTCACACACATGGAAACTAGCAAGAACATAATTTTTATCCCATACAAACACAAATCATTAGTATATTTATATATGTATATATAAGTACCGCAGTAGGTTTCATTCGACCATAGAGTACATTAATACTTTGGCAACATAGGGTAACCGACAGAAACAATATTAAAGCTTATTGGTACGACAAAACAAAGCAACTTATAGAGTTTTATTTTTTTTTAATCTTGTTTTGAGGACTTAAAACGCTTAAAAACCGAAATATTGGACTACGAGACCCAACTAACCACACATCCCAACCCAACCCGCACATACACGCAAAGACACGAATAAACCCACAGGCACGCATACACACACTCGCACGGGCGCGCGCGCCAATGTGTGTGTATGCGCGTGTACAATGCGTGGATTTTAAAGCATACGCAAACATAGAAATACTATAAAAACACACAAATCAGTGTCACTTTTAACCAAATGGTATTAATAATTTTAAGAAATATTGCCCCTGATTATTTTTTTTTCACTTTGAATGTAGAATAAGGTAAATACTCAATTAATATAAAACTATGATAAGACAAAATATCAATAAAATTATATAAAATCGATCTAAGTGGTGAGCAACGGGAGAGGCCTATGTCCAGTAGTGGACTGCGATAGGCTGATGATGATGATAATAAGACAATACTAACCAAAAGCTCGAATGCAAGGACTTTCAATTATTATTTTTAATTATATTTTGATGTTCTGTACTATAAAAACAAAATACCTACTGATTTTAAAATTAAATTTATTTCTAAACATCGATATTGCGGTGAAGGTAATGTCCCATAAACAATTTAGGTATGGTTTCGAAGTTATAAAAATATAAATGCACTTGTAAATAGTCTTGTCGTACATATAAAAACACACAAATACATTTATCCATGGTAAAAAAAAAAACAAAAATCGCAAAGAGCGAGATTTTAGCGAGGAGTTCGGCGCTATCAACTGGTCCGTTTGCAATATTTATTGAAAAACATATATATCATTTACTGTACTGAAAAGGTGGAAGTGAATTGTTTACATGTTGTTATTACGAGAATTATACAGCTCATATACCTAGGATGCATCCTGTTTCAAATAACAGATAACACTTGAACAATATAGGATTTTGATATCATCATCATCAACACTTCTACAGAAGCCTTGCCTTCTAGAAATAATGTGTGGAACTGTAGCCTCGAGGATCTGACGTTCACCATGGAATCATTCGAGTCTATCGATTTGGGAAGGACGAAAGCTGTGGGGCTCTGCAGCTCTGAGTCTATAAGAAAAAAATAGTTCTTTTTGGATTAGAAAACTGGGGCTTTACTCCATTATGGAGCTATCTCAATGACAGCTTAAATACCGTAAACGATCGAGGACCAAAAGCAGGGGCAGTACGTGTGGATTGACTCTCCGCTTTTCTTAAAAGCACAAAATTAACTGAGTCTGTTAGTATAACGGATTACCTAAAATATGTCTCAATTTGTAATAGGTACTAGCAGATAACGATGCGATGTGCGTTTTGTCGAAAATAAAGTGTTCAAAAATTACCTACTATATATTTCTTTGATTTGAAACTGGCTTACAACACCATATCTTAGCTAGCTAAAGACTTGTCAAAATTGACAATTCAAATGAAATGTCATTTGCAAAATCTTTGACTCTGACTCGAGAACTAAATCTGATTATCTAATCGTATACAAAATCTTACATTTAATTAAAGAAAGACAATTGTTTACAGAAATGGGTGTACTGAAAAAGGTTTGTATTTTATCTTTTTGAATACATAGATTCGGACATCTATGAATCACTTCGTTGTTAATTTATTATAAATGTTTTTATATTTATTGCATGGATTTCAGACCACTGGTCTTTATGGGTTAGCAGTAGCTCCAAATGCCCATCACACTCTTGGTGCATTGTATGGTAAAATACTGAGGACCTTGAAAAAAATGCCTGAAGATTCCACATACCGTAAATATACTGAACAAATTGTTAAAGAACGTGCGGCTGTGCTAACTAAGGTAACATACCTTATAAATTTATAAGACTGAAAAACAACTTTACATTAAAAATTCATCAACATCAACAGCTTACAGTCCACTGCTGGACACAGGCCTCTCCCTAGAAAGGAGGTTTTGGCCTACTATACCACGCTGGCCAGACGGGTTGGTATAGGGTTTGTTTCAAGTTTTCCTTCTCTTTGCAAGTGCTGTTGTCCGTTGTAGTTTGGTCCCTTAGTCGGGATGAATAGGGGTGGTGACATTACATATTCTTATTCCGTCACCACACGGACAACATTAAAAATTGTTTGATATAAACAAAAACTCATATTACAGACAAAAGATGTGTTTGAAATTGAAGCTAAAATCAACTGTGGTCAAGCTGAGGAATTGATTGTCCAGGCTGAAAATGAGCTAAACCTCGCAAGGAAGATGCTAAACTGGAAGCCATGGGAGCCATTGGTGTCCAAACCTCCAGCCGGCCAATGGGACTGGCCACCTACAAAAGCTTGAAAATACTGTAGATCATCTCTTTTATTTAGTTTATAATAAATTATGAGTGTAATAATTTGCTGATTGAATTTATTTTATGACCACTAATTCTATTCAATTTAAAAGATGGGCAGAAGCAAATTAAACACTAATTCCTAACTATAATGTGGTCTCATGGAGCTAACCTGGCACATTGGGAATTGGTACAAATTGAAAGTTCATTAAAACAGAAGTAGGTAAAAGAGCCAGGAGAACAATAATTGAACAACTGAAGGTTGTAAATGCCACATTTTTTTACTATATTAGTGGCAAATAAGCATAATAATGGTGTTTATTGTCACTTGCAACTCCACAGGACTTAATTTTACATTATAGACTTTAAACACATAACATTCTCTTGAAGACACATACTGGAAATGATTTAGGCTTCTACGCTATTACCACACTATGGTGTGCATATGGATTGAGAGCCCATTTTTTAAATCTTTATGAATAAAAGTAAGTCTTAGGGAAATTAGTAAGTAATGGTAAAAACCTATATATTGGGCCATGAACTTCTGCGAAATGCAGATGCATGCATAGTGTGTTAATCATTAAATTTAGATTTTCTTAAGTCTTGTTTCACAAGGATTTAAAAAGTGGGCCCTTGATCCAGATGCGTACTATTTTATGATGAGTGAAACACTAATTATATAAACTAGCTATTGCCAGTGGTTTGGCTCACCTTAATGTAGATTTTGTCAATTTTTTCGGGCCTCTATGCTATTGTAGACTATAGTTTATCTCAACCCATATTTTATCAAACTCTATTTAACTTCTGTTTGTTCTGGCACAAGTAATAATCATTTAAACTATCACATTTATAATAGCAGTAAGATTTTATAAAGATTAAATATAATTTAGGGTAGATAAATACTTACACTACATACTCATGAATAATAAAGACATTATTCTTTTATATTTTATTTTAACTAACATAACATTTCAGTTCAATGTCAAAATGTAATGGAACAGTGTTATTTGGCACATTCACCATTTGTAAGTTATTAAATGCTTGCAACATTTTTAGTATCAACCCTGCACTTTATTAAACAAAGCTATAACCAACTGTTATTCTTACTTAATTTAGCTGGGTAGTTAAAAATCTTACGTAAACATTGTAAGCATTTTTCATAAAAATGAATTATAATGTGGATACACATAAAACTATTATTAAAAAATAATTCATTTACTACACATTTCATGGATATTCAGTATGCTTATAAGCTTGAAGATCCCTGTATAGATTTATATTACCCAAAAAGTTTTAAGAAATCTTATCCAAAGTTTGTAAAGTTTTTATGAATTTTCATATTTTTAATTTTGTAAGATGCATTTCATATTAGGCCCTAGATATAAATTCATTTGATTTGGAAGGATTTACACAGAGCTTAATTGGTTCATAGTCAGTTTTAATGAATGTTGAATCTATATAATTATATAGGTAAATGTAACATGTAAGGTAATGAATTAATTTATTTGAGTAGAAGATAATTTACTAATTTTAACATACAGAAAAAAGCTCAAATTCTTCCAATTGTTCTCTTTTTTAACAAAAAAAGTGCTTTTAAGATCAAAATCCCTATTCATTCTTAAAACTCAATGAAAAAACATTGTTTACATAACAATTATGACTACACCAGGTAATAAGCATTATAACCAATATATTTCATATATTATTAAATATAATATTCCTAACAATTATAATTAAGATAAGTAACAATATCAAAACAATTATGCTTAATTAAAATACACCTTCAACTACTAATGTTGCTCTGAAACATTTTGATACATCTTTAGGTTGCCCTTTGTACATTTGTATGTATGATACAACTCTTGTAAAAATAGTGTACAAATAGAGAGCATTATATCTATCTATCTAGATTATAATTATCTTGAAATTGTTACTTGTCCAGTAGGTTGCATTATCAAATGTTTATTAAATTTCATAGAGTGGTAGAACTGATAATGTAAATGCAAAATTCATGTGTATAAAAATATGATATTGGTAACTCATTCTTATAAATATTATTTTTGAAATGCCTCGTAATAACTCCCTGCACATTTTAAGAAAAATACAAAAGTAGCAAAACCAAAAAGTAATGCAAATATATCTATTAACTAAATCTTACATAAAATAAATAACATTATAATAATCACTTATTATATAATACTAAGTCAGTGCTCTTACTTACCATATTTAACTCAAAATCCTAAACAGCTCACAACAACCACTTTACTGATAAACTTTATTTATAAAATTACTGCATACTTATGTTACTATAAAAGTCATATCACATTGAAATGTGCTAGATTTCAAAAGAAACCTATAATTAAAGAGGTGCTGACGACTGTTTTAAAGTGATATTTGTATGGAGTTATAAAAAACTAATTTATGTCTGTGATGACAACACTGATGTGACATTCATGTCCATAGTTTAGTTGATACCATTTATCAAACAGCTAAGCTATAGAAACACCTAAGTATATAAACTGTAGTCTGCAGTTACAAGTAACCAAAACTGCAGAGGAAGAAAGATTTAAGTATTAGCTATAAGCCAGAGAGCTCAACATTAGGCATCCTAGTTAGACAACATACTTACGCAAATAAACAAGGAGTTTCTGAGTGAAAGCAGTGCAGGCCTGTTCATTATGCATTTACTTGGAATAGATTTTTTGAATGACTTGGGTCATAATCAACATCAATGATAATGGACATTAAGATTTGAGACTTATTAAATGTTTGCATGAAATATATGTACACATTTGAACATATAACATATATTTCATGTAAACATTTGAACTACTGACTTTTGAGTTTGTTTTATAAACTGAAATCTTTAATACATTTTTCAGTTTTATACTACTGTACTCGATGACAATTCAACAGTTCATTGTAACTTTTAAACTTACTATTAAATTTGGTGTTTCAAAACATTTTTACATAATTCTTATGATTTTGAATTTTTGTTTAGTCAAATAATGAAATACTAAATGAGCCAAAATATAAAAATTATCACTTCAAGTGGATAACTTTATCTGTTATAACTACAATAAATAGATAAAACTTTCAAATCTCTTAAAACAAAATAATGTTTACGAGTAAGATGGTCAGTAACATGAAATTATGTCGAAGTTACACCTTTCCTAGCCACTAATAAGTTTAGAATAGGGTGTTTTTTTATATAACTGACTGCTTTTTTATGAGTCACCATTGTGAAGTCATAGCCATTACACTGTAATATTTTGTCATGCATTCTCAACCCAGACTTAGCAGCAGGACTTCCTTCATGAACTTCAGTTACATATATACCCTGAAAAGATAAAAATAAATATTGCATACAATGTGCAGGTACTATTAACATGATCATAGAATGTTTTTTAACTCACATTGTCAGTATATCCTTGAGGGCTTTTGCGATAATCTTGGTCGATTCCACCGCCAATTTTAAAACCACATTTCATTACTTCTCTGCCTTCGGAGTCTACACCAGCCTCTTTTTGGAGAGTTATTGGTATCTGTGAGATTTGGTATATGGATTATTATCATATCAAAACAATAACATGATCACAAATGGGAGTGGTCTTAGAACTTACGCTGAGACACTCCATAGCTGTTCCAGCTTGGTGTTGGAATGCCATTTTCGCCATGGTGACTGATTTTGTTTAACTCCTTCTGTTAATAAACTTCTTTTATAGATGGGAATTGGGAACCGAGTACAACGATATCTTTGATCTTGACGGGGATAACAGAGTATATTGAGTAAATAGGTATTATTTTGTGTCTTTGTGTGTCGCGGCCACAGATAACTATTTACTAGTCAGAGAAGCGGTAAGTTAAACTATTGCTATCGCTGTCAAAGCTTCTAATAGATTACAATGAGGGAAAGAGAAACTAGAATATTTCTGGAACCGTAGAATTACAACTACATTTCCAGAATATATATTGCCAGCACATAAAATGTCAGGAGGATAATAAATAATAGTAGATTTTTCACTTACAGAATGCAAATCCAAAATTATCTATTGTTCCTACATAATAGTAAACAAATTATAGTTATAGAAAAACACGGCTTTGTAGCCTGCCAAACTAAAAAGTTGTACATAATTTTCTATAACTTAAAAAGAAGAATAATTTTATAGTAGTGCTTTTTAAGGTACTTTATAAAAAAATAACTACTTGTACCAATATCTGTCAGTAATAATTTTTTATATGTTAATTAATTTAAATATCAATCGCCTTAGTATTTTTTTTTGTAATAGGAAAAAAATACCTTCGGGACACATGACATGACTATTTTATGTGTCTTGAAGGTAATTTTTAATCAAATACTTATGTAGATAAATCCGAATTCAAAATAATAAACATAATATTTATTTTACCTATATTTTCCTAATACAAAAAAAATACTAAGGCGATTGATAAACAGAACAGCAGACAGAGTTGAAAACAATTCCACATAGGAATTGTTTTTCAACTCTGTCTGCTGTTCTGTTTTTCGGAGACAAGTTGGGGCACCTAAGTAACAAAATCTTACATGCTCAAGTATTTTCATGGGACTTTTTTTAGATTTTAGAAAACCTCTAGACATCTATAATCTCATCTTTCAAATTTAATAGGTTAATTTAATAAATCCCTTTTAGTTAGCACCATGGGCTCCCCTTGTAATAATACTATTAACAAAGACTTGAGACAGCAGCAGCAACCTTTTTTCCCTTTTCTGAAACTTACTGTCACTACTAAGACATTGACAATAGTGACAGAGGTGACAGTACTGATACTATAAGTTTGCATTTGTTAAAACTCCAAGGGGTTATTTTACATGTAAATAAATATATATACACTTTTTAAGGTAAATATTTATTAGATTATTTTGCTTTTATAAGAATCTTTTACTCTATTAGTATTCTAAAACTATTCTGTGATTAAATTTTGATAAATTAAATTATTTTTCAAATTGGCTTTGTACCAACTACGTAGTAGCTGTTACTAGCTGTACCCAGCCAGGCTTCGCTGTGGCACAGTGTGATTGCAGAAAGTTAAATAAAAACCATCTTTAAAGCGTGTTGTATATCGTGTCAAAATTTGAGCTTAACCGGTGTAGAACTTAGTTGTTGAAGCGAACATCACCCACTAACAGTTTTAAGTACATAGATTTATTATTATTTATATATTAAATTCCTTTCAAAGCAGAGGCCTATGTCCAGCAGTGGACTATGAAAGGCTGTTTATGAAGTAAATGTTTGTCATTAAAAGTATTATTTATACATTATTATTTTAATATGTCAAAAAAATTTCAGATGGCGAACGGCGAATACAGATATCTATGGCGTACCGTATTTTGGAATTTTGTCAATTCCTTACGACCTCGTCAAATTAGAGGAAATAAAATGGGTAAAGAAATAAATTATATTTAGCCATATATGTTATATTTTATATAAACATATTTTGTTAATAACCATTAACCATGCCATTTAACCATGGGAGAGCCAAACTTGGGCATGAACTATGAACCGCCTTGTCTGGAGTAATAACACAGCCTCACAGAAAACTGGTGTCAAGCAATGCTTTTGTAGCAATGGAAGCTCAATGCATCTTCGCCCAGTTCTGAGGAGTGTCTCAACAGGTGGTGGTGTCAATGGATGGCGGCAGTCACTTACCATCATGTGACTTTCTGCTTGTTTGCTACCTGTACTTTAAACAATATATATATATATATAAGTATATAATATCTAATTAGTACACACCTGCAGTATAGCTTAGTGTCTACTCCACCAACTCAGCTTAGGAACAGACATTTATTCATCTCAGCAAAAAGCATACATAAAATATTTAAATTTGTATAAAATACAGCAAGCTGTTTTGTCAGTTGGGTCTGATTTGTGTCTGTTCATTGAGTTCTTCACTGATTTTCTAATGCAAATGTCTTAGAAATGACGAATAAGTGTAAATACATACAGCTGCATATAGTTTTATGTGTATAGTTATTCTTTGTCGTTATGGTATGTACATAAAAACAAATCTCCAATACCTCACTTGTAAAAGGTGGAGCGGGGCAATCACGTCGGCGGCTAATTAAGTGAAATGACTGTAGCTCCCTTTCTATAAGCTCTTGAGCTGTAGTGACATCCTGAGTGGATGAAGAAAGGGCAGATTCAATCTAAATTTTTAAGTGTTTTCAAGTTATTTTCAAGTTACTCATAAAAAAATTATTTTTCTATTTATTTTTTTATGAGTAACATGAGCCATTTGATTTATAGATTGAATCTGCCCTTTCTTCATCTAGAATGTTGCACTATTAGACATCGTAGATTCTTTTTCAATTATTTGATCCTATCCTATATATTATTGTGTTATGCATTGTGATGTTATTATCCGCCAGAATGTTAACAAGGGGCTATTAAGTCAAAGAATACTGATGTAAATACCCCATCGATTTTGTAAGAATTTGCAAAATGATAATGCTGTCAAATAGTTAATACAATTATGTCGATAATAAATGTATTTTTATGCGTTATATGTGAATCACGCTCCAACATCTGAACCAATTTAGTAGCCATTTTACAGGAATTAAAAGATGTTTTAGTACTGAATTAATTACAAGTTTTATCTGCAGAATATTATTTTGCTGAATAAGCATTTAATTGATAATCCGATATTATGACATACAAACATGTAATCAAACGAATGAGAAAAGGAAGAAAAAAATACCATCGCACAAAACAAACTATAGATAAAAATTACTAAGAACGAAAAAACAAAAGAAACAAGAGCTAAGGCAACGAAAATCTCAAAGGAAGTACCAACTCAAGAAATCTGATACTGATAGTAACAATACGGATTCCTATAAATCTATTAATAGCTGCGAAAGTGAGGACATGAAAACAATTTGAGACATGGTGACTTAGTTGAGTACATGGACACAGATTCTGAAGCTAGCACATCCAAGACTAATCAAAAGATGAATGCTAGAAAAATAAAACATGCACAAAAGAAGACGGAGATATTAGATGAGAAAAGACAGAGAGATATCGTAGCTAAGACAACCAAAAACCATACGAATAATATTTCTAAAGAAACAAAATATATACAAAAAAATACAGATATTAAATGACGACAGGGAGAGATGCTGAAGCTAGCACATTCAAGAACGATACAAATATTAATTATAGAAAAAACAAATATGGACATAAGAATACAGAAGTCATTATATGATGATAGAGAGACAGAGAGTAGTTGAAGCTAGTACATCCGAGAATGATATAATGATTAATTCTAGTCATAGAAAATATCCACAAAAGGAAAATTTGTGTTGGTAAAATTTAACTAGGCTAAAGGCTCAGGAGAATAAATGTTTTCGTGTTGTTAAAAATGTCTATTCAATAATTGATGTCGAAGATATTCTTCAGTGTCTTCCAGATCCTCAAATTGAAGTATTATACATTTCCATGTAAAACCGAGGTTTTGGAATTATATATAATTCCTTTAAAAAGTTATTAACGTACCGTATTAACGTACGATATTCTTCGGTATCTTTCAGATCCTCAAATTGAAGTATTATACATTTCCATGTAAAATCGAGGTTTTGGAATTATATATAATTCCTTCAAAAAGTTATTAACGTACCTATTTAAAACTGATTTATTATCTCTTGCTGATTACTGTTGATTAGTCATGCATAAAAGATTTTATTTACAAAGGAAAAAGTTTTTTATTTCATTTATTTATTTAGCCATAAAAAACACTATAAATGCACCAATAAAAAGTATTCATTTTTGAGTAATTAAAAAAAGGTACTATTTATCGACCTTCTTAAATCCCAACCCTAATTTGTAAATAATTGACGGAATAGCCCACAAAAACTATAAAGTGATTTTGCTAAAAATTGGTACATTCTATCTGGTTCTACAACTTATATTCGCGTTTTTAGTATCTATGATGCATTTATTTTTAGTATCATAGCATTTTATAGCTATGTGTTTTCAGTTCTTAGCTATAGCGGATATATTTCAAATTGACGTATTTACCCCGAAAAGGGTAAATAAATCATTGTGATAATTTTATTTAATATTTCAGGTAAAGATTACTTGGGAAATAGGTATTTTGAAATTCCTGCTGAACGTAGTATTGGTAAGAGGAAGCCCACGAGGTGGTACGATCCACCCAGAGGTGGGGACTTCCAAGAACCTATTCCTGCTGAGTGGGAAGCTTGGTTAAGAATGAGAAGGTAATTATTATAAAATAACTATAATCATATGTGTAAGAAGTAAGCTATTAGTATAATAGTCGCTTAGTGTACATCACTTGTTTCTAGGAAGGATAAACACCTTGCTGTATGTAGAAAATTTCTTTTTGGTTTACAGAATTTGGGAAATCTAATAAATTCTTCTCATTTTTTTTTATAAAAAAAGGCAACTCCTGCACTATGAAAAATGGACACAGAACACCCAGACTCAAAACAACCATTTTTTTTTCTTTTATTATTTAGGGGTTTTTATCCTTTCGGATATGACAACCCCATTGTAACAATTTTAACTTACATGTAATAACATAATTATATATACAATCTTAAACTTACATCATAGAGGAGTCATTGCGGGCTTAGTCATGTGACATCTAATAAATTCTTCTCATTTTTTTTTATAAAAAAAGGCAACTCCTGCACTATGAAAAATGGACACAGAACACCCAGACTCAAAACAACCATTTTTTTTCTTTTTTTCTTTTATTATTTAGGGGTTTTTATCCTTTCGGATATGACAACCCCATTGTAACAATTTTAACTTACATTTAATAACATAATTATATATACAATCTTAAACTTACATCATAGAGGAGTCATTGCGGGCTTAGTCATGTGACATCTAATAAATTCTTCTCATTTTTTTTTATAAAAAAAGGCAACTCCTGCACTATGAAAAATGGACACAGAACACCCAGACTCAAAACAACCATTTTTTTTTCTTTTTTTCTTTTATTATTTAGGGGTTTTTATCCTTTCGGATATGACAACCCCATTGTAACAATTTTAACTTACATTTAATAACATAATTATATACACAATCTTAAACTTACATCATAGAGGAGTCATTGCGGGCTTAGTCATGTGACATCTAATAAATTCTTCTCATTTTTTTTTATAAAAAAAGGCAACTCCTGCACTATGAAAAATGGACACAGAACACCCAGACTCAAAACAACCATTTTTTTTTCTTTTTTCTTTTATTATTTAGGGGTTTTTATCCTTTCGGATATGACAACCCCATTGTAACAATTTTAACTTACATTTAATAACATAATTATATATACAATCTTAAACTTACATCATAGAGGAGTCATTGCGGGCTTAGTCATGTGACAGAGTATCTTTGCTCCATTGGATGTAGGTGCAGACAGAATCAAATACTTCCATGAGAATTTCCCTATCCCTACGGTTTTTGACACATTCCATCAGAACATGTTGTACATCTTCCTCTACCCCACACACATTACAATTTGGAGAATGAGTTTTGTTCATTAAATATGAAAATTTGTTTGATAGAATGTGCCCTGATCTTAATGTTAATAGAAATGCTCTTTCCATTTGTAAAAGGTAAGTGTATTGAATTTGTGTAATATTTCCGCATAATCTGGAGGTACATTAATTTCGATTCCGTTTGAGCACCCTTCTTTAGCCAATTTGTCTGCCACTTCGTTACCATATACTCCAACATGAGAGGGAATCCATTGCAAGTTTAGAGCCCCATCCTTTCGTTGTAGTTTAGTATCTTTTCAAGTATTACATAGGCTATCGAAACACCTCTGGAACCAGAGCCGCATCGAGCCAAGTGTTGCAATGCACTCTTGCTGTCTGATATAATTACAGTATTATTCCAATTCTTATCAATCACAAATGATAGGGCTTCTGAAAACGCAACGAGTTCCGCCGACATTATAGTTAATTCAGTCTCAATATTAAAACAAGCTTTATGTTGCACAGACACTACATAATAGGCTGCTCCCAGAGTATTATCTTTCTTTGAACCATTTGTAAAGATTTTATGCCAGTTCGCATATTTTTTGTTTAATTCATCAATTACATTATATTTTAATGAATTGTATTCATACTCAGCTTTACCTTTCGATATACTATCTAGGCCTATGTTTATTATATCTTTGATGTTTATATAAGTTACCCATGTGTTTAATGAGAACATCAGTAAAGGATAAGTACAATGAACTTTATATACTTTAGTTTCTTCGTATGTAGACGCAAGCAAGGGCTTCTTTTTTCTCTGCCAATACCTAGTATGACACAAGGTGCTAAGTTTACATAAAATATCAACATTTACATTGTTGTGCCATTATTGACTCTTTAAGCAAAATTTGTATGCAAGGTATTGTCTCCGTATGAAAAGTGGTGGTAAACCAAGTTCACTTTCCATAACGTGGATTGGGGTGCTTTTAATAAATCCACCGATAATCCGTAAGGCCTGGTTATGTGCTTTATCTAACTTAGAAACCTGAGCTGTCAATAATTGTATTGTATTTTTATGTGGGTCAAAAATGTATCTTACATGAAATCTAGTTGATTTTCTGTGATTGGGTATACCATCATCAAGTTCTAAAGATACCTGTCTGCCTAACTCTAATCTTACTCTTGTGTATGTACTTATACTATATTACATAATTATCTTATCAGTCCATTTTCGCAGACTAGAGAGACAAGGTATTTCCTACATAGATACCAATGTCTGCGGAGTTTATTCTGAATATTTTTTTATTTACACACTCCAAATTTTAATTTGGATTCAAAATCATCATCTATGTCAGCATCAGTGATAATTGTTTCAGTCAATTTACTTTTGTCTTCAATGCTAATGTCTGTGGAATTAATTCCGACTTTTTCTGTTATTTACACACTACAAATTTTATGAGAAAATCATCTATGTCAGCATTAGTGATAATTGTTTCAGTCAACTTATTTTTTTCTTCAATGCCAGTGTCTTGTGGCATTTATTCTGTTTTTTTTTATTTACTCACTGCATATTTTATTAGGAAATCATCTATGTCAGCATCAGCGATAATTGTTTCAGTAAATTATTTTTTTGTCTTTAATATTGTATAACATGATCAGTGAATTTTTATTATGGAACTTTTCCGGGGTACTGGTTCATCTTTTTTGGGACAATATATTGCGCATTGTATCTATTAGAAGTTTTAGTTGTGTCAGGAGATGGGGGGCTTTGATAACCTCTTTAGTTTGCTAGCTATTGGAACTCTATGCCATTCAGGAGGACAAGGTGAGCTATAGTGTCAGTAGTTGGCGGGTATCCTAAGGAATTTGTTTTATGGATAACTAGGATTCCATCCGCGAAAAAAATATGGATTTGAACTGTACAAAAATGGAGTTGATAATAAATTTACGAGAATATAACAAAAAAAAAGAGACAAAACGGGCATCTCAGTTTAAATTAATAATAATAATATTCTACCACATACACATAACGCCATCTAGTCCCAAACTAAGCAGAGCTTGTACTATGGGTACTAGACAACTGATATAAATACATACATACTTTTTTTTTTTTTGTAAATACATACATATTATACACAGAAATACCCAGACCAAATCAAACATCAAATGTTCATGCACACAAATGTTTGACTTGAGCGGAATCGAACCCGCGACCTTTGAAATAGCAGTCCGTTACACAAACCACTACGCCATCCGGTCGTCAAATTGTTGTAGTATTTGTTTTGAAATGTGTGTGTGATTGTGTGTGTATGTTTTTGTGTAGATGTGTCTTACTATTTTTCTATTTTTAGCAAGTTTTCCGTTTTTTCGTAGTTCAGGGTGAGTAAAAATTTAGACACAATCACTTTAACACACGTTTTAGTTTCAGGATATCTAGAGATTTATTATATGTGTGATGTGTTGTATCATGTTCAGTGTTAGTGGCAGTGCGTAAACGTCTTCATGTATTCCCTTCGAATGCTTCATCATCATCATCATCATCAACAGCCTTTAATAGTCCACTGCTGTACATAAGCCTCTCCTTAGAAAGGAGGGTTCGAATTCTTAGCAGTTGGAAAATAAGCTTAGGAAATTCCGAATTGATACGAGTCTCTTGCAATTATCCGTTGACGACTAGTCACTTGCCATCAGGTGTTCCATTTATTCGTTTGCTCCTTCCTTATACCTTTAAAAATATGTGATGCGGATTAACGGCCTCGACTGCACAGATGGCGTAATGGTTTAAGCGGTCGCCACGCAGTTTACTATTACGCGGCGATTCCCACATGGGACGACACTTTGTGTGATCCACAAATTGTTGTTCTGAATCTGGGTGTTATTTGTGTCCGTTTTATGTATATTTGTAAAGCCCCCCGGAACACAGGATATATTCCTAAGAAGTGAATTCTAGGGAAGATTGAAAGAGGACTTCCTTTCTAGGGTATACCTGGTTCCCCGGCTATTAGTACCCGAGACGGCGTGCAGTTTTAGTCGGTTCGAGTCCGACATGCCACCGATAGGTGGTATCGGAGAAAATATATAATTATTAAGAAAAGAAAATTACTTTGCACTCATGTTGATTTATTCCTAACTTTTAGAGGTGAACCGCCGTCAGAGGAAGAAATAGCTACTAATCTGGCGATTGCTAAGTTAAAAAAGGAGAATGCTGCGAAACTGGAAGCAAAGAGATTAGCTGAGGGAGGTTCCCTTCCAGTCGTGCCCGATAGAGGCCACGAGTCTTTTCCCACTTACCAGGACCTGCCATCTGGGGACCCTGAAAATAAACAGCCTAATAAATAGATTGCTTGATACAACTGTAGTCAAAATTAATTCCCAGTCAATAATAAAATATCGTAGACATTTTACATTCATAGGTGAAGACTTAAAATTGTATGAGTATAATAACATATGTAATAAATACGAAAATAAAGCTAATATTATATATATATTATAAATATTTTCATAGATCTATGAAATATTTAAAGAATATTTTGCATGGATATTTAAAAATAACAAGAAGAATATATATTATAGAAGAGACAGTGTTTGTAAATCATCAAACTCAGTATTCACTCTCGTGGTCGAGGTCGTGAAAAGAAAATTGGTCTAGAAATGCTTACGTTGACTTTGCTTAATTGATCAAAATAGAATGTACTTGTCTTGTATATGACAAAAATATTTCCAAGAAGTCTCTATTGATATAATTAAATTACTTTTGCTTGTTGCTGTTGTTAAACATGATTTAGAAACAATAGTGTACAATGGACTGTGATCATTGTAAATATTTGTTATTTAGTAAATTATTGTTGCAAATTCAAATGTGTATCATTTTGTAGCCCAACTCTTAACATCTGCCAAATAAAGGAAACTGACTTCTTGAACTTTTACGTCCTCTCGTCACAGATTCATTGATGACAGACATCACAACGTTTTTCTCTTTTCTCAATGTTACTATATACTAGCTGAACCCTGAAAAGCTTCGTTGTGGCACATTGTAGTTGCATTTATGAGAAGTTAGGAAGAACAAATTTTTGAACAAATTTTGGAACAAAGCGGGTTGCATATTGTGTGTGAGCAATCTCACCTACACGCGGTGCACCCTGCTGAACAGTGGACGAGGCTCGGCGACCTACTCGCGACGGTATAACCACACCACTTCCAGAATCACTAAACATCGATACTGATGAGGGGCAGCAGCGTCACCAGATTAATGATTCTCGCCACTGGGGTCACCAACCCACCTGCCAAGCGTGGCGACTATGGCAAATTCCCTCCACATTAATCGCAACCACATTCCACGGTCTCCAGTTCCTGGTAGTCGCACGGCCACGGCCACGGTACCGGACGGTGACGGTGCAGCGGGGGTGCCATGAATCATTGGGTTACGGTAGTTTACCACCAGCGATAGTATTTTGCGGCGTATAACGGATACACTTTGCGGCTGGTCGACCGCCTCGCAAAACTGGAAGCGGAGGTAAATCGTATAAATTGCCATATTTTGGGGCTTTCAGGTGTCCGAAGACAGGGTGAAGATACGATAGCCCTAGATTCCGGCCACCTTCGCGCCTCTGTTTCCATAGATTCTTTTCTATGTATGAAGACATAGCTGAGGCTGAGGAGTCATGGGGACTTTAATGCAAAAACGGTAGTACCACAATACGGGGAATCCAAGGTAGGACCCTTCTTCCGTTCTTCTTTTTCCTTCCGACCGTTGTTCATACTTTTATATTTGTAATTAAATACAAATAATAGGTACAGCGATTCATTGCAACCTTAAAGTTTTTATATATTATTAATAGTGCATGGATGACCGAGGTTTGCTCGGTATATAAATTTCCTAAAAATGAAACCTAGCTAGATCTTTTATATATATATATATATATATATATATATATATATATATATATATATATATATATATATATATATAAGAATTGCTCGTTCAAAGGTATTAGATGTAGGTTTATGTATGTTTTTAATAGGTAAGTACCAAATACTTATGTATGTGTATATATCCTATTTCATTGTTTCCGTCTAACTTCTCAATAATTTTCTCTTACTTTACACATCAGCGTCTAGTGCACCTAAGTAGTCCCACATTTCACCACCATTGGGAGAAAATTCATGTGGAATTAAATTCACCATTGTGTAACTCGTATTTGTTCATAAAGAAAAGCCACACCCAGACAGAACAAATGATCGTGCTCATCACAATTACTGATCGAACCCACGAACTGTGGCGTAGCAGTCAGGTTACTAACCACCAGACTCACAGGCTATTCAACAACTTTGTTTAAGGAGTTTCATGCCCGTCGCTTCAGAAAACCTGAAGATAGCGAAAACTGAAATACCACAAAAAACCCTTGGGCTCTCACACGCATGAAGGAGAAAGAAGACATCATCTTAAATGCAATAAAACATGAACGGTGATTGCAGCGTGCAAAGTAATCGCTAAAGCTCCATTTTTGACACCGGACAAGTCCCACGAAGTGTCGCCAGATAAAAAAATACACGTATTTCGTGACAATGCGCGATCTTCATGTGAAAGTCGTGACAGGTGACATTTTAGTCATGCATCGTAGGCACGGTTATAACATTATGGTTGTTTAGATTCGCAAAGCAATCTATTTAAAATTCGAGCTGACTTGAGTACCTTGCCGCTTCTTTTTGAGTCTTTACCTGAGGAGCGTAAAAATTTTGGAGAACAGTCTTCTGCAGGTGGCAGGTGACAGTTCACATCATCACATCAACAGTCCACTGCTGGACATAGGCCTCTTCTTAGAAAGGAGGTTTTGGCCTACTGTACCACGCTAGCCAGACGGGTTGGTATAGGGTTTGTGATGGTGTAAAGATCAGGCCTACTAAGTGCGCAGAGCTGCGCATCTCGGGCCTGGACGACTCCGTAACGGCCGAAGATGTCCGCGCTGTAATCCGGGAGAAGACGGGGTGCAGCGCGGACAACGTCAGGGTCGGCACCATCCGCCCCGGTCCAGGAGGGCTTGGCGCCGTGTGGGTCAGCTGTCCCGTAGCGTCGGCCAAAGTATTGGCCGACGCCGGCAGGCTGCTCATCGGTTTCGTGAGCGCCAGGATCACAGTCCTGGCGGCGAGACCGATGAGGTGCTACAAATGCCTAGCATCGGGACACACGCGCGTCAAGTGCGACAGCTGTTTTGACTGCGGCGGACTGTGTTTCCGCTGCGGTCAACCGGGGCATAAGGTGGCAGAATGCTCTGCCGCCCCTCACTGCCCAGCGTGTGCAGCGGGCAATAAGCCCGTCAATCACCAGATGGGGCAGAGAGGCTGCAAGCCTCCCCGCAGTTCTCGGCAGCCGTCAGGGGCTAGCCAGTCGACCCAGGCTACCCCCGACGTCAATATTGCGTCGACGTCGTCGCCTATGGCGGAGGTTGTAGAGACGATCTAGTAATGGATCAAGTCTCCAACCTCCTGGTCCAGACGAACCTGAACCACTGTGCCGCGGCGCAGGATCTCTTCCTGCAAGCGTTGGCACAGTGGTCGATAGGTGTTGCCGTAGTCGCGGAGCCCTATTTTGTCCCTCCCCGTCCAAACTGGATGGGTGACTGGGACGGCTCCGTGGCAGTCGTCGGTTCCACGGCGGCTCATTCCCCGCCCTTGTCGCTAAGAGACAAGGGCACTGGATATGTTGCCGCCGAGTGGGGGGGGATCATCATATATGGTGTTTATTTCTCCCCCAACCGGAGTTTGAACGACTTCGAGGTTTTCTTAACCAGCTTGGAGACCTCGATACGGCGACTAGCGTCTGGGCACGTCCTTGTGCTGGGGGACTTCAACGCAAAGTCCATTGCGTGGGGTTCCCCCAGGACGGACGCAAGGGGCGAGGCCCACTCCGGGCGGCCTCGGTGGGCCTCTGTCTTCTCAACAGAGGCTCCACCAACACGTGCGTGCGACAGCAGGGGGGGTCGATAGTGGACCTTTCGTTCGCTACCCCTGCCCTCGCCGCACGAGTAAGGTACTGGCGTGTCCTGGAAGAGGTTGAGACGCTCTCGGATCATCTGTATATCCGATTTGAGCTCTCCCGGAACCAGGACTCCAGTAGGGGTCACGTGGCGCGGCGTTTATCCCACTTTCCGCGGTGAGCTGTTGCCAGACTGAACCGGGACCTACTAGAGGAGGCAGCCATAATCCACTCGTGGCTGTCTCCTCAGGCTCCGACCGAGGAGGTCGACGTGAGGGCTGGTCGCTTTCGCGATGCGATTACGCATATCTGCGATGCGGCCCATGCCCCGCATTCGAGGTCGTCGGCCTCCAAGGAAGGAGGTCTACTGGTGGTCCCAGGAGCTGGCGGACCTCCGTGCGGCCTGTACACGTGCCCGGAGGTCCTACACGCGCAGTCGGCGGCGTCACCGTGGAGACGGTGAGGAGGACCGGCTTCATGAGGAGTACTGACAGGCGCGGAAAACTCTGAAGCTGGACATTAGCCGCGCCAAAGAAGAAAAGAGAGAGGAGATGCTGGAGGGTCTTAATCGTAACCCCTGGGGTCGCCCTTATCGCGCGGCGCGACAAAAGCTCCGCGCGTCGGGCCCCCCCTTACGGAGACTCTCCAGCCCAGCTTCCTGCGAGAAGTGGTTGAGGGCCTTTTCCCGCAACGAGCGGAACACACTCCCCCGGCGATGGCCTCCTTGGCCGGAGACGACGGGGAGCACGAGGAGGATGATGTTCCGCCCGTCCGGGATTCGGAGGTAGGGGCGGCTGTTCTACGGATCCGTTCCAAGAACACCGCCCCTGGGCCAGACGGGGTACCGGCCCGAGTGCTGGCCCTGGCCCTCAACCACATGGCAGACCGCCTCGGGGAGGTGTTCGACGCTAGCTTGGCGTCGGGACGTTTCCCTGAGTGCTGGAAGAGCGGGAAGCTGGTCCTATTAAGGAAGCCGGGACGGCCTGCCGATTCGGTCGCGGCCTATAGGCCCATCGTGCTGCTGGACGAGGCGGGTAAATTGTTTGAGAGGGTTCTTTCTGCCCGCATCGTCCGGCACCTCTACGAGGTGGGCCCCGATCTGTCGGACGCCCAATTTGGTTTTCGGGCGGGGCGTTCGACAGTCGACGCCGTGTTGCGCCTGAGGGCCGTGACCGAAGAGGCCGTGAGCTGTGGCGGCGTGCTGTTGGCGGTGTCATTGGACATCGCCAACGCATTCAATAGTCTGCCATTCAGCTGCATCAGGGAAGCACTCCACTATCATGGGGTGCCAAAGTACCTGAGGCGGCTAGTGGCAGACTATTTAGAGGAGCGTACCGTCGTGTACGAGGACCGAGAGGGTAATTTG